CCTGTGAACAAATTTTCTATCAAAAAATTGGTGATAAATTACAATCAAATTACTAGGATTATAATAATTGTAGTTAAACTTGTACTTAAAAGATCCAACTGCTATTAGACTGTCTGCAATAATCATGAAAAACAGCCGACCGTTTGGAAAAATAATAAGTAGTTTACTGTCCACTCTATCAGTAAAAGCCTAGTCTAATTTTCCATATGGGCATAACGACACAAATATAAATTAAATAACTTTATGTACCTATCCTACCTTCCCAACTTCCCATTTAAAAAAATGGCTCATCGACAGTATCAGCTCTTTCACCTTATTTCAACTAAGTACATATAATATTTGTACATATGATAATATTTTAAGGGGGAGAGCTTAATTTTAACCCTATTAGTTTTTATACTAATATGAACAAATTTGTGTGAGAAAAGAACATTTTGGAAGTCTTACCTTCATTGTTTCCTGAAAGTTACATAAACGTGTTTTTTTTTTTTTTTTTGGTGAATCATATTGTTTTATCTAACCTTACCTATTATTATATGGCATTGTTAATAGTGTGATGTGAATTTATTTTTCAACCATATTGTTTGGCCATCAAAACCTATAGACCCCCATGAAAAAAGATCATGGCTATAGCATTGAAATTAATATATACAATATACATATTATATATACTTATACAAACATATTAAAATTGACATCGATTATCGATGTGAAGATGTTTACCAAAAATCGTTTACCCAAATCTAAGACACTAAGAAATAATAGAAAAAAAACTGGCCACAATGTTCGAAAAATAACCACGTCTAGAAAGTACTAATATAAATATTTTTTATAAATGTCATATCTGTAAGGTTTTTTTTAACCGAATTACAACAAAAAATAAAATCGAAAATAATGAGACTGTTATTGCCGTAAACCTTCCCATTTTTCCTGCGTTTTTTTGGTTTTTCCAAATTATTAAGAAAACTTCGAGGAAAATCAAAAAATAACCTCCCCACCATCTAGATAAAGTTTACTTCAATAAAAGGTACTTCACTTATAAATCAGAGTGAGATTTCTGTAAGAAAGTTGTTCATAAACACAAATAAAAGACATCGTAGTAAAATCGAAATATTACTCACTGCGCTCCTAATCTAAAAAAAAAACGCATCATAGTAAAATATACGGGTAAATTCAATCAACCGTTATTATTTTATAAACTATACGAAAAACAATGATTTGTTATCGCTTTAAATTTTATAATAATCACCAACAGTATTATCACATTCTGAAAAATTCTGATTTACTACTTAATTGTTATATTTTTACTAGCATCCCCTGTAGTGAGTTCACCCATATACAGACAAACAAACGTTTCAAAAAATGTGCGAACATTTCTTGCACGACATATTCCAACATAATATTTTCATAAATATTTCAATAAGTCTCGATTTCAGGTTATGTAAATTATTTTATCTTAGTAACCAACTTTTTCATTGATTTCGGAGCCCAATTCCTTCACTTCAAATCCATTTATGACAAACGACTCTCTATACGTGCTACTGCTGCAGTTGAGCTTTTTCAGTTTGTCGAAATTTTGCTGTTGTTGGCTTTTGTTCGACTCCGAAACTTTGACACTGTCAGTCATTCGTTGCCACATCAAATTTTCGAACTCGCGTCTTTTCCTTTCTTTAGTAATAATGAAAATATACATACAAACAATAAAAACCAAATACCAATTATTGAATTATTGAAATAATTTAAAAACCTGACTTCCAGATGACTGTATTAAATTGCAGATCTCTACGTGACATACCGTGTGTTCTTCGATAACCTCGATTATCAATCAGATGAAACACCCAATTGTTCATCTGATTGAATGTTAGGGAACACCGATTTATATTAAAACGCAGAATGGTCTATCATGTGATGTAAACAATTATTTGATAATAGATGTTAACCTGATAATATATGTTTTATATAAGGTATATTAAATTCGATTATAATATTGGTATTCAATTTAATGAACATATTAAAATGTAAAACGAAAAAAAACGTTATGGCTAAATGTTGATAACCCATATCATATACAATTTTGGTAACTCATTTCCGTCGTCTATCAAACCGACTATTCTGTTGATTGATGATCCAATGCATCGAAAAGCAATCTAATTAGTAATCATATTAATCAAATTTGATGAGGAACATCGAAATCTCTCAGATTGTTCATCTGATTGACAATCTAGCTTGCCGAGAAACACACGGATGGACTTTTTCCAATGTTATAAACTTTTGTCCAAAAAAAACCTATTGGAAATCTAGACAAATATGTTGACAAAAATACCAGCACTGGGTGTAAAATCAACATTTTTTAAGATATACGATGTGAACGATTTGATCGATTTTTACTAACCGAAAAATTGGTCAAGCGTTAAACAAGAAAAATGCATAGATTTCTAAACAAATTGTATAAACACTATAGTCGGCATAGGCGGCCACCTACCGTTCTCGGTCTCGGCGGATTTCTCTCGCGCCAGTGCCTCGATGACCGCGTCGTAATTTTTCTGCGTAACTGAAGGTTTCTTGTACTCATCCTCTCCGCCCGGTGACGTGAATACCCACCGTTGGCTATTCATATTTTTCGTTTCGTTTGTTTTATTGACAATAAAAAATCAAATGTTTTATTATGTTATTTATGATTTATGATGAACAGTACGTTGTTTGTATTCTCTAATACTGTTCATGAGTATAATATTTCGGCCAGATATGATAATAATATTGAAAAAATAATTCATATTTATAAATCCCGTAACATATGTTACAATCTGTTGTCGATATGTGAAAATAAGATGGTCAACGAATTGGCCAGGATGTACGGTGCAAAAAATTGTCATTTCTACCTATGGTTCAGTTCACCAGTCAAAATTGACCGCTATCGGTATTCCTTCCAAAAGGTACTATGGTTTTCTTTCTTTAGTGCACAGTTACTATAAAAAAAAATGAGTCAGGACCTATGTTAACTATTCTGATGCTTTCATAGATCTATTTTAGCAACTAGCAAAATATATTATTATATACCTTATGGTACTTTACATGATAGGTACAATATAAAGCATACAAAAATATAGGAGGGCATTGAAGAAGAAAAATCAATATTAAATGCAGTACCTAATTAAATGTGAAGATTAGTGAGGTGGAAATTTTAATAAAACTAAAATTGTCTAATACAACTCTTTTACAGAGGTACCTACTTAACTATAAACTGTTCATTATTTGTATTTATTTTATCATGTTTTAAAAAAAAAATAAACACATCATTTTTTGATTATCCAGAGGTTTTTTGAAATAATCAGCCGAAAGAAAATTATAGGTAAAACGACAAATATTTACGGCAATCCACGGCGTTACCGTTTTTATTGTGTTATATTTAAATTGTCTACCAGAAATATTACTTCAATCGAAAAATGACGATTGATCGTTTTTTTTTTAATATTTCGCTACTGATATAGTAAATCGTTTTTCGATATCCAAAGTAGTTTTTGTAATATTTGGGAAAAATCAAAAAAGACAAAATATACAATTTTTTTCAAATTCACAGCAATATAATTTCATTATTTTAAATTTGTATAGCATAAGTTTCCTGCTAGAAATATTGCGCCAACAAAAAAACATCAAGGGATCTTATTTTTTGAATTTCCAATCAAGTTAGTATCTATGAAAGTCGTTTTATGATTTGCTTTGTAGTTTTTTTAATAATTGAGCAATAATTACGTAGAAAGAACGGGGAAATTTACGAAAATAATATATTTATTTATTTTTATTTAATTTTTTAATATAATTCAGTTTAAAATATTCGTAGAGACTCAAAATGTCGAAAAAAAAAATTAAATTTATTTTTTCTAGTCGTGGTAAAACTTTCAGAACATTAGAACAATGTTTGAGCCATTTATAGATATTTTAATTATTCGAGTTTTTTACGTAATTTTTATTTGGTAAGTACTCTGTGGATAAAATGGTTAGGTTTAACAGAAATGCTTGAACATTTAACAGGAGATTACTTAAATTTCGTACTTCAAGGGAAAAAAATTGATCTTTATATAGTCATTTTTTTTATAAAGGAATTTTAATATCAAATTTTGACGAAAATTGTTCGAGTAAAAAATTATGTGTAACAAATCTAGTTACTAGTTCCATTAAAAAAATTTTAAATTTTTTTTGTTTTGAACATATATTGCCGACTTAAGAATGATGGTGATGTCAGAATTGAGTGGACTGACTTAGTTTCGAAATCATAATTTTTTCTGAATTTCTGATATTTTGACTCGATAAACCCCCATAAGTTTGAGATATCGATGTTTTCCAAAGATTACCATAAATACCCAGTAATCATATGACGGTAGCGTTCGTAACAGCCAAAGCAGTTCCATTATCATTTTCAAAAAAATAGGGACCGATCACCCTTCCAGGCCAAAAGGCACATCAAACCGTTACTCGCTGCGGATGCATAGGGGTTTCTTGCATCATGATTTCAGCAAGACGGCGCAACATGCCACACTGCACGTGTGACTCACTCACATCGACTTACTGCGTGAAAAATTCCCAAGGCGAATTCTCTCAAGAGATGGTGACCAGAATTGACCGACGGGATCCTGTGACTTGACTCCTTGTGATTTTTTTATGGGAGTTCATCAAGTCAAAAGTGTATGAAAACAAACCCTAAAACACAACCGAGCTCAAACAAGAAATTCTTCGAGTGATTGAAAGCCTTGCTATGGAACTCTCCAGAAGAGTGATGGCGAACTTTACTGAAAGAGTGCACAAATGAAGACGCAGTAGGGGTGCTCATTTGCTAGATATTGTTTTTCATTTTTAAATGGAAAGAAATGCTGATTTCAATAGTATGGTTTTTTTACTCAATTTATTGGTTTTAATAAAGTTATTAATGTTTTAAATCCAGCGCTACTTTTGAATCATTCTTTATATACTATAATTATATATAATATACTAGCTGTCTCGCACCTGTGCCAATTTTTATTATCGACTAGATGTGTTCTATTGTGAAATTTGAATAGTGTAAATAATAGTAATAATGAAAATTATAATAGTTTTCTTTTCCTCCGTAACAACAAGGTAACCCTTGAATAAACAAAAATAAACAATTAGATATTTGTACCAAATATACCTAAAAATCCAGTATTTTCTTTTTATATATCTAGAATTTGAATGAGGCTGCTGTTACTTGGGCTTTGTAAACATGTTGAAGAGCTTTTCATAGATCTCAAATTCTTCCCCGAGTTTTATCCCCTCCCCCGGCTCCTGCTTAAACACCGAGCTTCCCCGTACCGTCAACCTTTTCACTCGGTTCTCCTATTAACTTGACGCATCGCATGCCGCAACGCACGTCTTAAAAATTTTCATTGTTGATAACCATTGTCTTATTTAACACTTAATGTACAGCGCAAAATGCCGTTTTATTTTCCGACGTCCATGATAATCGCGTCTCCTCATACCTATAGTATCCACTGTTATTAAACGAATTCTGCAAAAGACTATATTTTTTTTTTTTCATTGTAAACTTTACGAATACTTGTAAAGTAAAGAAACCTTTCCATTCATTAAAATCACTTGTGTTCAACTTTATGCTAACGATCCGCAACTGCGTGACACGTTACAGCATTTATTTATTATGAAATGTCAAACTTTATTTAAAAAATTTTACTTACCAGTTTCAATTATTTATCAGTTTTTATGCTTGGGAGTTTTTGATTTTGAAAAATAACCATGCAATATTTTAGTTGCTTTAGTTGTATACAGATTTGTCGCAAATTTTTGAATACAAATTTATAGTATTCTAAACTTTTTAATAACAAATTTAAAATCGTAAATAACTTAGGTATTATACATAATACCAATGGTTATAAATATTATTAATTCACTAGTATTACTACGAGTATGTACAATCAAAACTAATACCTAAATAATATTAATATGACGAACACATATGCCATGTGTTACGTATAGGTTATTATTAATTACCATCAAATAGCGAGTAATAAAGTTCATTGTTACTAGGATAGAGACCTTGTAGCTCTAAAGAGACATCAAATATACACTGGAGTACTTAAAGTGTGCTTTAATATGAAAAATAAAATAACCCAAAATATGCATTATATACAGTTGCTGCATGCAAGTGTCCGGCTAAATATAATTTTGTGATTAAGTAATATGTAAAAGGAGTAATATAAAAAAATAAATATATTATCGTAAAGTACTTTTATTATACAATCAAAATAAGTGATTCAAAAATTACAAACAATTAACAATTAATTCTAACAAATATAACAACTTTCGCTTTTTCATAAGTGTCCGGCCAAATGTAAATTATTCATTGAACATGAAAAAAGATTACAATAACTTGAGAATAAACTTCAAAAATAGTAATAAACATACAATTTTCTTTCATATTTAGTAGCCATACCCTTCGAAGTTATCACGGCGGCACATCGGTGAGGCATCGATTCAAAAAGTTTAATGATTCGATCTTGTGAGATGTTTTTCCACTCATCTTGAACTTTTTTCGACAAAACAACTTTATGAGCTGTTTTCTGTTCCTATTCTAATTTTCAGTTCTTGCCATAATTGTTCAATGATTTCATAATTTTATAAAAACATGGATGACATTTTCTACCAGAAAAAATGAATGACTGAAAAATCAAGATACCTTTTTTATTGCCTTTTTGATTCACTTTCTTACGGTATCATCATCAAAACTTTTGTGCCACTTTTGAGCATTGAAGGAATTTTAATTTTTGGTAGTTTTTTGCTGTTATTCGGTTATAAATATATATAGAGACTTTAAACTTGATAATAATACTTTTATTAGATTTACCTAGACGTAGTAAAATGTCCACAATCATCGGGCGACTATTTTCGTATTTTCGTATTTTCGTACAAAAAGTATGTATTCTGATACACGGTTTAATGTTAATGTGTACTTATTAATGTTATTACAATTAGACACAACAATAATAGCACAATTATGTCTTCTTATTTTTAAAACTATCAAACTATTTAAGAAAATCGGGATTTACTACAATCATACAAAAAGGTAGAAAACACAATAAAAAATTATCGACGTGTATGAAAAAGCTAAATATTTTTCATCTGCTATGAACGTGATTTTTGGAAATGAAGATACAATATTCACAGTTTAAGAAGATTTAAAATCGTCTTCAAAAGAAATTAGAATTAGAAGAAAACCTAAGTTTCACGACGTAATTATCAACGATAATCCTTACGATTGTTTCAAAAAAAAAAACCAGAAATTAATATTTATAATATATGTTTGGCTATTGTTATTGAGAATTTAGAAAATAGATTTTCAAAGCATAAAGTACGTAGAATTTGAATGGCTACCTACATCCTACTAACTTTAAATTAATATCAAATTTAAGTGAAAATGCGATGAATAAAATAGCTTTTGACAGACTTTTCACCAAATATCGATAAAAAAAATATTACAAAAATTAATAGATTTTGCAGGAATATGAAATTTACCTTCGAAAACATTACCTGAAGAATATAATTGTACGACATTGGATCTAGAAAAAGACAAAAAGGAAGAGGAATCTGAGTTAACCAAAGAAAATCTTGTGCATACAAATTGTATATTTTGCTGTTATCAAATTGTATGGAAATATAATTTATGTGCTAAAGCATATACATAATTGTTTTTAGTATGCAAGATTTTGATAATATTGTTCATAACTCAAGTTCAGTGTGAAAGAACATTTTCAAAATTTAAATATATTTTGAACAGATTAAGAAGTACATAAGTCAAGAATGAGTGGAAGAATTTATTATAATGTTGTAAGAGAAAGATATATTATATCTTTTAAAAATGTAGATATCATTGAATATATCTTGCAAAGCAGTAACTTAAAGAAAAAATTACTTATTGGATAAATTAATTAATAATTAATGTATTTTATGCAAATATAGCCAATAGGATACAATGTGTTGTTTTTTGTGTACAATTAGTGAAACCTACAATAAGTATCTCTAGTACTATTGTTTTTATTTAAAAATAGAGTATAATTTGAGTATTTTGTTTGAAAATAGCAAAAAATCTTAAAATAAGTACCATTATACACTATTGTTGTTTAATAATTATAGAACTTTAACTATATATAATTTTTATTAGACTTNATATCTATCATTATATCGAAATAATATTAAATTTATGTAACTTAAATAGACTAATTAAAATGCACATCCCATATCTTGAAAATATAAAAATTTAGATCCCAAAGAGTTAAATATTATCAAATTAAAGTATGTGAATAGAGATAAAAAATTCATTTTTTAAATATTAATAAATTTAATTTTTTTTAAATATGTTTTTAAATTTATTTTTTTTAATATTTTTAAAATATAAGTATGTGAACAAAGAACAATTTGAAATCCATGTAAACGGAGATCTGAAATTAATGTCATGCACATCCCATATCGTGAAAATATGAAAATTTAGATCCCAAAGAATTAAATATTATCAAATTAAAGTATGTGAATGGAGATTAAAAATTCATTTTTTAAATATTATTAAATTTAATTTTTCTTAAATATGTTTTTAAATTTATTTTTTTTAATTTTTTTAATTTTTTTAAAATATAATGTATATAATGTATGTGAACAAAGAACAATGTGAAGTTCATGTGAACGGAGATCTGAAATTAGTGTCATGGACATCCTGTAGCTTAAAAATTTAAAAATCCAGATCTAAAAGGGTTAAATATTATCAAAATAAAGTATGTGAATGGAGATTAAAAAGTCATTTTTTTAAATATTATAAAATTTAATTTTTTTTTAATATGTTTTTAAATTTATTTTTTTTAATGTTTTTTTAATATAAGTATTTGAAAAAAGAACAATGTGAAATCCATGTGAACGGTGATCTGAAATTAGTTTTTAAATGGGAAAGTATCTGTCTGCACCAAGATCCCCATTTTTCTACTACTGTTGACAATTGTATATCGTTTAACTAAACTTTTAATTAACAATGTAAGGTCAATTTAGGAATTTAAAAGGAAATTTGTGTCCTCCAGAATCATTCGATTCGTTTCGTAAAGGTGTGTAATGTTTGTATAGTGCTTTATGTGCCTAGGTGTATTTCCTGGCAATTATCAATTGATAAGTGTAGATTTTATTTCCACGTCATACACACAGCTAGATTTATCTTCTTTTGACGCTGATGACGACACTTCAAGTTCCATATCTGTGAAATAAAAACACACGGCAAGAAACAACTTACTATACTTTATACGGCCTATTAATTAATCTATTATAGCTTACCATAATTATTACTGTCCATCCGCATTTTTTGCAGGCAATCATATCTTATCGGCATTTTTGTCTTGACTACCAAACTGGATCTTTTAGAAAAACTATTTCCCATCGATTGTGCCGAATCTGATTTGACTATTAAATATAAACAGGTATTCATTCAAATGATTATTACACCACCGTGATCAGATGATGATAAATATACGCGTGATAGTCGCTAATAATATGATAGTCATTCACATGCAAGTTGTTCTATACCGTCACCACGTAAACAATATAAAAATTACTACCAAACTAACGGCATCGATGATAAAGAAATTACTTTTTATACCTATAACTAGGTACCGCATGATACCTGCATGATAGTTTTAGTTTTATCTGGATAATGATGGTTATTATCACAATTAAGTATTACCATGGTCCGGACAATATCCTTAATATGTTTCATGTTAAAGGAAAATAAAGCTACACTCTTTTAGTTATGAAATATTAAAATTACATTATACAAAATTAACACAAATAATGATACCTAGCTGTTTCATATTAAATTTTAAATTCTTAGTGAAGCGAAGAATTAAATACTTTTACCATGTTTTTAAAATTGTGAGCGGCTTTTATTTATGCTGTGTACAATATTCCTATCAGAAATCTTTACAAAAAGTAAATTTTGTCTAGTTGGTACTTTAGGGAGTATCATTTACTGATTTGCCTAGCAGTTTTTATAATACGTGGGAAAAAATAACGTATGAAAAACGGGAAAACAATGCTTTTATTATTTTCAGTTTTTTTTTTTTTTGTTATGATTCAGTTAGACGTGTCCCTAGAGACTTGAAATTTGGATAGAAAACTTATATTAGCCTTATATTAAACATTTTTGAGCTATTAATAAACATTTTACTCTAGTACTCTAGGAGATAAACTTATTCCACCAAACACAAATGTTAAATATTCATTAATTGGAGAACTTCTTAGTGGTCAGCAAGAAAAGTTGAGTTGCATTTTGTATTTTTTTTTTTTTTTTTCCATAAAATATGTTTACTTATCTTCATAATTGTCAAAAAACAATAATCCCACAAAATTTTAAAATTGAGATTTAGGATAATTGGTTAGAAAATATTAGATTACGCAGTTTGCTAAAAACAGCCATACCACTATTGGACTGTAACGCTATCTATCAATGTTTCAAAACCGTACTGAATGATCTTGTCTAAATATTTAACCATAATATGGTATATTAAATATTGTTAACAAAGCATCGCTATCTACTGAACTCCGCACAGAATCGTATTTAGTAAGCAATGGTTTATTGTTGCCTACAGATCCAAATTAATTTTCCCTCTATAACTTAACCTTCCCAACTTATCACCAACAACAGTGGCTGCATCCATTGTATTTTAGAGAAGTCATTTTTCGATTTTTGACAATATTTTCCCAACGAATGTGAAAAACCACGAAAAAAACATGGTAAATCGATACCTTTAACAATTATTATTCAAGATAATGTATAACGCCTTTTTAATTAATTTTCTATAATATGACATATATATATATTATTGGCAAAGCATCACTATCTATATTTTTCTTTAGCAATGGTTAATCGTTGCTCAAAGGTATACATTGAAATACCTATAACAATGGCTGCACCATTAGGACGTCTTTTTTTTCAAAATACCTATATAATATATTATAATTATTAATCATAATTCTATTATGAAGCATTTTTTTACACCTACCTTAGGTGTTTCCACTAATTCTCTATCCACAAAAAAAAAATTAATAATAATACATCAGCATATATGAAATATAAGCAAATAACATTTTTTTAAAATATCTGTATTTTTATCTAGATAAAAATGTAATTATCCTATATCATTATCTTGATAAATTTTGCATTATCTATTCCCAACACTACCCATATCCTTTCTTCCCACCTTCTTACCTATAACAGTGGCCCATGCATGCGAACTATGTGTTATCTTTTTAATAATAATATATATATATGTTAATGCTGTACTGTATAATTATCACGCATGCTATCAAATCTAGAATTCTGATGTTAATACATAAAGAGTGTTAATAAATTTTCGCTAAAGCAACTATCACGTTTAAATATCTTCGTGTGACCGCAACCTAATAGTTAGTACCTAAATATAATCCAAAGAAAAAAAGAAAGACGCAAAAATAAAAACTCCACCTTGTTATCTATCGTAGGACACTCATTATCTCGGAAAGTATTAACATTTTTTGGAATTTTTAGAAAATTTATGAATTAAGCAGCTCGACAATTTTACATTCATGCTATTTTTTGCCACCCTTATTTTTGGGTGTAGAAACTATAATTTATTTTCGATGGAGAATAATAGTGATGCATTATTGAAACACAGCGCAGCACACAGTGCCACCACACAAATGATGCTCCACTACTCTTGCCCGACACAAACTTAAAAGTGGAATTTCTCAACGAATTGTTAAGAATCAAACATTTCAACGCCAATATGTATTTCAAGAAATATTCCATCTATTTTTGTAAATTTTACCATTGGTTGTCATTTAAAAATCAAAATTAGGTAGTGGTTTCACCCCCAACAATAAAGTTGATAAAAAATAACATAAATGTAAATTTGTAAAGCTGCTTTCAAAAATGTTCTAAAAACAAATTCTGTAAAAAGATTATACTTTCCGAGATCACGAACGTAACCATTTAAATAAAACATTCTATTCGGTACATATTTTTATTTGATCAACAAAATATAAAGAAAAACTAGTATATTTTATTCAATAAGATTTATAATTATTTCAAATTACCTTTTTTGTAACTAGATTTTGATTGAATCTTCGGTGTTAAACATTGAGGTAGATCGTGTTTATGAAGTAATCTCCTATAATACAAAAAAACAACATAATAATATGGTTGTATAACTATATTGATTTTAAATTTAAGAGAACTTGCTACCTCCCTATTTACGGGGCTGCGTATAAGATTTCCTTGATATTTTTAAAAATATATAATTCTATCAATTCAAAAATATGTAAATTCAAATATATCATCTTATAGCTCCATGTCATTATCACAAATATGTATTGTATAACCATAAAATTAATAAAAATGTACGCAAAAAAATTGTGTTTCGCGCGGACAAAAAATTCTCGAGCTATAGATTCATCAAAGAACCAAATTTTCAACATAAAAAAGAGAACCTGCACTATGCAACATCAGTTTTGGTTATTCTATATCATTACTTCGGATATAGTTATTTTTGATATTTAAAAACATAATTATCTGATTTGACTAAGATGACTTTTTTTTTTATTTGTAGGTAAAGTTGCACTTTTTTATGATGAACATCTTGATTCCTTAATCATGTTGTTTATGTAAAATACTTTTCTGTCAAATAGCATGCCCTCTTAAAAAAAAAAAATACTATAATTTATTCCAAATGTTCAAAATATTCGTTACTTTGAGTTCATATTGTCGAGTGTCTTTACTTCTTTTAAAATACGCTTTTGTAGCTTATTTTCTTTTTGGCTTTTTGTGACGTTAGCTAATATGTTCAAACCTTTTAACTCAGGACGATGAAGGTTAAAGAACGAATTTCTTTTCTGTATTCAAAAATCGTTTGTCAGATATGCATTAAATAAACATTTTAATAATATAATATTGCAACAAGGAGTTTACACGGATTTACTACTTTTCAACATAGTGTGCCTAAGTAGGTATATTTTAATCCCACTCACCATGACCAAATTCATGTACATACACAGTGGTGTATTGGGGGAAGTGGTAAGGGGTTGCGAATGTATTGATTTGGAACCCCTGAAATGCCTGCATAAACTAGTTTTTCGTTATTAAAAAAAAAAATTGAAATTGGTAAGTAGGTAATTATTTAATTATTTTATTATGAAAAAAACATATTAGAAAATGATAAAAATGTAATAATATATTATTGATACTCTGCCGATGTAAAAATTATTAATTAAAATTTACAATTCACTATTTAACTATTATGAATTAAATAAAAATAAATCATTTTTGAGATTCAAACTNATTTTTACGTAAGTTATGGAATATTTAAATTATTAGGAAATACAATAGACCTCAACAAAATTAGATACTTTTGATTTTCAAATAGCATACCTTCCCTTTTAAACACGGATTTAGTATGCACTTATTTAAGGTATATGGAGTAGAAGTAAAAAATTAAGAATCGTTTTATAATAAAGCTTAAACGATTTCATATTGATTAGAAAAAACAGAAAGCAAATACAATAAAATTCTCTGAGATAATTGCTGGTTCTTGATAAAAATAATCACTCTGTATATTATGAAATTAAAAACAAATAAGTTATTCATAGTAACTTTCACTTTGAGAATTTCCATGGAACAGATCTGTAAAAGAATTTATTAAAATTTCGTTTATCATTTAGGAAACATAAACATGAAACATGAGAAACATAGACGATTTTTTTCTGTTAGACTAACTTACTTTTCCCCTATCCAAACTTATGTGAAATATCTCATCAACAGGTTTACAGAAATCAAAAATTCAACACCAAAGTGATGTAAAATAAAACTTCATCTATTTATACATTTTTCACATAGATTGCCATTTAAAAATAAAAATTGAATAGTCGTTTCATTCCAAAAATAAGGGTAAAGAAATAATGGTTTCGCAACAATTTACTTACAACAACTACTTACCCCTGTTTCTAAAATTATTAAAAAAAAAAACAATTTTGAAAAAAGTTAATACTTCTCTAGATAATGAGTGTACTCGCTTAATTAAATCCTCCAATACTAATAATATTAAGTAAACCTTAAACACCATTTTTTAAACATTTATTAATAAAATTCCTGTCTTTATAAAGTTAATTTACGGGTCAGGTTAGTTATAAAATCGATATTACATTAAAATGTACAAAAAAAAAATATATAGGTTTAAATACTCGTATTTATAGTGTGTTTAATTAATAATTTATGTGTTTATTTAAGGGCCGAATATGTTTCTATGTTAGGAACGAGCAAAAAATTTAGTTATTTTCTTAAATCGTTGATCGAGCTTGAAACTAGTTAAATTTTAACAAGATGAACGCTAACGTGAACTAAGAGGAATTCCTCTTAAAAGAAATTTCCCGAGCACTGGAATCACCTACTAGTGTAATCAATAATGTCAATAGCATCTTTGAACACCTAACTGAATATATTATATAATACTATCAAAATTTTAAATAAATATTTACGGCCTCATTTTGAAAGTAAGACACAATTAAAATCAAGTATAATTTTAGTTTTCGTTTCTAAAATGAGTTATTTAGACATTGAGGTAGTCGACCGATGGCTCTTTCTATTAGTCCCCCGATAAATTTTACATGAAATCGAAAAAAAAAAATAAACACGAATTGTTTTATCTAATATAGGTATAGTTTCAAAAATAAATTATGTATTTTACCGTAATAGCGCTTTTGTTATTGATTTTGTGCATATTTCGTATCGATATTGTCGATAGACCATCCATTACTAACTTTTGATTGATTTTTAATTCTTGCCCGTCGTACATCGGTATGATTTTCGGAACCAGCCCACTTGCAGTCATGTATTTCTGCAGTAAATATATTATTCTCAATATAAGTATTCATAAAATTATTGAAATTCGAAACACTATTACATTGGTATAAAAATAACATTAAAATAACTACGCATAACCTACGTAGGTAAATGGTAAATATATGTTTAATATTATATTATTACATTTTTGCAAACACATAGATAATTTACCTACGATTGCAAATCTTACATCACAATATTATCATCTATGTATAATATAATTATTATGTAAGAACCTAGATTCAGATAAATAGCTTAGAAGTTTTACTATTTTTTCTTATTTTATATTATTTTTTTGTGTATACGTGTATACACGAGTATGTCCTCATAGTCCAAGACTATAAATCCATAATGGTTTTAACGATTTGAGTAATTTTTTTTATATAATTAACTTAGTAATAAATTATTTCTATAATTATTGCGGTTGAAAAATTATTATATTATTACTTGATTTTGACTGCAGTATAGACCATTATTTCTCTTGGATATCAGTAAATTGGTTTTGAATTTTTTTGCACTTATATAGGAGTTCATAATAATATTTTGAGTATAAGTATTCTTTATTTGTATTAGTGTTTTTTAAAATATACTTAAATGAATATATCGGTTTATAAATCTAATATTCCATATAAATTTTAAAAATAAATAAACTATGGTATTTATACAGAATTTAAGTTAATGTTGTTATGAATATTTTCTGTTACTATGGACACAAAAAACGTATGTGTATTTATTTCTGGAAATCCCTACAGAAGACTTAAGTCATAATGGCCCTGAGACTTAATAAATTAAATACAAAAGTGTCATTAAANTACTTATTGTTTATTTATTTTATGTATAGATTGTATAAAATTCTAAATTTTAAAAAAAAATATTAATAATAATCATTATTTTCCATCAAAATAGAAAAAGATTGAACTATTCAAGATTCGCTCATATGGATCATAATTTGCATAATAAACATACAAAATAAATGTTCAGGTCCAACACCTGAACATTTATTTTGTAACCAATTTTCAAAATTTTATTTTATTATTAACGTTGAAGTTTCTATTTATGTTGCCTATCCAACTCTTGGAATTGTATTTTTATTTTAAATTTATCTATTTATTACTCATATAAATTTCGAAATTTTATTGCATTTTTACAGCTGTTCACAAAAATATATTTATATTGGAGATTAATTTAATAAAAATACGTCCTAGGATAATGGGAGCGGGTGCAGTCATTTTTCTAGGTAAACAATTATATAGGCTCCATATATTTTCTTTACTTATATTTGTTTAATGTTGTATTGATTTCCCCGGTTTTCCTATGTTTTTCCCGATTTTCTTATGTTTTTCTCAGTTTTTCTATAAAAACTATGAAGAAAATCGAAAAATGACCTCTCTAAAATACCTTCCCAGTTTAAAATAATTTATATGATTATAAGTTTGAGTAAAATTTCTGGTAGAATAGTTGTCCACAGGAAAATAAATCTTAATATTATACAAATGTATTTCGTACATTTTCCTATTTATCTCTGCTTTTTTCGGTCTTTCACATTTGATGAAAAAACTCTTGAGAAAATCAAAACAGAATGAGGAGCTCTAAATATGTGAGATTAAAAGCATTAAAATCTGATGAAGTTATTTGGATTTTGATTAGATTCTGTTTCTGTGTTATCGAATAGAGATATCAAATAAGTAGTGCATAATCCAAATGGGAACGAACTAATAAATTATACAAAGTTATTAATACTGATTTATCTTAAAATTGTCGGCAAGAACATTTTAAAAAACCTAACTTTGCGAAAGTTTTTTTCTAACATAATTTATATGGTCTTTAAATGAAAATTTGGTATCAAATTTTACTCCTATAATTGTAGTAGTTGCCTAAAAATGTAGTTACTTACTCTTGATAGGTTAAAATTTTCTAAAATAATAATTTAAATTGTATAGATTCCATTCAATTTTTATGTTTGTAAACTTTAGCTTCATCAGCAAATAATATAATTTTCGAATAAGATATGATACTCGAGATATCGTTTATAAATAGACAGAACAGTGTAGAAGACAAATGATCTTCTTAAGGGACACCAGAAGTAACATAGATTTGTTTAGAGAGAAATTATTCATAGTTAACTATTTGTGTGCTGCCTGAAAGAAAATAGTGAAACCAGTAAGTGGTTTAGTAAAACCATACTTTTTAAGTTTATCGATTAATAAATTATGTATGATTCTATCAAAAGCTTTCTCCATGTCTATATAAATCACACCTGTTAATGATTGACTATTAAATGAATTTAAGATATCTTGTTTGAATATTCATAGATAAATTATTGTTAATCAATTTTGTCCAAACTATGTTGATAATTTGATAATTGTTTACATAAAGGTGTAATGATTTTATTGATTTTTTTTGAAAATATTTTGGGAATAGTTGATAATTTGGAAATCAGACAATAACTATTTATTAAACTTTTATTGGCTTTTTTTAAAATTTGAGTTAAGAATGAAGATTTCCATTGAATTCGGAAAATAACTGAGGATTAGGATTTTTTGAACAAATAAGTAATGATTTGAGTGAGAATAAATGAACATTTATTTAAGAACATTGTGGAAATTTTATCAAGGCCAATTGTTGATTTTGAATATAACAATAAATACAATATCATGGTTTAATTTGTTAATGGTTCAAATAAAACTACCAATAGCAAATTAGACAGTTCCATTATAAATTATGCTTTGAAACCCTGGTCTAATGAACCTACAGAATCAAAGTTGATCTGTTGAAAAGAAGACAAAATTACTTTCTCAAAATTTGTAACATATTTATTAATTATTTTAAGTATATTTTATCTAATTTTAAAATATTAAAAACTGTTTATTAATTATTTAATTTAAACTTGTTTACTTTATTGTTTTTTTTTTCAATTTTATATAAACATACAAATATAAGAATATTATCAATGTATTTTTTATTTTTTCACATTTTAATGTTGAATTACTTGGTATTTTCAAGACTTTTCAAAAATGACATGTAATAAAAAATTATACGTTCATAAAAAATTGTAACATTCAGGTTTTACAACATAGATGGTTTTGCAATTTAGTGTTTGCTATTCGTAGGGGATTCGTGATTAAAGTTGATATGAAAAATTGATCTTCAGAAATAAAACTAAATGATCAAAATAATAAATATAATTCATTAATAAAAAATGATTAGATAATTTTATATATGCTGTAAGTTAAAACAAAATTATTTTTTTAAAATTGAATGTATGTCTTATATTATTTCTAAGGTTTTTTAATGCAGTACTCAAGTAATTGGCTAATACAAAATGATATCCCAACTGTTTTAAGTGTAACACATAGCCATATTATTAATTATTATATATTTGTGTATACTTTGATTCAAAAAAGTATATTTTATTTTATTTTTTTTAATACATATTATCTAGAAGAGCTAAAGGGTGAATATTGGATGAGAACAATAGTTTTAGTATTTTTCAGTCTCATTGGCTTACTCTATGCTAACTTCGAGTAAATTAAATTAATTTTATTAATAAGTTATTTGAGTTTTAACGTTGTGTTTTATTATTAGGCTCAATTAAATTTTTAAAAATATCATCTTTCCTACACTACTCCCAAGAAAGAGAAACTAAGAAAAGAATTATTCAAAACTATGAATCGTATTAGAACAGAAGGTTAATCAATTAGATGTTACACTATCTGAAAATAACTTGATATAATCTTTTTTAAATCTCTGTAAAAATATTTGTCTACAAATTTTATTTTAATAATCAAATTACATTTAATATACTCAGAAAAAGTCATTTTAGATATTCAAAATATTTTGTATTAACTGCCTATTTATTTCTATGGTAAAAAGTTTATAGTTTTATTAAAAGAACTCTTTCTTTTACATCTATAAGTATCCAAGTTTCAAGAAAAAAAAAACTTCTAAATTTTAAATTCTACCTAGTTTAAATTAATTTTTATCTAATTTTTTTTTTAAAACTAAAAATTATAACTTTGAATCATTACAAAGAATGTTTTATGCTGACAAAATGTCTTTAAAAACTAATTTTTTTTATTTATATTAATTAATAGATTAAATAGTAGGATTTAATACAAAAAATTGTTCTAAAATATTTGAGCCTGCAAAATATGCATTTGTTCTAATGTTTAAAGGTATAAATGTTAATTAGATAACATACTTTTTAGTTTCCAATTTTTTTAGTTATGACTTACAAGGTACTTTTTTTTTTTAACAATTACCAAATTTCAAAATACAAATTTAAATGAAAAAACTTTAATCACAAATATGGCATTAAATATAATAGGTTTTAGTAACAGTATCTGTTTCACCTTCTGGACCATACTTTGAAAATAATAATGAACAATTCTGTATATTTTTGATTCACTTCTTCTTTTGAAAGCTAATAGAAATGAGTTTTAAACATATATTTAAAAGTGATGACAATATTTTGACAGAAGATATTTTATTTTGCTATTCAAATATTTAATGCAACTGTTGCAGCTGTCATGGAAATTTATTTAGGTCTTAATAAATTATTATCTTCCTCAAAAGCAACAATTAAATTTATGAAAAAATATGAATAAATTATTTGATGTTTTAAATTCGTGTAAAAAAACCTTTAAATCAAAAAATCTTAACAGGCCTTTCAAAAATATTGTAGCTCAGATTTTATATTTATTGTTAACCTTTCAAATCTACCTATCGACAATGTAATATCTCTTTATAATAAACCAATACAAATAATTAGGTAAGTAGGAACAATCTTAATAAACTTAATGAACATAAAATAAACTTTCAAACTATATTTATAATCTTAAAAACAAATTTAATATAATTATATAAGAAATAAAAACAATTTATTAAACTTCCAATGTAATATAATTTGTAATAAATAATAATTAGAACAATAATATATGAATAAACAAATTTAACACAAAAATACAAAATACTTTATCATATAGAGCAGTCAGTAGTGTACAACCTTTATAGATCCACGACCCCCAATTTATTTATTTTGTTGAGGCGACCCCTTACCAACATTATATAAGTATATTGTATATATACAATATGTATGTTTATATACATGAAATTTTTGATTTTAGGCAATTCAATATTTAGTTAATAAATATAAATTCCAAAATACAATTAAAAAAAATTAATGAAATTGATATAACAATATTATTAACGTTTTAATGATTTTGAAATTATAAAACGAAAATAATTTAAATAGCGACCTGTGCTTGAATCTTAGACTTAATTAATTGTTAGTAGGTTTTATACTTGAGACGGCCATTCTTAAATCTTTTTCAACATTCAATCTGGAACAATATTTAATTTTTATCATCAAAAAAGAAAAATATGCTGTTTCAAATAAATAAATTGAATCAAAAGTAATTAAAGTTGATACTATTTGTTGGATAATTCTGGATATTCGGTTTTGATTGAAATCTAAAATTCATCACATGATATATTTTGGGTATTCCTTGTATAATATTATTTTTTACTATTTTAATTTCTTTAAAATGTATTTTATGACTGACTACGTATGGTTACATTTTATATATATTTCCTTAGGAAACCAAACTCATAGAGTGATTTCAACATAAGTGATGTCTATAAATTATAATGTGATTGAATTTGCAAAACTGACATTTTTAGTTGATTTTTTATAAATTATATAAAATTTTCTTTTCAATAGCATATCATTTTATTTATTAAATTATTAAAAGAAAATTAAAAGAAGAGATAGATTAATAAATCAATGTTGGTACCTAAAACTTGATAAACGATTTGGAGAAGTACTCAAAATTAAACATTTTCAAGTTGCTGTTGATACTTAAATTTCTTCTCATAGATCATCTCGATTTAAAAGTGTTAAATATAGAGTTACAAAATCTGAAATACATTTGGTATTTGGCAGCAAAATATTTTTAAATTCTTATAATAACTAAAGAAGATATGGTTAATCATACAATAAAAACTGCTGTGATATTGCATAATTATCAGAAAAAACGATAGTAAAAATTTTGCATTACCTTAATTAAAATTAATGGTTATATAAGTATAATATTATTTTAATAGTTTAATACCTACTCAATTGTATTTTATAGACGTTCGTTATTAGATAATGATTCATAATATTACTGTAGTTTTTCAGATATTGACTAAATACAAAATCGTGTTTGGAAGGCGGAACCGTGGAACTGAGGAAGCAAAACTCAAAAGATATTTGTGATTTCGACAATCTATGGTTGTTACCACGGTACACGGACTAAGGTGGTTACCGATTGATAAAAAAGATTTCTTTATCATTTATGTCGTTACTACGGTAACGTTGTTGGGATGCCGTGCGCCAACCATGACACTCTATGGCGCCGGTAAAATTATTGAAATCTTTATCATTTAAATTTTATTTAGTTAATTAGTTTTAACGTATAAAATAAAATATTTAAATTTTTTAAATCCAATCAATATTTGTTAATTATAATGAATATTAAATATTAAATTTTCAAGTGATAAATATCCCACTAAAGTTTTATTCATTTGCTCTTTATCCCAAACGGTGATGATCAATATTTTTATTTGTTAATTTATGTGCAATTGTGATCTAAGGTTTTTGTTACAATTTAAAATTTAAAGTTAAACCATGGTACTTACTGAATTTGTATTACAAAGATATAAACAATAACCATGCCTTAAATCAACAACATTAAATAAAAACAGCAATTTGAAGAATTCATAATATTATCTGTAGGTAAGTCAACATTATTATATCATAACACAGTTCTTATTTAAATATATTTAATTTACAACGCAGAAGCTTTTTTCCTTACATAATATTATTATGAAAAGATAAATCATAATAATCAACTAAAATGTTATAAATTCTAAGCAAGTTAAGAGGATTTTTTTTTTTTTTGCTGTTATTTTCTTGAAAATACTTCTGGGAAAAGTATACCTATTATTAAAGTAATATAATAAATTTATTAGAAAACAATTAATTTTAGTTCAAATTAGTCTGGTGAATATGTAATTGAGATTTAATGGCAACATGTATTATAATATAATAAGTTACCTATCAGTTTTAAATTAAACATTCTTAAAGAATATTTTCTAACTAAGTACATAAATTGATAATTTATAAAGATTTTTTATTTCTATATTACCTATTCATTGATTTTAATAGATATTTAGTATGTGATTTGTATTTTACACGGGGTTTTCTCCGTTAAGCCTTCACAATAAATAACATAAATTATAGATGTTTTTCATCTGTACTATCACAGTAAGTAGGTACCTATCTATAAATAATTTAAATAATTTAATAATTAAAAAATCATAAATACTGTCATAAAATGTTATAGTGTAATTATTATTCAACTCATCAATTTCCCATTTGACTATAATGTATATTAAATTATTAAGTTAGTATCGGTTAGAATTTTACAATGATTAAATCAAAATGTTAATAGTTAGCATAATGATTAGATAATTGATAGTAATTTTAAATTGTTAATAAAATTATTAATTCAATATTATAACATTAATGTCTAATCTAACCTATTGATTAATAAATTATAATAATAGCAATTTGTTAATAATTAGGTAATCATAATCACAAATATTAATCTAATATGATGGGTACATTAAAACTATGTTGGGTTCTCAAAAAAAGAAATAATATGCACAGGTTTAATTTTTGTTATAAATGTATACAATTTAATGGTATTATTAATTTAATCATTATTAAACCCTGTTGTGATTTTTGAATAAACAGTTTTGACCCCTATAGCCCTGTTTTTTTAATTACAGGATTGAATAAAAATATTAATTTAATAACTTGGTTTGATTAGTACTTCTGATACAATTTGAAGTATTATTTGCTCATATCAAATTTCAAAAATATTAATCTGATAGAAAATGATTGTCCGTATCTGCGCACGGTGCCCAAACATTGTCACACGAATGACATTCCACTGATCCCTTCTTACCTGCAAAATTATCAAACTTGAAAATTGTATCTACATTCTGTAGTATATCTTGCTAAAAATTTCAGCATCATTTCTTAATTTATTAACTTTACTTTATGCAATTTTTTCTATAAATAACCCTATACAAACCAAAATTAGGTAACCTAGTAAACCTAGTGGTTTCACAGCCAATCATAATATGGGTGGACAAAATGAAAACATATACACAACATTTTAGAACTGCATCGAGTATTTTAAATTTTTCAAAAAAAAATTGCCTATATACATACCTATATACCGAGATTATTAACGTTTTATAAAAAAAATGTACGTCCTAGTTGTAGGTATAATAATCCGATATATTTATTATTTTTCAATGGATGATTAGGACTATGATTTAAAGGCATGTACTATTTTTTAGAAAATGTTAGAAAAATAATGGTTTTTAATAAAAAAGTATTTCATTTAATTGCCATAATAATAAAGAATTAATGAACATAATTTTTGATTTGTTTTTTTTTAAATTTATTTATAGGTATGTTGTATTAGATCAGTTTATCACAATATTTTTGTATACACTTATGTTTTTACAGTATACAAATCTATCACTTTCGATGTTTATGTTTACCTACTATGTTTTTTCTAAGACCTTTTATTCAAATATACAGAAGTGAAATAATTGTTTTATTTTAGACATTTTAGGTAAGTAGATATACATATAAAAATTGTTTTTATTTTTTGCTTTCTTCACATTTTAATTCCTTTTTTTTTTTATTATTCATTTAACCTTAATATCCGAACCCTGGATACTGAAAATACATTTTAAAGTATGTATTAATGTTTTACATCCACCTATCACCAGTTAGAAATTACAAACGAAAATACAAATTACAAACATTTTATCAAGCACGTTTCGAAAAACATTCAACCGGATTTCATTAATCGAAAATGTATTCTTTGTACTTAGCTATGCGAACAAATAAGAAATAATTAGATTTAGTTAAAATTATTTTAAAACTGATTTTAAAGAAAAATGTACCCATTGTAATTGAATTTCTACGCGAATCGCGCGTGTGTCTCTACGTGTATCTCTACTTATTATTATGCCTTATCTTGCATAAAATGCGTAAAAAATCTATTTACTTGGCGAGAAATGCAGTTATGATGGCGTATATAGAATTATTATTATGATACGAGAAAAAGATACCGTCACTAATAATATAATTTTATTTATTAGGCATGTTTGTATTTTGTAGTCCCGCTGAGTCTCTATGTACCTACGCTTGTTATTCCTCTTGTAACCAAGAACCATAATATATTGTAACTATATATTCAATAGGCTTATTTTTTTCTCCATATAACTGGTTGGACGGCTTGTGCTTCTCGACTCTTTGTCTCATGAGCATATTCATTGGAAATGCGTGCACTGTGACGAAAAAAAACGACTATATATGCCTGTGTCCTACTGCATGTATAGATGTGTTTAGCAGTGGCGGCCCAGTGTTCGGAATGTGAAATCGAACTGCATTTAGTATGATGGTTTGTATTATATTGCTTTGATTGTTGATTTGCCAAGTCTGTGTAAAATATGTTGTCCTGTAGGAATGTTATTAAACCTATATAATGTAGTACATATGCCATATGGGTGTCTATAAGTGTAGGTACCTGAATAAAAAACGCATACCTTTACAAAATATAATGGATAGGTAACCATCGAGTATAACGATTAATATTCAGAATAGGCCTGAGGTTTTTTTTTTTTATTATGCGTTTTTTTCTGTTCCTTTCTCAGTAGTTCACAAAATATCGAGATTATAATATTCTATTCGGGCACACATTTAAATTATTACACAGCTGTATACTTTAAATCTCACGAAGTTGTATCGCGTAAAAAAAAACATTGTCAAATAGCTATTGTTAATACGCATTTGAGTCTTACAGTTGAATACTTAAACAACTAAACAGTTAGATACTAGTAGTATTATTATTTCAAATAATACAGTATCGTATCCGGGATGGTATGTTTTGGAATTTTTAAATTTATTTTAAATATCGTGTTTCAATTTCAAAAATACTGTTGTATGCATTGAAATGTATACGGTTTCGAAATTGTCTAGACATAGAAAGTCATTTAAGTATTTAACGTTTTTTTTTTAAAAAAAAAATAAAACTAAATTATTTATACAATACGAATATAATTCAACCTACAAGTTGGATTCTTTTGTGTCGAAAATACTCGTTATATAAAAAAAAAATAAATACCTTTTTGATAGTCTATATTTATTTTATGTATCGTATTTTGACTCAAGAGTTGAAGAGTATGCAGTATTTACCAACTTATGTCTTTATTCTGAAAAGAGTTCTGTATTTTATTATCTCAGAATAAAGAAGTTTGATGTAATCAAAAAAATCTCCGAAAATGTCTGAATGACACTTTTAGATATTTAATTAGACACAAAAATTAGAATAAAATAGAATTATTTCCAAAAAATTAATCTATTCGGTATAATTTGAAACTCTATAAAAAAACTAAAAGAAATTTCTAATGCTATACTCAAATTCGTTTTTCAAATTTTTAAATACAAAAAAAAAATGAATCAATCAATGCGTCGCCTTGAGTATTATGATAAGTGTATCTATACGACCGTTTTCGAATTATAAATTTTTGATCACAGTCAAAATGTAAAACACGATTGAGTATAAATAAAGAGCTGATACTGTGGACGGGTGCGGCCACGGTTGTAGGTGAGAAGTTGGGACGGTAGGATACAAAAGGTTATTTTATTTATATCTGTAAGCAACGATAAACCATTGCTGACGAAAGACGATTTCGAGCGCAGTTCGGTAATACATAATTTGAAGTGCGTTAAATGACGTTTTTTTTAACCTAACCTTCCTACGTTTTTTTCCGATTATTATGAAAATTAATTCGAAAATCAAAAAACGACCTCCGTCATTCATAACAAGATTAATAATTCAACAAAAAAGGTGTTTTATTATTTTTCAATTGGAGCCATATTTGTGCTAGAAAACGTAGTAGGTACTTATTTTAAATATCGTTTCGGAAATCAAAAAATGACCCATGTATTTACCAAGTAGATAAAATTGACTTTCAGAAAAGGTGCTACGCTTATACATCGGAAGAAGTTTTCTAGGCTAAAAGTGGTCTACAGTATAAAAATAAAATAATAATAATAAAGTACCAATGTAAACAAATTATAAAAGGAAAAGTCGTCCGATGATTTTTGGAAACTTGACCACGTCTAGATAAGTATAATATAAGTATTATTACCAAGTTTCAAGTCTCTACGTGTATTTATAACAGCAATACACCAAAAAAACTTCCAAAAATTAAAATTCCTTAAAAGCTCAGAAGTAACTCAATAGTTTTGGCAATGATACCGTAAGAAAGTAAATTAAAAAGTCAACAAAAAAGATATCTTGTGATTTTTCGAATAAATCATTATTTTCTGGTAGAAAACGTCGTCCGTGTTTTTATAAAATAATGAAATCGTAAAATTGTACGTTTTCCTACGTTTTTTCCCACCTAAATGCTTTTATTTAAAAATTTACTTCTTTAAAATACAATCTGAACAACTTCAGCTTTCAAAAAAGTTGCTACACGTAGAAATCGGAGCAAGTTTACTAGGAAAAATTTGTCCATAGACTAGAACGAAAAAAAAATAAATATCAGTGTAAAACCGATAGCTCTCTAGCTATGCTTGGAATCTAAAATTGAATGAAGGAATACATGGAAAACAAAAATTACAAATTGGCCGTTTTAAATAGACTATAGAAATAATTTATTTTAATAGGAGAGATAATTTAAAATTATTTATTATTAGACACAGATATGTTAAGAAATGTAAATTATTTGATTATTTATTGTCTAAAATGTATTAATATAAGATATTATTCTTAAAATCGGTTTGAATATTTAAAATATTATTAAAATTATTTTTCTTTATTTCATTGTGTATGTGTAATTCTTCTAAAACTGAATTAATGTAAATGTTATTTTAAGTATTTAATATTTCTAAGTCTGTGTTAGTATCAAAACTTATAAATTTATTATTTTATTACAAAATAATTAAATAATCCTATTATTGTATTATGCTACCTACTTAGAATCATTCGTTGGCACAAATAGGGGAGCGTTAAGTTAACCACTCCGAATAGAGTCCTTATCAAGTAAATACTAAGTATACATAGTAAATATTATGGGGGCTCAAGTCCCCTTCCTAAAAATGCATTTGGCTAGTTGTAATTTCTTCTTAAAATTACCAATGCATATTGTACTCTATAATCAATATAAAAATAGAGATAGGAATGGATGTGCCAATGTTATAGGTGGAAAGTTGGGAGTGTAGGATACATAAAGTTATTTAATTTATATCTATACGCAACGATAAACCATTGCTAAGGAAAAACGATTATGAATGAAGTTCTGTTATCCTTGAATTCTTCTTCTTCTTGGAGTTCCTATCCGTTCCGGATTCTGAAAACAAAAATACTTAATTTTTAATCTAATATTTTATCTGTTTCTAATGATGTATGAAATAGTTCACTTCATATTACAATAAATGAATTCCTATTTTTAATTCACCGTTTTATTAAATAAACTACTTGTCAAATCAAAAATCAAATAATTTCCTCTTCAATGCACCAACTATTTAGATTTCGATTGCTACAAGAAAGTTTCTATAACGTTTTTGACTGGAGCATGATATTTGATAGAAAAGTACAGACACCAAAAATAAAAACACATAATAAAGCCATTAAATTTAAGTTATAAATACAGTAATAACTCTATTAATTGTCCTTTTAAAATACAAAAAATTGCCCAAAAAAAAAAAAAAACCCACAGTTATAATTCGATTTATAACGTTCAATATTTTGTCGTATTGCGTCATCCAACTCGTGCATGAACCCAAAATGCATTCCACTTAGGGTAGGGAACTACTTAATACTAACTGTAAGTGATATCCAAAATTGTTTTTACACAAATATTAATCCAAATAGGTTGGTAAGTAGGTTTTATTTTATTATGAACTGCTGTTAAAATACCAATAGTCATTAATATTTTTTTTTGTAATACAACAGTCGATTAAAATTAAAATATTTATACAACAATAAATCTATGCTTTTTAATTTCATGAGATTAATAATTCAAATTGTTTTAATTGCATGCAGATATGTAGTTAAAATATAATAATGAATATTATCTACGTTTTTCCCAGTTATTCATAAACATGTCCTCATTAGTGCACCAACTATATGGATACAAGTGATTTTCAGAAAATATGTTACTCTGAATATCGGAGCACTATTTTATCTAATAGAAAAGCGTTTCTAACTGGTAGAAAGAAAATCTTCGTGGCAAAAACTAAACGCGCTTCTCCCTGCGTTCAGAATCTAAACAAATTATCGTAATAAATAATTCGCAAAATACGACGGCCAGTCGATAATTTCTAAATTATTATATTATATCGGGTGGGGTTTTTTTTTTTTTTAAAAAAAATAGTTCGCATATTAATATAATGATTTTGAATTAATAACGTACATACAATAATTATTATAACAGTCTGTAATAACAAATTATTATTATTATTGTACTCGAACCCGCCGTGTTATACGCCCGTATAGTTGGACGTTGATTCGCTTTATTTCCCGCAGAACAATTAACTAATCCGATTTCGTAATAATTTATTAAAAACATTTTTTTTTTTTTTTTCATCATCCCGCCGCGCCATGCCTATCGAATATTATAAACCGTAACATTTTGCGAACTCCCGGCTTGCGGTTCGTATAAAAATATACTACGTCCGATACCATAACGAACCGTGGATTCCTGTCGTCCCCTCGACGACCCAACGCCACCGTCGCGATTCAGTTCAGTTTTGCTGTGTGCTCGGAACGGCACGTGGTGTAATTCCCCTGTCGGCTGCGTAATTGTTTCACGTTTTTTTTTTTTATTTTTCTATTATGGTTGTATTTCTACAAAACATGCACGTAGTTTAATGTCGATGAACGATTTACAAATTAATAATATTAATTTTGTAACATTATTCGCTCGCCGGTGTATTAAATTACTGCAGGTTAATATTAGAATTTACAGAATTTGAATTATTATTACCTATTTTGGTTTCGTTTACGCCTATTTACCTATTTACGTTTTCATTATAACAATAATTCCGTAAAAGTCTTCGTCTTCGAAGAATATAATAATATTTCAATATTCAGTATACACATTTCAAACACAACGCGTGTAAGTATATAATATACCTAATATTATAAATTATTGCAGTAACAGTATCGATTCCGCATGTTTAAAAAATATATTTTTAGTTCCGACGAGAAGGGTTCGAGTTGATATTTTATTTTTCTATCCACACGGCCTAAAGTGTATCTATATTTGTAAAAAAAAAAAAAACAGTAAATAATATGGATATTGAGTACTATATATATAGTACCGCTATTTTCGAAATGTATAATTTGATTGTTTTGAGAACTATACAAAATCGCCTTCAGCCCTTTTTGTCCCTGGAACCAAAAATATATTATCGACGACGTGATGGACGAACATAATATAAGATTATCGAATTGCAGATTATGTGTCTGTCTTTTATTAAACATTTTATATTTTTAAGATATTTTAATTAAACGTTAATATTTTTACTTACCTATTCGACGAACTATTGAATATTTCACGTAATAATATTAACTGCGTGCGTAAGAGTTTTGTATATCCATAGGTTTTATTAGGTGTAAGCAATAAGTACAGGTATAAGTGACGAAAATATACTTAGGTTTCTAGGTACGTTAAAAAATTACAATAGTTTTTGTAAAGATTTGCCATTTTTCTGTATTCGTATCGTTAGTAAAAGGTTTCATTTTTTTGTTCCAATACTCGAACGTTAGGTATATTCAGCACCTCTTTTAGTTGAACACGTGCTCGTATCATTATTTATTTGAGAATGAACACTTTGGGGTCGTTTACTTCAAATATTTTCGTGCCTATTTTCGAGATGTGTAGGTTCCCTTTTTTTCTTCTACATTTTTCAAAAATAATATTGTTATTCTTTCACGATTTTTTACTGCTACGTTTTACGAAAAAAAATTAAACTAATAATATGTCCGCATTATCATACAGGGGAAAAAATGCATAAATATATTTGGAAATATTAAAATGTAGGAAAGTATATTAAATTAATTTGAAGTTTATTTAAATATTTATACACATTTTTTTTTTAACAAATTTAAGTTAAAATATAACCAAAGAACTGTTACATTCTTATCGTCGTTTCTCTGTAGGTATATAGTTTTAATAAATACGTGTACGTTTTAATCAAGGGATTAACATCGTCTTAACATATCGTCACTAACATTTGTGTGTTCTGTTTCGCGCTCAATACAGGAACAAAAAAAATTCCACATATTCTCACGATTTCGATTCTGGGGTTGAGTTTAGAATAAAAGGGACTTATTAATTTAGACTGTTACTATAGACACTATTGATGATTTTTGTTTTTACTTTTATTTCTTTAATAAATTATTAATGGTTACAATCAAGACCAAATGCATATCTTGATAAAAAATGTAAATATTTAAAAAAAAAAAAATCGCTCGTAAAATTCATAGTAAATAATCGTATTTATATAATGTATAGTATATTATCATTGCCCTAAACTCAGCCGAAAAGTCGCTATCGTCGCCCTTGTCGCTCATATATTACGCACGAGACAGACTGCAGACAAATCAAAATGTTAAGTGACGCGACCTATGTGACTTGCAATTGTTTTATATACATTCGTAAAAGTACCGATTTTCAAACATTATAATGTTATTAATAATTCATTTTACTACGCGAATTTTAAATTACGTTTTATGTATCTGCGCATTTATTAGTTTTCTACCTACCGAAATACATTTCATCGGAACAACTACCTATACGTGTCAATACGATTAAATATAACAGTGTTTTATTTTTAAAAAAATCAAATACGTAAATTATTAATATCGTTTTAATTGGAAAAAATATTTCGTATAATTATACGGCATTGGAGGTCGGGAGGTTGTGTAATCCTATATATTATAGGAGCCACACGTGTGTACTATTGTTTAATTTGTTTTCAACGCGGCTTACAAAATATTATCACTGTACAAATAATCAGTACAATTGATATTTACTCAATTCGGGTTTTTTTTTTTTTTTTATCCATACTACAGATATATATATATATATGTCTTACTGAACACTTGAATATAATTAACGTAGTTCTTGAGACGAGAACATATTTTGTCGTCTCAATCAGCTATGTACTCGTATTTTTTTTACATACACTATATTATTATTATTATTATTATTATTATTATTACTATTACACACTATATAGCCACTATTATGGGGTCTTTGTAGTATAAATATTTATTCAACGATATTTTTTTTTTTTTTAGAATTTAGAAATTTACATATTGGTTTTTACTATGGTGTATGATTTTTTTTTTTTTATTTCTCAACAACTTTTCTACCAGAAATATTGCTCAAGTGTACTTCGGATTTTCGACTGTAGCATCTTTACTGAAATTAAATTTATTGATTTTAACGGTAGTTTTCACTTTTTTTAATAATTGAAGAAAAAGTGGGAAAATTTAAGGTTAACTTTGGTTAGGTTTTTGTCGTAGTTCACAAATATTAGAATTTTCTAGACCTAGTAAAATGTATAAAACATTCCAACGATTTCTGTGCTATTTATGAGCATTTGATGTTCAAGTTTTTTTTTTTGTTTTCATTTGGTTTGATGTGGATCTAAATATTTTGACTGAGCAGATATGCTTGAAAATTTTACACGAAAACTTGAGGAAGCAGTATAATTTATTTTTTATAGCGTTTATTTAAAGTTCATATTCTCACCAAAATCGTAATATCATGGCATTTGAAATCATGCTAAACAACCAAACTTCGCTCAGAATCTTTTTTTGTTAGTAACGATTTCTCATTGCGTACAGATATAAATTAAACGATCAATTTCCCACTTACAACAATGATTACCGGAGTGACTACACCTACAGTATCAAATGCTGTGAGTGTAATTGTTTTTTTTTTTTTTTTGGTTTCTCGTTTGTATGCATAACGTGTATTATATTATTATGAATTATTTATAATATTATTGGTCTTTCTTGGTTACTACTATTATTTAATCAATGCGATTAAAGATTGGTCGTACATTGGACTTTTGAGATTCAGTAGTAAATCCTGTTAATTTCAAACGTATTTAATATTCAGAATTATGATAAGCCCGGAATAATTTTCTATGCAGTTGCGGTAAATATATTCAAACAGCATTGCACGGGGACATCATTTCAATATATACAGGTAGACTCAACACATTTTCCGAATAATGGTCATTCATTCAATAGATATTTCAGTTTCTATACTTTCAATAGCAATAATAATGACGTTAAAATTGTAAATTTTATTTTGAAAGTTCATACCGTCTTTAAAAACTCGATCAAAACATAGAAACAACGAAAATTTGATCACAGTGGTTGTTTACTGTGAGGGCATACAAGTAAAAGACCGTATGTGTGGTCTTTGCACATTTTATGAAAAATTTGTTGATATTTTCACTTTTATATTCTGAGTGGAGCAAAGAAGCTTATGGTTTTACAAAGATGTACAAAGAATGTTTTTTTTTGTCTGTGCACAATTTTTCTACCAGCAATTTCGCTCCAACTTGATGATAGCAATGAGCAAAAGAAAATTTCACTAACGAGATACTTAAGAAAGGTCATTCTTTGATTTTCTCAAGAGTTTTCCTAGCAAATATGCAAAACCGAGATAAAACATGGAAAAATCGGTACAAAATTAAAGAAATATTATTAAAAAATATATATATAGAGTCTATTTAATTATATTACTATAAAATCACATGTATATTGTTGACAAAGCATCACTATCAATTGAACTCAGCTCAGAATCGTTTTTTCGTTAGCTATGGTTTATCGTTACCCACAGATATACATTAAGTTTCCTTTTGTATCCTACCTTCCCAATTTCCCACCTACAACAGTTGCTGCAACCACGTGCGAAAATGTATGTCTTTTTTTCATTAACTTATTCTCAATTATAAATAATTTAATGACAAAACATACGTTAATAAAAAGATATTTTACATGTAGCTTTTAGATTACGAGCGTATTTAAACTTAGTTTTTGAAACGTACTCAATTTAGAATATTATATAAGTAGGTACGATTATATTATATTATGTTAATTTACAAAAAAAAAATATGTTTACGTCTGTAACTGCAGCCGTGCATATAATTATTACAATTGTATAATAAATTACCCGCGGAGACTAAACAAGGAAATCAATTTTCGTTGCAGCTAGTAATATTGCAGTTCATTGAAATTCTGATCCGAATGGTGGTTTTGGATTTTAGATAAACCAGTTTTTTTAAGGTTTCACGGCTTTTCACAAAATTATTTAAAATCAGTAAGTAATCTAACATTGACGGTGTATTTTTTTGTTAAACTGGGTTTTTTTTCCAACTTTTTAACTGTTGATTCGCGGAAAAGTACATTTTAAACGATTTAGGATCTCTTTTTGAATAATAATTTAATACTATAATTTAATTAATTAATTATGTATAGTATATAGTATTAATAATTTAAAACTTTCCTCCGCTGTATGCAAGACAAATCATACCGCCGTATTATGTCCAACCCCGTAGAATCGTGATTTTACAATTTTTATTTTATTTTTTCTAAGAAAATATGTTCTTATAATCTTATCATTATGTATATAATACATTTATTTATTCGTATTTATTTTCTGATAATCGCGAAAAAATGAGTTCCTAGATTTTTTGATTTTTTTTTCTTAACGTTTATTACGTAAATTACATAAACGCAGTGATAATAATACACATATTATGTTTTTCAATTATATAATGATAATATATTATCACAGAATACTTTATGACAATCTTGTCTGCTGTATTATGTACGAGTATTAATCGGTATTTTTTGTACGTTTAATAACATATTATTATCATATTAAAATAATAGTATTTTTTCGAGTATAATACTCGTACATTTATTGGCTGGTATCAAAAACTGAGTGACCGGTATGATAATGGCAATTTTCTAAATGACCTAGGTAGTATATTATTTAACCAATATTATTTGATATATATGTATTTTTCAATTTTTTTGGTAATGTATATGTATAATTATTACATAATACTGAATATAAGTGTCATACGTATCTAATGACTTATTAATATCTACGAAGTCTGGCTATTAAATAACGAAACTGATTATGAAAAATATCACGATGCCGTTGATATCGAAGAAAACGATCAGCATGATTTTGAATTTGGATTACGACTGAATTGGATTCCGGTGCACTCTCGACCTTCAGAAAATAATTTATGCCACTCAAAAACACGCGCCCGAGATAGGAAATCCTCACNGTTGCTCATGTTTTTCGTCACACATCGTTTTCGGCAAGAGAAAAAACATGTTCGTTTCTAAACGCTACAGAAAAAATACTAATGCACCAACAAAAACCCAATTTTGTACTGGCATAATAGACACTTCCAGCTAACCAGCGCTGTTTTCGGTTTTCCCCTGACCTTTTTGGGACGCTCTCTGCGCGCGCAGTCTTGTTATTTAATAGCCAAACCTCGTAGTTTTGGATATTTAATAGTATACAAATAATAACATAATATAATATTGATGATTAACATTAAAATGTATGATACAACATCGTTTATATTATTACAATATTTTTTTTTCGGTATTACAAAAAGAAACCAATAATGAGAAAAAAATAAATACATTTTGGTATTCAAAGTCCAAAATTCAAATGCGGCCATACGTTGACATTTAAAAATCTGGCTTCGAGATTAGATGTTATTCGAAATGTCTGATGACCCATAGATATTTTAGCTGTTCATTCCATCACGTAAACCCATCGCCAATAATTCATTTTATTTGAATGTCTTTCGAAATGCAATGTCCATTGGGTTCAGCATTCAATTTTACCGATTTATCTGATTGATATTTCTTATGAGTTCTTATTTGCCATGATTTATAAATTGTGGTGTCTAAATTTTTAATTTCCGTCAATTCGTTGACGAGATATTCCACTTTTAAGTGTTGGTTAGGAGGGAATAATGGTACATTATTAATACGACGCGCGCTGTGCCACCACACAAATGATGCTCAACTACTCTCCCCCGACCCAAACTTAAAAGTGAAATATCTCGTCAACGAATTGACCGAAGTTTAAAACTTAAACATCACAATTTTTTATTTATGAAATTTTTAATAAAGTTTGCCATTTAAAAATCAAAAGTAAATAGTCGTTTCACTCCTAAAAAATAGGGTGATAAAAATAACATAAATTTAAAATTTCAGGGCCTCTTGTTTATACAATTTTCTATAAAACAAATATCGATAAAAGTTTGTACTTTCCGAGGTCATGAGTGTGTTACGATTGATCACCCGTATATTAATGCCAGAGGTAAGTTGCCTATAAGCTATTATAATGTTTGATTATATAGGAAAATGTTTTTAATCATAAATGCAATTTAAATATTTTGGTATCCAACAATCTTCCATCGGATCCATCGATTACAATAAGGCAATAAGGTTATACTCGTATATTTGATCGGATAGTATATCGTGCGTCATCCACCGTATTTGGGTTTAATAGGGCACCAATTATCGTCGCAACTTTTAGTTTATAGTACTTCCAATTGTTAACAATTAACATTGTATTATTGTATTGACAATATTGTTATTTATTAATAACTTTGTTTTTTTTTTTTACAAATACTAAATATTTTAAAGATCAAAAATCTACATAATATCATTCTGGACAGTCAATATACGTATATATTTCTCGTGTTACTATTTTATATAACTATTAAGATGATCATATTCATATATTGTTTACAATAATGTTGTTTTTTGTGTAACATTTAATTTCCATCATTGTTCTTTGCCCTTTTTTTTTTTTTGATTTTCACAGATAGATAATTATATAACAATAACTTACTTATATACTTCAAAAATCATAAATAATGTAATTGGGTCAAATGATTTCAATACGAACGATACCTATGATTACTGTGTTAGATGTCGCACAAATCATGGAAACGAATCGTCACGTTTGAGTAAATACCGAATGCATTTAAAAATGGCATCCTTTGTGTTTAATAAAAGTGTTCGTATTATTCTATAGCTATTCATAAATAAATCGTATAATCTTCTGTTATTTCTAAACTGACAATGAGAATTTAAAAACCAAATCCAAAGAGTCAAATTTGTATGTAATAAATCAAGCTTTTTTCTTGGAATTCGACTGAAATAAATAATTTTAAATTAAAATTACTTAATAAGTACTCAAACGTGTTGTTGTTTTTAAGCCAATGAAAAAAGATATACCTAACCCTTAATTTCCCTCCTGCGCACGCCTCTGTGTAAAACATACACATATTTTTTCTCATGTGTATAGGAATGGTGTTGAAGTTTATGACACGTATGGCACCTTTTATACATTTTTTTTATATTCAATGCCTACGAATAAATAAATAAATCTTGGTTTTAGAGTTCATTAACACGGGCAAACAAAACGATTTGACATTTTTTCGGTATAAAATATATAATTTATATAAAATCGAACATAACGGTTTTGTGTGAACTCGCATTTTAATATCTGACAAAGTATATAGGAGTTCTTCAAATTCTAACACCTGTTAAACCTAACTTAGTCTGACCACCTGTTCAAATATTAACTTATTTTTCTTTGGAATCGCAGCGGTGTTCATATAATATAATAAGAAAATCTAGTGTGTTATTCTTGGTTAAACAATCAAAATAGTATAATAGATATAGTGCTTATAAAGAAGTATAAACAATAGTAGATACTTTGAACGATAGGAAGTAGAAGGTATATCAAAAAAATAAAAAACTCAAACATTCACGCGATTAGTTGTTATCGTGAAAATATTTTAGGATTTTATAAAAGTAAAAAAATAATGATAGTTACATTTATATCATATTGTATATATAATATAAAAACTAAGTTTATAAATTAAGCATATATAGTTCTATCGTACTGGTGTTGCTACTGTATAAATCAATACAACCAAAAATATTTGAAAAGGTTCAGATAAGATACGAAATAGGTAACTGCATTTATTTAATAATTTGCCAATTATACCTATGCAGAATAAATCAGATCGACACTATTAGGTTTTTAAGAAATATAAACAATTTTTTGAAATCATGAACGTATTCACTCTTAATCAAAATATATTGTAATAATCATTAAAAAAAAAAAAAAAAATACTAAAATAATAATTTAAACTAATTGTTTATTATTAACTAAATTATTCGCTATATTACAAAGTTATCAGCGTTTATTTTTATCTCTCAGATTAGAATTATATGAATTTTATTTTTTTTTTCAACCTATTAATCATACTGATACTGCCTATGGTGTGGTCCTTTTGTTATTGTAATATAGTTCAAGTTCAGCTGCTTATTGTTTTTAAAAACCTTAAAATTTACAGTTATAATAAAAAGTCTATTAGTTTTTTAGAATATTAGGATCTAATTATATAATCGCTTAACACAATTTATATGGGGAAAAACAAAAAGCCAGTAATTGCAGGAGATTTATAGATCGTATTTTTAACGAAATTTATCGTCCTTTTGAATTTAAAATTGTTGATAAAATTAAATTACGTGTTAAGTTCAAATTTTTTGGAAAACATTATCCATAATTTTTGATCATTTAGAAGAGGCGAAAAAGGTTTTATTATCATATACCTAAGTGGACTAAAATGTCTGTGGTTTTTACAAATTGTTCCATAAATTAAAACTTTGAACGCTCAAAAGAAGAAATTCTCGACTACAGAATTTAAATATAAAAAAACTTGTTTATAGTTCATGGCCTTATACTGAAATTTGTGATTTGTGCGTTATAAAAGGCTTGCGGAAAAAGGCTTAAAGCAGATATTTTTTTAAAGTTAATATTTAGTTTTAATTAATTTTGACAAAGAAATGGAATAGTTAACTTTTGAAAAAAGTATCTCACGCACTCGTTTCTCACTTAAAATATTATAATATATCTTTAAAAAAAAAAAAAAAAACCGACGTACAATTACAGATAGAATATGTTCTTAATTTTCAATTTGATAATAGGTCGACAACAACAAACAATTGTATAATACTCTTTAAGTCTAGTGTAGAATATTTCATTAAGTATATAGTCCTCTAATCAATAACTAATTATTTTTATTTTTAATTAAAAAAATGCATATTGTTACTAATATGATTTATTCATACGGTTGTTTTCGAATTAAATTAATCGTTTTTAAATTATGCTTTATACTCGTACTTATTTAAATACTTTTTTTTCGTTTTCTGTTTAACAAATTAATAATAATAAACATTAATAATTTGATTGTTGATTAACAGAATGTTATGTACAAGTTAATAATAATGACATTTTTTATTACCACCGTAGTATTATAAAGGTATACCTTTATCTAACCTAACGATAAATATTAATATACATTATTATTTGTTGGTAGTTTTTTTTTAAAAATTCTGAACGAAGCAGCAAACGTCGTTATATAGTTTTATAATGACGTGTGCTTCCCCTCTTTTTTACTTTTTTTTTTTAAATCTCAGAAAACACTTTTTGTGACAGTGAAAATAATGATAAAAAAAAAAAAAAACGTTTCATCCCACTTAGGCAGGTATGTGTTTCACGTCTTTATATATATATAAGATGTATAACAAACTGAACACAAACGATGCCATAGACCGATCGTTATTTCAAAATTACCAAACATAACATATAAGCGGTTTAATATAATAATAATATCTTTATTACAAAAAATAAATTTCAATTTGCATATAATATAAGTACAATACATTACAAAAAAAAGACGGATAAAAATAATAAAGGAGGAAACAATTCAGATACAGTATACGGGAACAAAATAAAATAATAATAATACAAATCAATTGATAAATAAATGCATCGTTTTAAAATAGTTTAGTGATGTCGAAAATCGACGAATGGAAAAAAAAAATGACTTATGAGCAGTAGAGATTAAAATATGAGACGGGGATAAAAACATATATTTTTTGAACTATTATGTAAATCAAATAATAATGATTTATTTCTACCATTATTATCATAATTACCATTAGGAAGTTTGAACGTAAAATTAAGACTCAATTAATTCAGAACAATTCAAGACATTTATGTGTACAGCTGTAGCCGTGCTTGTTTTTTTTTTTCATAAGCTATTATCGTTTACTTACCTAATATAGTATAGTATATACTTGCATTGTATTTTAATACTACCACGCGTATCTTTCGAATTATAAATCAATAATATGATTTATCTAAATTTCGTACACTATCCTAATTTCTTAATAGGCAGTTAATCTTTTGTAAAATTGATTCGGGTTTAATAATAACGATAAAATACTAATATTTATATAATATGTTATTTATATTGCTAGACTTATACATCTAGAAAAAACATTCACCCTGAGGACTGGGAGGCGTGGTCGGTCCAAACGGATTAAAAGAGATAGACTCAGATAAAGCCTAGTGTGAGAGAGAGCAAGTTTTCACTCCGTTTATTATCTCACGTGATTCTGTCCTCGAAATGAAACTCCATTCATCGAAATGCGTTTTCGTTCTAAATGTTCCGTCTTGAAGTATATGTCTATGGATATATGTGACTAATATATTGGTCTATATTGTACATACTTCGACGATGATGTGCTATAAATCTGATCTATGAAATCAAAATTAATATTCACTCGTTACCCACCTATATAATAATTATATCCTTAAATAAACAATATTGTGTTTTTTAGATTCTTCTCAAAGCGAGGAATGTATTGGTTTTACAATGTTTATTTATTTTATTTTTTATCTATGAACAATTTGTCTACAATTTTCAATATAGCACTTTTCTGAAAGTAAATCTGATTGGGGTGGTACTTTAAAGAGGTTATTTTTTGATTTGCCTAGCTATTTTCATTATAAACAGGAAAAATGAAAAAATTTACGAAATTTATTATTTTCAAATCATAAATATTACGGCCTTTCAAAAATTGTTTAACCAAACTCTGCCCAGAATCGTTTTTCGTTAGCAAAGTTTAATCGTCGTGTACAGATACATTAAATTCCCCTCTATATCCTACCTTTCCAACTTCTCTTATACAATAGGTCAATAGTAATTCCCCCCCCCCATCTTGGAAATGATGTCCGTATCTTTTTCAATGTTTATTTGTAACGATGTTGCAGTGAAACAGGAGCGAGAGAAAAAGAAGAGTTATTATAGTTTGGCATTTATAATATTACTTAAACGATATCTTAATTATTTTAACGATCATTATTTTTAAAATATCTTGCAGATAATTTGTGCAGTTGATTTAAATTGTCTAATAATAGTAAAATAGTAGAACATAACTTGTAGGTTTCTGTCCTACTTATTAAAATGGCAGCTAGCAATGCTTAGGAATATGCCTTATTATTATTTCCATCAATACTTTCGTGAATCGTGGTTACCATGGTTATTGCGATCGTTGTTTATTTTATAAAAGAAAAATACTTTGTGGTCTAGACTTTTACGGTTTTCATTGTAATAAAACAGCATTGACTTACAATATACTGTTAATAAATACCGCAATTTTTACCGTATCAATTCTAAACTCAAATCACTTTCGTATAATAAGTATAAGTAACTAGTAAAGTCTACTGTGTTATTTGTTTTAAAACCGTAACCCATTCGTAAAATCGTCATTTTATATAATTAAATTATAATCTCGTGTTATCAAATGTGCAAAATCGAAAACCTATTTAGAGAGAGGTATTGTCGATTTTCGTCTTTTAAGCTATTTTGGTCAGATTTCAATTCATTGTTATAGACTGTTACGATTTCGTAAGATTTTCGATATGAGATTTTATTATGTATCTTGAAGTTAAATACATTGGTGTTGCTAATAATTCGTGTGCGACTGTTGACAGTATTCAAATTAACTTTAATTTTCCTTCCCTTACCACTCGTGCATCTTTCTCTTTTCACATTTCCTTCTTATCTTTATTTTTCTAATATAACTTCCCAATTATCGGCTTATGCACGTCGCCAACCTCTATCTTTCATTTTCCTTTAGAGTCTAGCTAAATTTCTTTTTTTTAATAATCAGTAAGACATATTTGATCACGAGTTTTCTCTGTTTTTGGACTTTGGTCTGTATTGTTATATAGAAAATAAAATAAAATAACTAAGTACAGGATTCGATGTTCCGTCTACGATGTTGCGTGAAGTACACTGCGCTTGTAACGTCTGTGTCTCTTTTTGCTGTATTTTTTAATTCGTTAAGAATTTGTCAATCAAATTTCGTATGAAATATATATTATGTATTATGATTTTTATGTTTTTTTATACCCAAACACGGTGTTTACTCGATCAATAAATGTATAAGAATAAATCAGAAACGCTGTATAGCAGCTTTAATCTATATAAAAGATACTTTCTTGAATTGAATCGTACCTTCGTCAGTTTTATTACCTAATTGCTTATTATTTATTTATTTTTTTTTTTTTTGTCACCTATTTTTTGATGCCTTCATATCTTCTTATCTTCATAAAATAATTTCCATACCTAATGTAACCAAAGCATTTACCGGATGTTTTACTAATAACGATTAAGTGTTAGGTATTATTAAAACAAATATACATTAATTTTATGCAATATATTATCAAATAAACTTGAAAAAAAAAAAAAACAGTGCAATCATAAATTATTCACCATTTTGATTTTGATGAATAATGTTATTTGTGTCTGTGTGGTTTTTTTTTATCAATGTCCTAGAGTTGTTAATTTTATGAAACACTATATTAAATTAGTAGGTATTTGAAAACAAGACACTGTAATTAGTAATAATTCGATTTCAAAATTCAGTCGGAATATACGTTATTATATATTCAAAATTTTAAACATGATTTTCGCGTTTAAATTAATATTAAGTAATTATAATACATCATTAATCCAGGGAATTAGGGCTAAGTCAATTTTCGGTATTTTTTTTTTTTTTAATTTTGTCTTAATGACATGAGTGTATGTATTTTCAAAATTACATTTGCCTGTATTTAAAATAAAATTGTATCTAAGCACTTCTTCCCTGAAGACCAAAGATAAATTTTTAACTATTATTATGCTGTGAAAAATTGGCAAAACACAATTTAAAATGACAAAAACATAATTAGTGTAACCAATAATGAATTGGATTTTTTAATGATGAAAAAATATCCACTTATAAACACAAATAAGTATGAAGAAAAACAGGGATTTATAAAATCCCAAACTTTAAAACCGTTTTTCAAGAGCCCAACTTGATTTTTTTTTTTAATAAATATAGAATAATTATAATAAATTATTCACACTATTCAGTCCGTTCATTGTTATTATTAATTTATTGCGTATATTTTCTGTTTAGGTTAACAAACATTTTTCTATTTTGTAAGTATATCATTATATTAAAAAATGGACAACAAGCAACACAACAAACAGTCGGAAGCAACTATGCGGTCTTGCATCGTGGTATTGGCTAGTTTCGTATGCAATGGTCTAGTGTTCAGTTTTATTAATTCGTACTCTGTGACATATGTGTACTTGTTGAAAAGACTAGTGGATGCCGGTATCAGTGATGCGTCCTCGAAAGCATGTAAGTATACACTTGATTATCGTGTTCATAGTTACTATTAGATTACTTGTTGTTAAATACTATACTGCATTGTACTAAATAGAACTGTTGTTATTCATCTTTTGTTAACAACCCAAAGGCTTCTTGACAGCAATTGTCCACTCTTCAAGCTTCTCCGCTTCTATTTGTGTTCATTTTACAACTTCCAGACAGTATCTTTTAATATTTGATTATTGAAGGCCAAAATGAATTTTCCCCTGGTATCTATTATTCTCCTAATTAACCATAATGTTAGAATACTATACGTTATGTTAGCTTGACTCTTCTTGTTTTTAATAATCTTAAGAAAGCTTATGGTTTCGCACTAGATAAAAAAATTTATTTAAAATACAGTCTTAACAACTTCAGCTTTCAGAAAAATTGTTACACGTAAAAATCGGAGCAAGTTTATTAGGAAAAAACGTATCCACAGACTAGAACAAAGAAAAAGAAAAATTATAAACAGTATTGTAAACCAATAGCTCCATCGCTAAGCTCTGAATCTAAAAATATACATATTATTAATTTGCTGACATGCTTTATTATTGCGCAGTCGGCGTATTATTGTTATTATTATTATAGGTATCAATATACCTATTGTATATCGGCATAATTATAAACAGTTTTTTTCCTACAAGTATTACTTGTTAGTATACTTTGTTACTTTATTATATAATAAAAAAAAAATAAATATTGTATAGACCATTTGCCTACTTTCATACTATAGGTGGGAAGTGGGAATTTAGAAAGATACAATAATAATAATTCAATATGTCATAAAAAAAAAAACTGGTTGTCTTCAACTGACTCTCACTAATGACTATAACATTGATTTTCAAACTGAGTTTAAAATGCAACATATAAACTCAGTGTAAAAATCAAATAAACGCCATTGTTTAGACGCCGGTGAGAGCAGCCCTTGGTTTTGGTTTTCAACTAGGAAATTAATGAAATAAAAAATGTATAAACTAAACAAAATCAGAAACGACCCCGAAGTCGAAAAGCACACATCCGTTATAATCTATATAGTAAAATACCCAAGAATTTTCAATGGGACGGGATGTAGTAAAGAATAAGCATCATTCATGAATAAATTCTAATGTTATACTTAACCTGACAATAAGAATTTAAAAGCCGGATCTAAAAATGTCGAACTATATAGGTACCTAAATATTTAAAATATTTAAAATTATTTACCTTTTTGGCTTTCATCGGTGAAAATAATTGAATAATCCATTTGAATTTTATTATACCATAAATAATGGCTGATGGTGGAAGACCCGGTTTTCGCCTAACCATTTAAAAAATCTATACTTAAATACTTAAAATTAAATAATTGCAAGTTGTATATTACGTTTATGACAGAATACTATCAATTTAACAATAAAATCATGATAAAGTATGATCATAAATGGAAAATAATACTCATGTAGACGTAGATATAACGCACAGTATTTCGATTATAACAGTCATAGGAAATCCAAACAAATTGTTAACTATGTTAAACAAATACAAAAAATTGACAACTTTACGATGACATAAAAAAAAAAAAACATGGAATTTGTATTTTTTTTTTAAGTTTTGGTGATTGATAAACATTTCTATCTCCCCCTCCTTAAATATTTCTGTTGTAACGACTGTAAAAAATCTAAACAAATACCTGTAAACAATGAACTAAATGGTGGTGGTATTTTAATAACCAAAATTCTAAAAAAAAAAATAGGGTCAGTGTAATTTACGTAAATTTGCATTCAATAAATAAAGATTATTTCTTTGTACTTTATCTGGAATATTTAATTTAAGATCAAATTACAAAATAAATACAACCCTCCACCGTTCAAATGGGGGGACATATAACGCCCTAATCACCTCTCTACACACGCTTCGGATTCTATATAGAATGAAATTAATACAATCTTCGTTTAGCTTAGAATCTAAACAACGTATGCAAAAAAAAATTATATTCATAAAAACTGTTATTTTATAAAATTCATCCATAGTCCCCAAAAATAACTGAACGAAAACATATGATAAATATGTAATAAATTCCATTTCGAATAGATCTCCCGTAATTATTGCATCCCGACCTTTTAAGCACTATCGAATGCCTAACTCACCAAAAACTCAAATCATCGCCTTTGATTCCCTCAACCATGATTTTCCGTTTTTCCTTGCAATAATATATAAAAATAAAAAAAAATTTGCCCAACGATGATACCTATCATTTTTATTTTAAATAATTAGGATTATTTTAATACATTTTGAAACACCAAACCAAAAAGAAAAATAATCCAGATCTGGATCTTCATAGAATTCCATGATTTTAAAAGCTCAGGCCTGGTCCAAGAACATTTTTTTCTAAGTCTAGTCCGATCCAGTCCAAAATAATTTATGCTAAAAAAGCCCAGCCCGACCCTTCATAAAATTCCTTGACTAAAAATCACGGTCCAGCCGGTGGACATTTTTGTTAAGCCCTGTCCGATCCAGTACAAAAAATAGAACAAAAAAAGTCCAGGTCCGGCCCAATTTTATATGTTTCTAATTCCCTGGCTCCTTCTAATTTATTACAGGCTGGGTCGGCCCGGCCCTTGCAGGTATTTAGTATGTATGTGTGTATAATATATATATATGCATGTATACTGTATCTATGTATGATATAGTATAATAAAATCAAATGATTTTTAATATTTTGAAAAATATAAAACAAAATTGTATATACCCATATTAAAATAAATATCTTTATTTTCTAGATTTTTTACTTGCTTTTCGTTGAAAAAAACTGCAACAGGACAATACAAATAGTCCTTACGATTTACATTTCAATGAGAGATTTATTTTTTTTATTTTACATATTACAATATAATATTTAACTACCTATTAGCGTTAAGCGTAATTTAAACTAATTCAATTATAGTTCAATTTAAATACACCAAACGTACCAACCACAATTGAGTTTTATTAATCTTTGATAGTAACTATGATATCCAATGACTTCCTTTTGTCGAATATTATACTTAATAACAATTAATACACATTGTCACAACAACGTTGTCGTTCGGATGCGTAAAGTATACAAATTAATTTTAATAAATCGTCAAGTTAACCTTAATATGTCCACTACATACGTGTCCCTGAAATTTGATTGTATCACACTTCATATTATATTATATACCTACCTGCTATTATCATTTATTATTATAAAAATTCGACCATAATAATCTGACCATAGTAACAGTTTACGAATATGAACATTTCGCAACAGTAGCGTATTTAGGATTTTGTCGAGAATATCTCTTATTAATTATAAGAGAGATATCGTCACTTGTACTAGAACGGCATGTTGCACGTACCTATTTCAATATTAATTGATAAAATTATATTATCATTGATATTAATAAAACAATAGTGTTTCCGAAAATGTTTTGTTCTATAATTTTTTGTGTTAAACTCGTGGTTACACTGTAAATCATGAAAATTATAACAAAACTTATATCCTAAAACCTTGTCAACTTATCTCAGTCTATAACACTTAGTAACAGAATTGAGATAGGTATTGTTTTCTTTTTTTTCTAAAATGATTTTAAACATCTTATAAAATTACAAAATTGAAATACGTGTTATTACAGTATAAGCGACGATATTCAATATATATATATCGCGTGTAGACCATACACAGGGTCTATTTTTAATTTATATATTCTTGTATGGTTTAATTTGTAATTCAAACTGCCCTAAAATTAAAATTGACATCGAAAAACTATTACAAAAATATAATAATTTAGTGTGTAGTGGTTTTGACGAGTATTAATTGTTTTAAACGAAAACCTATGTACATTTAAGATTTTTTTATGTAATAGATACCAACCCACAAAATTTGTATTTTTCCGACTAAGAAGTAAATAAATACAAATTTTAAGAATATATCGCATATCGTATATAAAATCATAAAATAGAGAAGATATATCTCTTAAGTTTTCCCCTAAATAAACCATTGTTACAAATAAGTGAAACATTTCACATTTTCGCCTTTCTATTTGATATCATTCACTCTCTTCTCTCAGTAAACGAAATGATATTATTTATGAAAGGTTTTAACTCGGAATATTATTAGACCTCATCAAAATACACCACTTTTCGTTGAAAATTATATTTTCTTTCTACTAGGTATAGCCACTATGAATCATATTAATAATATTACACGCCTTGTTCGATGATAAAAATATGATCCATTTGTGTTATGTAAGCGTACACGTATGTTTCAACTCGGAGTTGGAAGACTCATCTGATGATTAATTTATTAATAATTATTAATTTTAAAAAATATTTCATATTAATTATCATATTTGGTTTTAGCATTGGTCGGTTCACTGACTGTAGGAACAACATTCCTTATGTCACCCATCGCGGGAGTTCTCATCGATCGCATTGGAATTCGATTGACTACGTTCATCGGCGGTGCTATAGCTACTAGTAGTTTAATTATATCGTCATATTTCACTCATCAAGTAAGTGTGTGCATATTTTATCCTATTACTCTAAAATGTATTAACTTGAAAAAATCACCGGTGAATTCAAACTATAAATCTTACTAATTATTATACAAATATTTTGAAAAAAGTCAATACTGCTAGCAGGTAGGTCATTATTATTGGTAGATATTCGGGAAGATGGGATACACATATTATACACGGTAATTTAGTTTAAATAGAATAGTATCATATAATATGAAAAATCATTGAGAATGAAAAAAAAAACGATTTTGAACAGAGTATCATTACCAAAATAACCAAGTAATCAACAAAAATCAAAGAATAATTAAATCTATGGATCTAAGAGTGAACTGATAAAAATTTCAATTAATAAAGTACCACCGGTTGAAAATTGACTCAGTTGTTGATGTATTGCGTGAAAAATCTGATCATTTTTCCTAATCATAATGTGTTTTCAATACATATTTGTTTGAGAAGATAATGGGATAATGAACAAGTTCGTGTGGGGGCCAATGAGTTCATAATTATAGTAAAAAAACGAATAAATTTATAATAATAATTGACATTTAACTTTTTTTTTATTTTTGACCTATTAGATAAAACTAATTTGAACATATACAATGTAAGTAACAATAATTATTTTATGGAGACTTAATGAAACTATTGTACAGTATAATAAAATACAAATATATGCAACTAAATATTAAAAGTATAACATATTTACATTCTACAACCAGTTAGTTTTTTAAAAGTATTGAAGTTTTGATGTCTTATGGTAGCTTGGTATACAATTCTGATTGTTTTAATTTCAAGTAAATTAGCTAAATTTTTGAAAGCATAGATTATTTTTCTTAGTTTTATCGTTGTTTGTTTTACATGGTCATGCTATATAAAAAACAATTTTTAGGAAAAATATTGAGAATTTAGAAAAATATTTAAAATAAATTACTATCACGCAAACAATTTACATCTTTTGGTGCACAATGCACATATAACACGAGTGTTTTCCGAAGGAAAACTAATATTCCTCTTCGTTATTCTACAGAATCTCAAATAAAACCAAGTATAAATATGTATACAGTATTAACTATTATTTATTTAATGCATAATAAACCATTGGCAGAGAAAAATAAAATATATTACTCCTACCTACGCTGTGTCCCGCGTGTTCTTTACATTTTAAAACCATTATTTTATACTCTTCTGACAACTGCAGTATACTGACTGACCGCTAACAATTTAAAGAATCAGTAAAGTTCCTGTATATCTATACGGTAGTTGAAAGGATTTTAATGTAGAAGCACTTCAGTTTATAAAAGGTCATTTCGAAGTCCATTATTTGAGAAAACATATTATTAACCGTCAATGCTTTAAAAAGAAAAATTTAACGCGATTAATCTATAATATTGTTAAAGTCGGTTTGAAAGTGATTTGTTTTGTTCATTCATTTTGACCAATAAGCTGGTTTGAAATAAACATATGTTCAGTAGTCCAATTTCCATTTTAAAAAATGATTTAATTTCGAGTACTTTTTTTTTTTTTTTTTTGACGCTTAAGCAAGAGTTTTTACAAGCAAAATATTTAAGCTCATTAAATTAACTATATAAAAATTGACAGGCAACTTCGCACGTGAGTGCAGCCACTGTTGTAGGTGGGAAGTTTGAAAGCTAGGATACAGAGAGGAATTTAATGTGCATCTGTAAGCAACGATAAACCATTGCTTACGAAAAAACGATTCTGAGCCGAATTCAATTGATAGTAATGCTTTGTCAACAATATATATATAATATTAAAGTGTAATGTGCGTTTTCATCACAACGATGATTGTTTAAATAAAATTAAAATAATAAAAACTTAATAATAACAAAAAAATAAATAAAAACAGTTGCAAATGACAGCCTTATTTTTAATCTTTCAATTCAAATCTTTCAATTTTAACCTAAAGAACCAGGTTTTTCTCATTATCTCAAAAAATAATGAGAATTTCTAAAAATAACTTCTCTAAAGTACCACCCAGAGAACATTTCCTTTCAGAAAAGGTGCTATACTTGACAATCGGAGTATGCTTTCTGGTAGAAAAAGTGATCACATGAAAAAAAAAAATTAAATTAAATAAACATCATTGTAAAACCAAAGAATTCAAATATGTTTTCAGAAGTTAAAATTGTATGTGTCAGTAGTGGGCAAATTTTACTCCAGCTTATTGATCAAAATCATCATTTTTTATCCGTAAAAACTGGCATTCCTCATAGATGGGTATTGGGCAATAGATGAGGTTTCATTACTTCCGATTTTGTTGTAATTCGGTTTAAACAAATTGTAGAAGTCTAAAATGTTCACAGATTTTCAAAAATCATGTTTTAGAAACACGGTAGAATTTTCAAATCAGTTTTGTGGCTTCTGAGTTATTTATAAGTGTACGATGTTTTCTATTATGTATTTGACTTACGTGGAAACAAATTTTTTGGCCGAACAAAACTTGAACATTTTATAAAAGATTTATCATAAATTGTACCTAATGGTCAAAAAAAAAAAGTTAAGTGCAATGTAGTAGTTCTGTTATATAATTGTGTGTGTTATAATTTTAACGAATTTATTACGGCATTTCAAAACACGTTTGACCGAACTTCGCTCAGATTCGTAATTTCTACGTCGCGTACAGATATAAATGACCGAAATAATTATGTATTCCTCTTGCCTGCTTTCTCGACTTCCGGCCTACAGTAGCGGAACATCCACTGGCAGTTCTTTCAGGTCTTTTAGTTTTTATTTTTTATATGTTTTTAACTAGCATATTATCTGAAATATATAAATATATCTTTATTATTTCATCGTTAAACGTGTTAATATTATGAAAATTGCGTATTCAAATATAGTTTTATTCGTTTATTAGACAAAGAGGCACTCGTAAAAAAAATAAAATAACATATTTTGTTTTATAATAGTTTCCCTCGCACATAGATTTGTTTTACAGATTATTTTTCCCTTGACTAGAAAATGTGTGTTTTATAATGCATATTAGCAAATCAAAGTGATTTAAGTTGGTACAATAATGTATGCAAATATATAATATGTAATAGAAATGTTAACTACCTATGCATACATTTTTATTTTCACTAAAAGAAAAATCGATACCTAATACAAGATATTAAATTATTATTCTGTATCATAATTCATAATAATATTATAATAAATTATTAAATTAAATTAAATTAAATAAATAATATTTTGTTTTTTTTTTTTGTTCATAAGTGTACTTACAATTCTCTTTTGCCTGTTTAGTTTTGATAATACCTACTCGTTTTGTTATTTATATCGTCGTTGAACATTCATTTTTTTATTTAATTTTTAGGTTCCAGCGCCGTTTACGTCATTACATGCACACGTGCTATTTATGGATGTTTAATATTTTAGTTATTTTACAATAGTTAAAAAATTAAAATACCTAATACAATATTTTATTTTGTAATCTAATCTGTATAATATATACGATTTTTAATTATTGTTATTTTTTCTTCGGTTACATAATCGAAAATTAATGCCTTGTACGTCTTGTATGAAGTTGCAATCCTCTTTCTAACAAAACAAAAATATATATATATATTTATATGTATGGAAATTACCGTCTTTTGAAGACCAGAAAGTTAGCCCCTTTAAACTAAGGTTTGAGTAAAAAAAAAAACAGGTCATGCACTCGTGCCCTCAATATAAAAATAAAAATTGATAACAATTTTTGTTTAGACTCTAATTGTAAATGTTTACAATTTGTAAAAAAATATAGTAAACACGAGCAGAGCCATAATATTTTATTGTATTTTAGGTTGAAGTATTGTACGTTACCTACGGTCTATTGTACGGCATCGGCGCATCGTTAGCTTACACGCCTTCGTTGGCCATACTCGGTCATTATTTCAAAAATTACCTCGGACTCGTAAACGGCATAGTGACCGCGGGCAGTTCGTTTTTCACCATGCTCATACCGTACGTCGTGGATCATCTACTCGAACAATTCGGTCTCGACAGCTGTTTAAGGTCAGTACCTATAATATTACTCGTATGTATCCGATTATAACGGAAGACAATAAAATCGACGTTTTATTGTATCGAAACAATTTTATCAAAGGTTAAACAAAAATACATGTTGAACTCTTTGTACCTGGGCAATATTATTTATCAGACACAGTATATTGTATAATACATAAATATTAGATCTCGGATGCTTTAATATTATTATTTTATAATATGTGCGTTTAAAAAAGCAAAGAAAATAAGATCAATATGACGTATTTGAGGAACCAAATTTTTTTTTAAGGGTTAAAAATCTAACCTCAAAGAAAAGGGGGACGTTTTCAATCCACCCTCTCCCCTTCTTTCTATTTTTGTTAACTATATGGATTATTGTTATTTTTTTAAATACTCTTCTTGAAACTGATCTATAAAAAAAAAACATTTGCTATAAAGTTTATCGTCTCGTTTCGTACTTTGATTTCTACTATACAAATACATTTCATTACCCCCCCCCCCTTCTTCCCCAGGTACGTCGAAAACAATCGAGTTAAAAAACTCCTGCGTTTCTGTATATGACGATAGTTAACTGTGGTATAATACAGAGGTATATTAGGGTTTTCTATACTACCAAATATGTGTAATAGAAACCCTAAAAATAAAAAAAGATGATGATCCTAAGTACACTATTGTAAAATCTATACTTGTGTTTTAATATAAACGTCTAACGGTAATTTTTAGAATTGGGAGTCGGACGTTTATTTAGAACATAATAATATTATACTTTAACGTACATTATATTTGATTTAGAATATATTTATGTATAGTATAGAATTTCCCCCCCCCCACAAAAAAACCATGTTATTACCCTACCAAGAAATATTGTATATGTTTTAATATAAACGTCTAACGGTAATTTTTAGAATTGGGAGTCGGACGTTTATTTAGAACATGATAAAAATGTTCCAATTAGACGAAAAAAAAATGATGTTACTATTATAATGATACTTTTTTCAATAAACGTCTAACGGTAATTTTTAGAATTGGGAGTCGGACGTTTATTTCTATATCGTATATTTATATACATAATTCGTTTAGGACATATAACATTTTCGAATATTTAACCTATTTCCAGTACTTTTGTCTTTTTTATTTTATTTGTTTATTATTACCTACTATTATTATTATTGTACCATGCATATTATAATAAATTCGTTTAGTACGTTTAGTTTGAACATTTCAGCTATCGTCGTTACAATGTCCTACCCACCTATTAAGTTCGTGATGGAAGTACATCAGAAAGTAATACTTGGTACCTAACTACAGGAAAAAGTGTTTGAGAGGACGAGACGTGATACCCACCCAAAAATATAAACACATCGGCGCCATTCCAAAAATACGGCCTGGAGTGATTTTAGAGAGTAAAACGCTTGAAACAAAAATTGTGTAGAGAAGTTTTCCTTTATAGAAACGTAAGAAAGCCGATTTTTGATTTTTTTTTTTTTTTTGTAACATTTAGACCAAATATTAAAACAATATAATGTTGAAAAAAAGTTGGGAAGGTTGAATACAAAGGTTTTACAAATTTGTTATATTATGTGGAACGATGATAAATCATTAAAAACGACAAACGATTCTGAGCGGAGTTCGATTAAAAGGTTTTTTCGATGAATTTAAATTTTAAATTGAAAAATGTATAAGTACATTTATAATTAAAAACAAATTACAACATTAGTCTAACATTTTTTTTTTTTAATCAACAAGTACTTTATGTGGCTGAAAATTTAATTTAATTTACATGACTTGAAAAGTAGTACTACATTCTACAAAAATGTTATTGTAAAATGATTTTTACGATTTTAGTCAAACACTAAAATCTGATGGTTATAAAAAAAATAAAATCATGTCTACGGATTTTCAATATTTTTATGTAACCATGTGAACCATAAGAATTTATGATAAACCTTGTATCAAATTTTGAAAATTTTTACGTAGCTAAATAAATTGTATCGATATACCCCATACACCCTCAAAAAAAATTGTAAATGCTGAAATTTACTTAAAATAAATAAACTCCTATTTATAGAAAATTTTGGTAATTATATTACGTCTTGATAATGTTTATATTTTTAGTATAATTATTAATTAATAATATAGAACTATAAGTATTCAGTAAAACTTCAAGTCTTTTGGCAGTTATTTATGAATGAATTACAAAAAAAAAAATTAATGTTTACATAAACTTTTATTCAGTAAGTATTCCCGGTCTTTCGGCATTTTTTTTCGATTTCCCCATTATTCAGAAACATATGTAAGAAAAGTCAAAAAATAACCACCCAATCTACCCCCAATGCATCAACTAAACAAAATTTACTAGCAGAAACTATTAACCTCTAGAAACTTCTAAAATTAATGATTAATATACGGAAGTATTTTGGTCGTAAACTTGTTTACTGCAGACAAGGAAATCATAGTTAAACAAATACATTTCTCACCTCGCTCAGAATCTAATACTATTTTTATTGTAAATTGAAATATTAAGTGATACGAGTTAAATGTCAAAAATCGTATTGTTCTGCGTTTTATTTCTTTGTATATGTTGTAATAAATATGTATATTTTTCACGAGTAAGTAAAAATCCACTCTCATTTAGACTATTAATATTTATATATATACATATATATATTACTCATTAGAGAGCCTATATAGTAAGATAGTAGCCAACCACATAACCACATTCTGATTGGCTGTCCTGTTATCTATATTCATTGGACCGTCTTTTTGTATACTTATACCATAGAGTAATAAAAGTATTATAATTATTAACATGTCAATCAATGCTTTTCCCAACAAAATTCATATTCATTTTTTTTTAAATCTTATCAATATTATAATAATAACGCATGCTTGGTATTATAATATGCATTATAGTACCTGTATAATAATATTGTCACTGATAGAAAGCCTCATTGTACAAGTATACAAAATGATGATCTATTCAATAGTGATGAGCTGAGTTGGTCATCCACTCTCTTACTGCATAGGTTCTCAAATATGTATTATATAGATAAGCTCAAATGATCTTTATTCTATATGTTAATTTTAGGATAAATCGAAAGGCATGTGGTTCGGTAATGTATATTAAATATTAATATATATTTTGTTTATATTAAAACAGCAATGCCAATATATTATTACACGTATAAGTTATAATTTCATCTTGCCCTTAGCATATAGTTTTGATATATTATTTTATAAAATCTCCACTAAATGTTTCGTAGCCCTAATTCAAATCAAATATAGTATTTAAGGTTTAACGTGCTTAATATTCAGTCAAGTTACTATACAAACAAATGAATTAAACAATTTTGTAGTAAGTACAATATTGTGTTCACAGAAACAATCTTTGTATAAGAACAATAGATTATGTGTACTAAATATTGTCAAGGTCTACATTATATTATAGATTAGCTGATGCCGATTGCCGAGTGTACTATTGAGTTTAGTATAAAAATATAAATTTATGTGTACCTAGCGTTCACTGCAAAATTCGAGTTTATATGATTCAATAACTCGCTTTTTAGTGGCTTGGACAAGAATTACTGAACAGTGTATTAAAAAATTGCCTATCCGTGTTACATATAATATGTTGTATATATTTATATATATCTTTATCCACTACTTTTTGACATTCATATTCAGACCATCTGGGCTCTGGAGCACAAATGAGCTCAAACTCTGGAATTATTGTAGTTTTTTAGGCAAATTGAAGTGATATTGTGTCTAATTTCACCGTTTTTAAAAACCTGAGTATAGTTTATTTTTAACTTTGAACACCTTTACAAACCATCTTAATGAAGCCAGGGTTTTGAAATGCTGTATATGCACGGCGTTAGTATCAAGTATGTGCCTTTATAGAGGTTCAACTTTTAACCTCCATCCTTACCATTTTTTTTTATGGTCAAATTCACAATTATTTTTTTTAAGTTGTATTATTATTTTTATTCCATTACTTATGTATTGTTATACATTGTTTTAAAAATAATATTTTCATTATAGTGCCCCATAACTAAACACGAACTAAATATAAATTGAGTATACCTCCGTACCTACCTATTTTTTCAATCTCTTACCTATAAATTAATTCAAAACTGTCAGTCATATATTATTATTATTATTTTATATCGTTCCGAATTATCGTTGATTATAATTAAAAACAATGGTGATTTACGGATTTCGACCACAGAATCGTGTACTATATACACCGTCAGCTTTGTGCAAAATTGTATATAATTGTTTATGAAAAACGTAAAACTGTTATTGACTTCAAAATGTACCAATTTTTTACTGCATAACCCTTTCACTATCGGACTAACGAATTAATTCTACGAAAATAAAATTAATGGTTTTTGCAATTTTATTATTAATGCACTTTTCGAGTGAAGTTTACTAAATTCAGAGAAAGAAGTCACATTAGGCGGGAAATTACAAGGTTACAAATTATAATATAAAACACTTCGGAGTACCCAAGTGTAGTGAAATATTTAAATATATATTTCATTTGATACTATTTCCAAAAAAAAAAAATATATATGTACATATTTACAGTATATAACTGTTAAATTTGTTGATACAAAAATCTAACCTGCGAGTTTTTGATTTTCGAAAGATGTGATAACCTACGTGGTTTTAAATAAGTGTATCCAAAACCGACTTACGAGAATTTAATTGTTTTTCAATCGAACGAATCGCCAATAGATTATAATTTGTACATGAGCAAAAATATGCCATTGACATCGTGATGTGCAATACGGTCAATGGCACTGAAATCTCTGATATAATTATTATTATTTAAATTTTTTTTTGCCGAGATAAAATATAATAACTAGGTATATAATATTATACTCTACTAAATTAATATACTTCGCGATAAACTTTGAATATCTGCAGATTTTTTTTTTTTTGAGGTTAAAGAGTCAAGTTCACTGGCGGTGATCATTTCATAATACGATAGGGTGCAAATCATTCGCAACTATTAATAATAAGTAGAAGTTATTATTTAAATATTTTCCGTTATCGCATTATATTCACAATAATAATTATTACTAAAGATATATTGTTTTTTATCAGACACGAGTTAAAAAAAATTGTTATTTATTATAATAGGTCCATATAATATAAAATTAAAAGAAAAAAATATAAATTACGAGTAATCTGTTTCGTATTACCTATATACTTTTATTGAAACACACCATGTACACGTAAACACAAAAAAAAATTTTGTGACTTCAAATTGTTTGAAAGAGGAGAAGGGTGGAGATGTATTTAAAATATCAAATGCCCTAGGTAAATGTAAATGTATAGGTTAAAAGGTAAAACACGCCTTACTGGAAAATATTTCATGCCCATAGGCACAAATAGGGAGGGGCAATTACCAAAATCCAAGTCCTTGTCAAGTAAATACTGAGTATACTTAATCAATGTTATAAATAGAGTGTTGTACCCAATAACCCATCGTAGAGTGATTTAATTTTGATGATTTTTTTTTAGAGGACGACTTCCTACTGACCACCTAGAACTCTGTTTTTCAATACTTTGATTTCAAACTTTATAATTAAAAAATGTTCAACAACTTTTTTATAACATTATTTGATACCAAATGAAAAATAAAAATTGTTTTATTGTTTATCAATTAAAATACAAATGGTAAGAAAATATTATTTTGATGATAAATCTATCCCTAACCTATCCCTAATCTCGCAATCATTTCGTCCATGAAAACGGCCGTACAGTTTCCCCTTAAATAGGTAATGCGCAGTAAATTAGTGGAAACATCTTTTCTTTAAAGCAATCATTAAAATATTTAAACATATTTTCGAAATTTGAAAAAATTCTGGAAATTACATTTTTTTAATGCAACAAAAAGGTCTCTTGTTATTTTTTGATTTGAGTAAGTTACTAATCGAAAAGTTATTTACAGATAAAAAAAAATCTTAATAAAACAAAAAGGAAATCCCTCGCTTAACTCCAAATTTAAATTATTAGTAAATTAATAATAAATTGTTTTGAAAAATCGTAAAATATGAATATGTATTGTTTTCGTAATTTCTTAATAAGTAATGGTTAAAATTAAGAGAAGTCAAGTCAAATTAAAATACGCAAATCTCGAAAAAAAAAAAAAAAATATTTAAGATAATACTTCGCATGATGGGTGGGCCACTGATGTAGATGAGAAATTGGGAAGGTAGAAGGGAAATTTATTGTATATCTGTACGCAATGATTAATCATTGCCTACGAAAAATGATTTTTAGCAGAATTCGGTTGTGCATACTTTAAAAGACTGTAGTATTTACGATTTGAAAACAATACATTTTTCCCGGTTTTTCCTATTCGATATGAAAACCCTTAGGAAACCTAAAAATGTCCTCCATAAAGTATCACCCAGTCAGATTTCTTTTCAGAAAAAAAAATTTAAAATCGAAGCAAATCGATAATTTCTAATAAAAGCTGTTCACAGAAAAAAAAATGAATATCATTGTAAAACTAATACATTCATCGCTCCGCTCAGAATCTAAAATTAATTTTAGGATTCATAGAAAATACTCTTCTTCTTTGTACGGTGTATAATTGGTCACTTCGCTATAAGCTTGACCAAAGAATTGCAATCGTGGATATGCGGAATGCGTTAGTTGCTATATTATTACTTGCAAGACAGACAGAGAAAACAATAGTGTTAGTGACGAGGCTCCTTAAATTAGAAATTCAAACAGGTTTCCGAATTTAAACCAACCGATTATGTTTAGTGCTATTTGACAAAAGTAACTTTTTAATCATGAATTCTAACTTTCCAACCAGTTAGTGGCCTGCTTGTTGTATCTAATATACCAATATTGGATGTAACAGGATGTACAAGAAAAATACCAATTTACCTATTTATACTTATAGTATAATAATAGTCTAATTTCTGTAAATGTTTATGCCAATATTGGTTTATAATTCTAAATCATCACTGTTGAAAATTGTTCGTTATAGGTGGGAAGCAGCGATGTCGGCAATGTTAATGGTATGCGCTTTGGCGTTCAAGCCTACGTACAAAGTGGAGAAATCCGATATGCACAAATCCCTAGGCGACGAACTACGGTCGTTGGTCAACATTGACATTTGGAAGAATCCTAAATACGTTATTTGGGCCACGATGATTCCTCTCGCGCTTTTCGGATACTTTGTGCCATACGTTCATTTGGTTAGATATTATTATTTGTTTTAAATCTAGTAAATAATAAAATTCAAGTTGATTATTTAATGTACCTTTGTTAATTATTTTTTTCCTGTATAGGTGAAAGTCGTCGAAGACCGTTTTCCATCAGCCGACGGTAAAATATTGGTCACGTGTATAGGTATATCTTCGGGAATAGGTAGATTGATTTCGGGACCGATTTCTGATTGCAAACGAGTTGACAGAATTATCATGCAACAGGTATTTCAAAACATTCTTACCTTATTCGTTGTACTACGTTTCAATTAGTACACATTTTGTTTTCGATAATTTTAAATTTGCCATTATTACTTTATTTCTTTATGAAAAAAAAAGTAACATTTCCTTTTGACTATAGAGCTATGAGTTACATTAATGTTTTTATACAAACAATTTATATTCACATTTTTTATCTCAGGGGGCATAATATAATGCTACGAGTTTAGTGAATCCGGGGCCTCTAATCTCCTACTGGTGGAAAGCTGAGGTGGGCGATTCCAGTAGACATGTTCCTACCATTCTCCCGGTAGAAGGGGATCAGAATACTTGCACAGTACCTCCACTTGCCGTAAAAGACAACAAATGGAGTTGTACACTCAATAACAGACAGAAAATAAGTGTAGCAGAGATGACAATGGTTAGATAGATGAGTGGAATGACGATAGGATAAGATAGGATAAGTGATGAGTACATAAAAAATTACTTAAACTTAACTTTAATAGTTAACAAAATAACAGAAATAAACTGAGATGATTTGAGTATATTACATGAGAGAAGAATCTGAAACAGTAAGTATTGTGATGAAAGTAAACGCAGTTAGAAAAAGATGGATAGGAAAACCGAAAAAAAAGGTGGATGGAAGCAATTGAAAATGATAGTTATGAGGACAGCCGGTTTATGCGAGGTGGAAGATTGAGTCAAGTGGAATTTTAGAATAAACGTGGCCAACCCTAAATAGTTGGAATGAAGATGAAAGAGAAAAAGAAAAATGTATATTCATATTTTTTACGTTGTAATTCAATTCATTGTAAATCAATTATTATTTCTGAAGATTTAATCACAAGTTCAAAAATCAATCTCTTATATGATAAATTGATATTAAAATTTATTGTACAGTAAAACCTCGTTAGGACGCTCCCGCAAAATATGCAGTTTTATGACTTTCCCTTTAAGAGATTCTTAACGAGATTTTACTGTATTTTCAAATTAAATCATGTAATTTTAAATTCTCAAGGGTTAGGTTAGGAATGTATTGATTTTACCGTGATGTTTATTTTTTATATTTTCTGAAAGAAATTTTGACTGGGATGGTAGTTTAGGGAGGTCATTTTTTTAATTTCCCATGAGTTTTCCCAATAAATGTGAAAAAAACATTGATAAAACGGAAAAAAAAGGTGTAATATTAAACAAATTTTACTAATGAAAATATTTGATGGATTTGTAATTATTTTACAATATTATGGCATATATTATATTGTTGACAAATCAACACTATTGACCGAACTCTGCTCAAAATCGTTTTTTTGTTAGCAATGGTTAACTGTTGCGTACAGATGTACATTAAATTTCCCCTCTACTAACTTTCCAACTTTTCACCTACAATAGTGGCTCATCCACATGCAAAGTATGTCTGCTTTTTTTTTTATTATAAATTCTTTGAGTAATTATTTGTCTTATTATTATATTATTTAAGATTGATAAAAATTTGAATTTATTTAAAAATTCACCATTTGAAAATTGAATTATTTCTTTTAGGTATCACTGTTTGTCATTGGTTTGATGACTATGTGTATAATCATAGTACCACACTTCTACATGCTAGTGCTTATCACCTTGATTATGGGAGTTGCTGATGGATGTTTTGTTAGTGTAATGGGTCCAATCGCTTTTGATTTATGTGGTCAAAAAGGTGCTGCACAAGCCATTGGCTGCATTCTCGGTCTTTGTTCCATACCACTAACAGTTGGACCACCAATCGCCGGTAATCTATTTATATATTTAAATTTTATTTAATTACTACTTTTTGTTTTTTTTTTTTTTTACATTTAGGATGGATGTATGATGTTTATAAATCATACACCGGTGCATTTTTAATCGCTGGGCTACCGCCTTTGATTTTCGGGACGCTTTTAAGCACTACAAAATGTGTAAATAAAAAAACTGAACTAGAAGAAATAGATCCCAGCGAACCAAAACTTCTCGGTCAAATGTCCGATGTGGTCTACAAAGAAGGTAAGCATTCGACTATTATACCATCTGAAAAATGCCCATTGCTACTATCAAAAACTGACTATCCAAATTACATGATATAGTGTTTTTTTTCAACATTGTTATTATTTTGTATTTTGTTTACCTGTAATGTTTAGCTGCGACAAAAATACTAAAGTATCTAATTAAAAATGTTATTTGGACCATCTTATAGAACAAAACCAAATTTTCGATTTTTAACTAGTATCATATTTTAATTTTTTTTACAGCTTATTCATATTTCATGTATATATATATATATAGCTTTATCAAATATTTAGCAAAATAAATACCATAGAATTTAATTAATCTTTTTTTTTTACAAACAACAAAATTATTTATGTGTTTAAATATCTCTCTAATCATTGTTCTATACTGTATGGAAATTATAATATTATTTTTGCATCAATTATTATATTACAAGTCATATTATGCTATTTACACTTATTATTTTCGATATATTATTAATAATTGTGCCATATTATTGTATTTTTAAAAAATTAAAATATATTGTATAAATTATGTCTAGAAAAAAATTATTATATATTATATTATCTAGAGGTCATCTGATATATTATTTTCAAATATAAAAGGCCTAAGTTTTGCATTAATCTTAAACCATATATTAATTTAATTTTAATAACAATTAATCTTTTAAAAATAAATTAACATGTAGATTATTGTTATAACTACAAATAAGATATTAAAGTTATTTTTATTTAATACTTAATTCAGCTATTATTGTTATTATTATTAATTAAACCATTGTTTGAACTCTTCATTAATATAATAACTTTTGCGCAAAATAATAATAATAATGACACTAACACAGAGTACTTATATAACTGTAAGAAATTTAAAAAACATAACAAAAATTCAGTATACACTATATGTGTTGAATTATTGTTAAAATTCTTAAAAATAAATAGCTTCCTTGCAATAAAAGTTTCCAATTCTCTTAAAGTATTTAGCATATAAATAATAAATTACATGGTAGTTTTTGTTTTCTTTAATAAATTAGTTTTTTTTTTTTAAGTTAATTACAAACTATACAAGTATGTACATTCAGCAATTGGGATGAAGGAATAGTAGTCGTGACATTGAATATTTAGAATATGGGAAATTACCCAGTGGTAACACCCAGCAATAAATTAGTTAAAGAAAATAATATTGTACTCTAGGCTTAATGTCTCGTATACATATATATTATGTAAAATGTTAAATGAACAATCACAAGGCTCTTGGAAGTCTTATATTTATTACTGTTTGCTTTATATTATTTTTATGAACTTTCACTATTTATTTCAATGTATTTATTCCAATCTTAAATAAATTTAAACAAAATAATAAATATTCAAATACAATAAGAACTATTATTCAAACTATTCTATGATAGTATATTTTGATATTATTATTTTTTCATACAACACATAAAGAAGTAGTCCACACTGTTGACGACTCCATATTATATAACCAAGTAAGTTATATAAGAATATGGATCTAATAAATGACATTAAATTTATTTGACCTAAATAATCTGTCATAAAAATGTCATTCCTAAAAAAAAAAAAAAAAAAAATGCTGATTAAAAATATTTTAACAAAAAACATAATAATAATAACGGGAAATGCAATTATAAATGCATCCTTTTTTCACATTATACAATATTATATCATGCTTTGTTTAAAAAATAATATTATTAATAATATATAAATTAATTGCATGAAAAACGCTGATTTTAAATAAAAATAATAAAAGCAGCATGACAGCAATACATCAGTAAAATTCTTTGAAATATATTCTATATGTATTTATATTATATCCATTATTTTTAATTTATGTTAATCATTTTCTATGGTTTCTTAAAAATAATCTATCGTAAGCTATTAATAAATGAATTTTTCAAAAACCATTCTCACCATATGAGCAACGATCTAACTATGCTCCAGTCAAATAATATTACTAATCTATTTTAAATAAAGATTATGGGTTACACTATTGATAACACTCACATAACACTTATACCTAATGAGCCATTAAAAACCATTTGTAATCAGAGCATGACCTGCCTTTCTTAGATAAAATTGCAAAGAATCCAAATTCTTTACTAATTACAATTTTGTATGAAAAATAATGTGTTAACCTTGACAATAAAAAATCTGTATTCTTCGATGAATTTTTTAATTTTTTGATCTGACTGTGACTTGTATGGTATCAATGACTGCAGACATTGACTGGAACCATTTAGGCCAATGTTTCTGAACTGGAGGGGTGCGACCACTTTGGAGTCTCGAACTAATTATTTAAGATCATCAAATATATAAAATATTGGGTCTATGTCTAAAATGCTTATTTAGTGGTCACTAAAAAATTGAATATTCATTTAGGGTGTCGCAACAGTAAAAAAGTTGACAAACACTTATTTAGACCATTGCTAGGTAAAGACATATAGTATTATAATTTATTTTTAAATTAAAATTATTTTGATGAGGTTATACAACAAGTATGAGGTTATTACAATGATTTGAACATTAAAGTGCTTAAAATATCACACCATTATAAAATTTCAATAATTAATACAGACAAATTTTTGCTGGACTCTTGTGGGTTATATAATTGAAAATCAACAAACTTGTATTATTAATTGTCTATCATTTACATATTATCTTCTTTGTTTATTATTATGTAAAATTAAAAATAAAAGGTAAATATTTAATATTGTATTATTACATTCAATAGGTTAAAAGTCTTAAAATAATAAAATATCATTACACATGATTAAATTATGTGTAACCAATTAAGATGTGAATCTACTATTTTTAGAGATTACACTATAAACAATCATTAAAATGAAATTTTATATTTCTATTTAAACATAATAATAATAATGTTTTATAAATGTTTTAAAAGGCTAATGAACTCTGTATTTTTTAATAGAAATGTATTATTGTGTAGTAGAAACAGGATATTTTATCAAATGACTATTTTAACTTTTCTTTCAAAATATTACTTTAATATTTCATTGAATTTTGAATTTTACTTGCTCTAAATAGGTATTTATTTGTCAAGTAATTTGTTTTCATATAATATAAAATCAATCACAGTGTCAATTAGTAAAAAAAATATTTCCTATATAATTATTTCAGAATTACAAATTGCTAAGTGTTTTATATTTTAATTACATTAAAGTGTTGTGTAGCTCTAAAATAAATAGATATAAAACCTATTATTTTCTTAAGCGGTACTGCACACTAGAAAATGCATGGGATAATATAGCTTTCAGGACATGGATACTTAAATCCTTTGTATAATTCATGTCATAACTGTAATTGTTAGTCCTTGCAAATTTCTATAAAGGTGTATCAGTGGTTGACACTTAACATTTAGCTTAACGCTGCTACATAATTTTAAGTATACGCCATTGCCCCTGCAATTTAAATCATAACCTAATAACATTATAAGCATTATAATGTTTTATGTTGTTTGTTTAGATTTGCAAGAAATTTGTTGATCGTCGACCAGTGCACATCACGTTATAGACCACCCTATATTGAGTCTTCTATGACTCTGGATACAGCAGCTATACACTCGATATTTTCATTTGAAAAAAAAAATTACATATATATGTATGTATGCGTATAATAGGTATTATTATTCAAATATCAAAAACTATATTATAATAACACATGTATTACTAAAACATTATACTATGGCTGTAATAATAATAATATTACAGAAACTAAATAATCACAATATCGGATAACATTCCTTACAATATTAATATTTTATATTATTCTAAATATTATATTGTATTGATGTACAACAAAATGATTATAATTTTTATGACCAATTATTATTATTATTAGTCAAATTTCTTATACTCATATTGATAATAATATATTTTTGTAAATAATTTATGTTTTTACACATTATATTTATTTATTTTTTTTTTTTTTTATCAAAATATTAAAAACCAATTATTTACTAATGAAAAATGTTACTTTTTTTATTGTTACTAATTATATATATTTTTTTTTTATCCAAAGAATTCAATTGACCAGTAGAAAATGTAAAACTTTAATTTTGAAGTGTTTACTTACAATATATTTCAACTTAATTACAAAGAAAAAAATACAATATTAGGAAAAATGGATAGTGAAGTTTCGTTATTATGATTTTTTTTGTTTTTCTATGTTAATTATTTTAACAAAAAAAAAAATTATTTTATAATATTGAAACTGATATACCTATTGAAACATGAAAAATATTGTTGGTACATTTTTCTCTCGGACGAAATGCTTATTTAGTATATTCTGCTCTTTGTTGTACCACGCCCAGTTTATTATTCATACAATAAAATGTATTATCGTTATTATTATAATGGATTAAAAGGAAAATTACAATTATATAGATTATAACATAATAATAATAATGTCAGTCTGGGTTATCCAAGATTGTCAAAAACATAAATGTTATGTTCAAAACACTTAATAATGAATAATGCACATCGAATAGATTGTCTGTTGAAAAAATAATCGCCTAATTTGTACTGACCTATAGATAATAACAGTTAAAAGTTCAAGAAAAATAATATATTATATAAATGTGGAAACCTATTGGATATATTAGAAAGATTATTAAGAAAGTGACCATTAAAGATTTTAAATAAGTAGATCAATATTATAATATTAAAACTCTATAACTTATAATCAATTTACGCGTTATTCAGTAGGTTATTATATTTTCACTAGTTGCATGCCTGTCATACATAACGTGACCATAATTTTTTTTCTTCAAAGCGGGACACCTGTACATTTTAATAAGAAAACCATATCATTTTGCATAAAATAACAACTTTTTTATTTAAAAAAAAAACATTAATTATTTATATAAAAATGACAACAGAAAAACGCAGCTAATATATTAATCATAATAATAATAATGTAATAATATAGTACATTATTCGGCTGTTTTTCTATATTTATCGGATCCACAAATCTGCTTTAAAATTGCCTGTTTGGTTTTTATGTATGAATGGAACTCTTGACAAGATTTGTTTGTGTTAGCCTTTGTTATAAGAATCGTTTTTAACGCAGAGTCTCCCAACTGAATTTTTCACTGCTCCATATTTTATTCATAAAAAAGAACACTCTTTTAACTGGAGCGTTACTGCTTGGTAAACACAAAATGTATTCTACAGTTGTAGAAAAATTGACGTGTGAGAAATCATTAGCATTAAAGTGCATAAATACTTCCACCCAACGATTTTCAGTAGCCATATTCCCGGTGTTCCAGTTGTATATTTTTTGAGCTATTATATAATTAGAAATTAGTGAAAACTCGTCACTCCTGTTTCTTGACTGCTACTAATAAATTTCTGTTCAATAAGTAAGTCCATCACCATTTATACTTCCACGAAGGAACCTTTCTCAGATTTGCCAGTTCAAATATTTTTACTTCCTCGTTGAACTGACATCACTGCTCCAAATATTCAGCTATGGAACAATATTAACGATATTAATAATATGTGTAGGTAGTCCACATATTGCCGATTCTCGCAGTCGAGGCGGTGGCAGCCATAACAACAATTAGCTACAATTAGGACAATTAGGTACTTATTTTTGTATCATTTTTATCTATATGAACTAAAGACTATGGGTTTTAGTGTTTTACAGTATACATATATATATATGTAGGTATACGTATACTGTATACTGTATAAATTTATGATTGTGATTTGTGATCAATAAATACCTACCACAAGTCGACTTTTCTTAAAGCGGGACATTTTTAAATTCTTTGGGGACAGCGAGCCACTTAGCTCGAAAGCTGGACGTATGGTCACGTTAGTCATACATAGCGAGTTATAAAAATCATTGAAATGTTTAAAATGACTAGTGCTAAATCCGAATGCTGTAAATTTGTATGCAAAAACTTTTTTACGTACAAATTTTGATGAAACAAAATGTTTCAACAAAAGTTTTATTTTGTTATTAACATTAATATCATTATTTTTATACACAAAAACTACGCACTGACTTAAATAAGTGCTCAAATATGAATGACTATCATTTATCATATCAAAAAACAATAATTTATTGTATATCAATCGCACTCATCAGATTCAAATTGAATAGACAACAACCAATACAATTTAAAATGTATGGAATTTAGTGTAACAAAGTCATAACACAAATTTACATTATAACTGTAATTATTACAGAAAATAAATTTTAAATAAAAGGATAAGTACCTACGCCCTTCAACCCGGAAAACTGAGACTATCACCGGTTTTTGACTTGGTGTCCCGAAAATAAATGTCAATACTCCAACATTTTCTGGTTTTGAGAAAAATTAATAAGGTCCTTGAAGATAGCGGACGGACATTGAGCATTAATTGTATTTTTAAAATTATTGCTCTTACCAAAAAAAAGTTATACGGGTGCTCATTTTCCGTCCGCTAACTTCACGTAGCGGACGCAGTAAAGGCACCAACATACTCCGCAGTATCAAAATTTAGTGATGAATTAGAGCTGGCGAACGGAACAATTTTCAAAATTAGTGCTCTATTTTCAAACGAGATATAGGCTTTCCGTAACTCTTCGCAGCGGACGCTGTACAAGCACCAAAATCCGGTGTAGCATCAAAATTTAGTGTTGAATTAGTGCTGGCGAACAGTACCAATCGCAAAATTAGTGCTAAATCTTTCAACAAGATATTGAATTTTCTGAAATTTTCCACATTGCGGACACAGTGCATTTTTTAAACTAGGGAACATACGTTAGCCTAGTTGATTGTATTTTTAAAGACTGGGCGACACACAATAATAAATTTTTATAAGAAGAATTCATAAATTATGAAGAAAAATAATTAAATAGTGAACGATAAATAAATGTGTACTATATTGTCATGTTATCGATGTTATACCTATGCGGTGTAACATATATTTATATTATATTTAATATTATAATTTATATGTATTATTAATGAATATGAGTAATTAGTTTAAATAATACTATTGTTGCCTACACATTTATAATGATAAGCGTAAAATACATTATGTATAAAAATAGTTTCCGATAACGATTCACATTAATGGACAGAAAAACGATATTTTTCATTGATAGGTATTGGACGGCTGTAGTAAATTACAATAGTAATTCTATTTTTATATGAAATGCGCGTAAGTGTCATACTTTGAATAATTACTTAAATTGAATACCTAGTAAAATAGTTTTAAAAGATACTATTTTGTTTATAGGCTTGTAAATCAAGTCTAAAATTAAACAATCGTTTACGTACAACGGCAAAGAACTATAATATTTTTATATGGTTGGATTTTGAAATAGTGTGTAAAATTAAAAATATAAATAAGCATATTATAAAAAAAAATTTTAGTAGTTATGAAAATAATGCGTATACTCCGTATAAAAAAAAGTACAATCGCCAATGTCTGGGGATTTTTTCGCACAAATGGGTTATTCCTTTAAATATTACTATTTATAAGACGTAAATCGATTTTTATTAGCGAATTGTCGTTGTGTACAAACTACAATTTACAGTGGTGCAACCAGGATTTATTTTCTGGGCAAAAGGGGTCATACATTTAAAAAAAATTCAATTTCGGATGGTGTTTGGTGAGGAAGATGGGGTAATGTTAAGTTAGGTGTATGAGTAAAATCTTTTAATCGTTTAACTTTCATTTATAGACAATGCATATTGAAAAACAATTTAATCATATTAATTATGTATTTAAATATACTTTACTCATAGCAGGGGCGTACTCACGAGTAGATGAGGGTACCATATCCCCCTTCCCCCGTGAACTTTTCTTTTATGCATTTGTTTGAAGTTCCTTGGTAGTTTCGGTTTTCTCGGAAACAAAAAAAAAAAGGTAGTGCCATAGTTGGTTTTGGTTTTGCATTATCATACGAATAAAATATGTTTTATAGATACTATAGTAATAGTAATTATTACTATGCCTAACCTTTATGCAAAGATAATGCAAATGCATACATATTTAAAAAAAAAAAAAGTATCAATGGACTATCATAATATTTCAGTCCATTAATACTCCGATATTTATGTTATAAACGCGACTATCAGCATATTAATATATATTACCTATGAAAAGTATTTATAATTATGCGGTTTTTAGTCATACTATAATGAAACTTTTATATTAACACGCACACCTAATTGCTAAAATATTTTAATAATTTCATATTTTTAAGATTAAAAGTATGTGTGTAAAACTGTAAACGATATAAGCATATTTGTGAACTTTAGATTATCATATGCAGATAAATTTACTGTGAGTTTAGACTTTATTTCAGATTAAAAAAAAAATCATTTTTTACTACCTAGTGTACCTATTTAATTTTTGTCTATTACTGTTTAGGCACTTAAAAATGTATAGATACCATTGACAACATTTAAGTTTTCTTAAAGTTGGAAAGATAGGATACAGACGGGAATTTAATGTATATCTATAAGCAAGGATAAACCATTGCTTACGAAAAAACGATTCTGAGCGAAGTTCAGTCGATAGTGCATTTACTATACTATTAAGTTATGCATATTACAACATCTTATTTTAATCTATCTTAATTTAATTAATATATATCATGAAATAACGTAGATAACACATAAATATATACGAGTATGTATAAAATAAAATACTTATTATTACTTATTATTATTATTATTACCGGGTAATTTGACTTTCATTGATACGGCATGCCATGCCTTGTCCACCAAATCCTTTCTACAATATTCGGGAATGGTATAATTATATAATGGCGGGTGTTTTTCAATCTCACTAACGAAATTTATGTTGACCTCCATAATAATATAAAAATACTAACGAAATCGCATACAATTCGCGCCATACGACTGCCAAGCGACCAGCACTGCTGGTCGCTAGTGTCGTCCGTCGCAATCGCGTCGTCATCAAATCGCGTTGTTAATGGATGCCTATTAACTTTGCTGGGAAATCGCGAAAGCGATAAATTGCATCGCGTGTCAATCGCGCAGTGTGCGGAGGGTCTTACTGTGATAATATTACTTATCACTGCTTTGGATTCAAGGTCTATTGTAATTGTGATGACATTGAGTTTTTTTTTTAATTTTGAACAATGTTATAACTTATTTTTAAAGATATGTTGAGATATAAAATAATGTTTTCGTGAAATATTGTTAGATATTTGATGATAAATCTATCATAAGACACTCTATATCTGGGAGAGTATTAACTTTTTCCGAAATTTATTTTCTAGAACATTTAAGAAACAAGCTTCTATACAATTTTAAATGTATTTTATTTTTTGTCACCCTTATTTTTAGGGATAAAATCACGACCTACTTTTGATGTGTATGGTGGGCAAGCCGTGCGCCGTAACGCCACACAAATGGTACTCTACTACAACTCTCCTCCAACTCAAACTTAATAGTGGAATATCTCGTCAACGGCTTGACAGAAATTTAAAATTTAAACACTAACATTTATTTTAACTAATACTCCATATATGTATGGACTTTTAAATATAGGTTTACATTTGAAAATCAAAAATCAAATGATTTTACCTCCAAAAACAAGTGTGACAAAAAATAACTTAGGTTTTAAATTTTTACGGCTGATGTTTTCTATCGTAAATATTGCTCCAAAAAAAAAAAAACGAAAAGAAACCTTTTTTGTTCCATTTTTAATCTAGTTTTTAAGTATGTAATTTGTTTATTTTATTTTCCAAGAATTGTTTGTAATAATTGAGAAAATGTGCAAAACAATGAAAAATGAAACTGATAAATTTACGGTGCTAGCATTCTTTTATTTTAAATTTTGGGTAAAACACGGTTGTGTACGTTCGTAATCTTTGATACCTTTTTAAGCTACACGATTGCGTACGTTTTTACCTACACAATTGAGTATGAAGTATTAAGCGTAGTTACCAATTTTCATACCAGTATGTTATAACATATGATGAGTATAAAATCCATAAAAGTTGAATTTAATGTTAGTAGTAGGTTATTGATATCAGGAAATTCATATTTAAAATAATTAATTTTCTATTATTTAGTTATTCTTATTACCTATATTTTTTTTTTCAATCCTTATATTGGTTAAATGATTTTAATGGCTCTCCACTTGTCCTAATTCATCACAGCTACTTTTAGCTCCTTGTAATTGGTTCCTTGTAATGTCTTCTATGATTTGTTTCATAAATGGTGTTCTTGATCTTGAAGTAGCTCTTCCAGCCTTTTCTTTTATCTATCTTTCTATTATGGTCGTTATCCATTCATTGTTTCTCATAATATGTCCGATCCATTTTTTCCTCCTTTCTCTTATTGTTTTCCAAAATGTTTTTTTGTTCATTCATTCTTAGGTATACTTCCTCATTTTGAACTTTCTCTGTCCAAGGAATTTTCAGTATTCTTCTCCAACACCATGTTTCAAATGCTTCAATCCTTTTTCTTTCCGCTTTGAGTATCGTCCATGTTTCTGCCCTGTAGAGGACTATATTTCATACAAAACTCTTTATATGAGTTTTTCTGATATTTAAGCTAACAGTGTTTGTGAACATTGTGTTCATTATGTATATTTATTATTTATTTAAACTAAGTGGTTGTTCATATTATTTTAGTAAAATATTCGATAACGCTATTGCCTATTAGATAAAAATGACATTTGTTCGCTTGGTCACTTTTTATTAAGTTGAAAGGCAAAGCTCACTTGCAAAACATTTCAATAATATTGAGTTCATCCATGGATTGGCATATTTAACAGATATTTTCAATCATTTGAACGAAGTAAATACATAGATTCATGGGCGAGAAGTAACACTTATGGACGCATCCGAAAAAAATTAATGCATTTGTAAATAAAATTCCCTTGTGGAAAAAAGATTTCCACCGAAGTCAAAAAACTTAGCAAACTTTCCAACATTTGACCACGAACTTTCACAAAATAATATTGTTTTATCTGGTTCCATACTTACACAAATTTGTGAACATCTTGACGTTCTTGAAAATTCATTTGGTGATTATTTCAGATCTTCATCTTCAAAAGCAGAAATGTGGATACGCAATTCTTTTATACTTATACTAGTTATACTACTTTTATACTAGACTTAAATACTATTGATGATTAAGATCTTGTTAAAGATGAATTAATTGATTTAAGATCAAAAGAAATGGCATGGCAATATTTTTAAACAAAAAATGTAATCGAATTTTGGTGTTCATTGACAAAGACTTATTCACTAGCTGTATCCAGGGCAGTGAAATGTTTGATTTCATTTACCACTACATATCTCTGTGAGTCGGGATCTGCTTCAATGGTTACAATCAAAACAAAATCACGAAACCAATTGAATATCAAAGATGATATGCGTATTGCTCTGTCTAAAACAGTTTCGGATTGCAAAGCTATAATACAATCAAAACAACAACAAATATCACACTGAAACTTAAATAAACACCAAACGAAATTATTCGTATGTATGATGTATGCTAAATGTGAATAAACAAAATTATGTATTTACTAAGTCTTATATTATTAGTATTAAAAAATAATTTAAATTAATAATGTAGTTTTTTTTTTAGAGGGTCCATGGTTATAGTTTATACTTGAAAGAGGTATGTAACCAAAAAAAGATTAAGAATCTATGTATTAGATCATCATTCCTAAACAAGTAGGTTTTGTATTTTATGTTCATACTACACATAATATATTACATATTATTTCAAAAATGCATGTATATTTTTTTCATTTTAATACATAAATGCATTATAAAGGAATAAAGAGAAAAAAACAGTTTTTGATTACTTCTCAAAATTCAAATAGTAAAAATTTATTTTTTGGAGATTTATGTAATGCATTTGTTGCTGCAAATATTCCTCTGCATAAGCTAGGCAATCATGTGATAAAATACTTTTTGGAAAAACATACTGGCAAATCAATTCTAAACGAAAGCACTTCAAGAAAAAATTATATACCAAATATTTATAAAAGAGGTTTGTATAAATAATTTTTTTAATTTCTCATATAATAAAATATATTATTTTCGTTTAGGTTTGACTATTACAAATTTATTAATTGATAAATTAGATAGGACGCCTAGTAAATCATATTTAGTTACATGTAAAGAACTAGAATCTACCAATTATGAAACTATTTGTTAGTTTATTAATTCCTTGTTAAAAATATTTCCTGGTATTGAACAAAAAGTATTATTTTTTATTAGTGATGCTGGTACTTATGTGATCAAAGCAGCAAAAATATTAAATATAATTAATTCATATTACATATATGGTGGTGCACGCAGTTAATAGAGTTCTAGAGAAAATCAAGAATTATATCCAGACATTAATAAATTGATTAACAATGGTAATATATTAAGTACCTATTTAAAATTAAAATACATATATAACTTATTTCGTTTATTTCAGGAAAAAAAACTTTCCTAAAAGCACCATTGAGAATAAATAAATACAGAAAAGAAATGCCATGTATACCCTTACCACCCGAACCTATTTTTACAAGATGGAGAATATGGTTTTTCTATGCAAATAATTTTAAAGAGTTTAAAAACGTGATTGAAAGTTTAACAGATAATGCTACAAGTGTCGAAAAGTTGAATCCGCTCGTACAAAATAATGCAGTCAAATGTGGTTTAGCATGCATAAAATTATACTTATCCAAGTTATCCATGAATCTGAAAAATTTGGAAGAATCTAACAGTGAACTACTGAAAAGCATGGATATTTTTAGAAAAATTGTAGATATTTTAACAAATATTCCTGGTCCAAATGGGAAAAAAAATTAAAGAAAGATGTATGTATGTAATTGAAAAAAATGAAGGGTATAAAACTTTAAAGGCTTACTATGAAGTCATGTCAAATAAAGCTAATGTTAATTTAAATGTAATGATATAGCTATAGATGTATATATAGATTTTTTTTAAGCTTTAATTTGATGGTATTTTCAAAAAAAAGTCGCTCAAACTTCATTTAAAAATTATGGTCAAAAAACTTCAAAATGCTCGATTTTTCTGAAATATCGTGTTTTTGAGTTTAAAATACCAAAACTGTACATATGTGGAATTTTTTTTAGAAATGGTAGTAATTATATATACGGAGTGATCAATTTATCATAAGACACTCATTATCTCGGAAATTATTAACTTTCGGAATTTATTTTCTAGAATATTTAAGAAACAAGCTGTTCTACAATTTTATATTTATGTTATTTTTTGTCACCCTTATTTTTGGGGCTAAAACTGCTTTTTACCTACTTTTAATTTTCAAACGTCAATCTATATAAGGGAGTATAGACAGAGTATTAGTTAAAATAAATTTTAGTGTTGACATTTTTGATTTCCGTCAGTCCATTAACGAGATATTCCACTTATTAGGTTTGGTTGGAGGAGAGTAATGGAGTATCATTTGTGTGGCGGTACAGCGTACGGGTTGTTTATAATACATCACCACTCTCCTCCAACCCAAACTTAAAATTGGAATATCTCGTCAATGAGCTGAAATCATTATTAGCTTGGAAATCAAAAATGTTAACACTAAAATTAATTTTAAATAATGGAGTATTCTCCATCTATCTATGGAATTTTTAATATAGGTTGTCTTTAAAAATCAAAAGTAGGTAGTAAAAACAAGGGTGACAATAAATAACATAGATATAAAATTGTAGAACAGCTTGTTTCTTAAATATTCAAGAAAACAAATACCGAAAAAATTAAATACTTTCCGAGATAATGGATGTCTTACAATAGATTAATCACTCTGTATATATAAATCGATTGATTGATTTAATATCAATTGATTTTAAATATAATTTTGCATAATATTTTCAAATTAATCTGTAAGTATATATAAAAAGGAAAGCTAACTGATTGATATATAATCTATATACGCACAGCTCAAACCACTGGACAGTTGGGGCTGGAATTTGGTATACAGATATGCAGCTATTATGACGTAGGCAGAAAAGATTTTTGAAAATGAAATCCCTAAGATGGTTAAAAGGTGTTAAAAGAGGTAAAAATGGCAAAAACCTAGCAGCGTAGGATTTACTGGTATTTTAACTTTTATCGAATTTTTTAATTTAAATTGCTTTTTATTCTCGTTTCTGATCATAAACTACCAAGTGTTGATAAGAAGACGAGATAGTTGTCAAAGGATAACGAAGCTGTTCCTTGTCAGTACAGCTGATGTGATCTGTTATATTGTTTATCATTAAAATGGATGTTCGATACAGTGGACGTTCGAGACAACTACTCTGATAACATCCGAATGTTTGATTTTGAGATAGTTGTTAACAAAAGTAGTCACTTTTCAATGTAGTTGTGATCTCCCGTGGTTCCATTGGTGTTATAATATGGACTTAGTATAATATTTAATATTATAATCTATGATCACTGTTAAAAAAGTAACAGCAACTGTTATTTTTTCTTCCATGTAACAAGTTATTATTACTCGTCTATAATAGTCGAGAGAACGAAAAGTGGCCGCTATCAAATATGATAGCAACGAATTTTTTTCGATAAACAGGTGTTCTTAAGCTAAATTACGCGAAGCGCATACAACATAATTTAACATTGTACAACCAGCACAATATAAAAAAAAAATAGTCGTCTTCACTCATATAATATACGGTTTTTATATCCTTTTTTTTTCATTATTGGTTTAGTCACCAATTGTGACCTTCGGCGATTTTAGTTTTATTGTATATGAGTTATGTCTATTGTATACATAACATCTGCTCCCCTGTGCTGATTGTCATCATTCGGAAACGATTATTACGGGTTTACTGTTGTGTTGTGTTGTGTTAGCCTTCAGAAACTGAGTTTAACCAATTTATTATTATTTAATACTGTTTTTAATAAAATAGTTTTTATATAATTATAATGGCCGGCAAAAGTAGTGATACACATCAGATCAAAAATATAGTTTTTTGTGTGTACAATTTTTTTAAAAAACCTGTCGAAAGAAAATGTAATTGTTCCATCTATGTTTGCTCAATCTTTTAAAGTTACTGCTGAAGCTTGTGGCTTTTCTGAGCAAACTGTTAGACGTATATGCAAAGAAGGTAAAGATAATATGAAAAACGAAACTCCAGAACAACTCCCTTCGTTCAAATTGCCGTGTAAGCCGTAAAAACGTATAAAACCGTTGACTAAATTGGATGATTTTAATGCGGAAATAGTACGTAGAACAGTGCATGAATTTTACGATAGAGGTGAGTTCCCAATGGCTTTTACTATTTTAACTGAATTGAAGAAAAAGTGCGCTTGGGAAGGCTATATTTGGTCAATGCGTTCGCTTTTAAGAAATTTGAAATTTTCTTTCAAGAAGTGCAACGATGGTAGGAAATTTCTTATGGAAAGTAACGACATTATTGCACTACGTTGTACATTTTTAAGAAACATATGTACTCTTCGCGAAAAAAAAGATACCCGTCCTATCGTTTATTTAGACGAAACGTGGATAAACCAAAACCATAGCAGATTACGCATATGCCTAAATGACAAAGGGGCCGCTGAGTTTAAAGTTCCTACGGGCAAAGGGGGACGGCTTATTATTTGCCACGCAGGATCTGCGAAATATGGGTTTGTTAAAGATTCCAAGTTAATTTTTCGAGCTAATGTTAGCAGTCTTGAAAGCGACTACCATACGTCAATGAATACTGAGATTTTTAAAATTTGGTTTATTAATATGTTAAAGCACCTTGAAGAGCCGTCGGTAATCGTTATGGACAATGCATCTTATCACTCAATGCTTATGGATAACTTTCCCAAAAGTAATAGACGAAAAGCCGTTATCGAAGAATGGCTGAAAAAAGAAAATATTGAATATTCACCACAAGAACGGCTGTCTGAATTGCGTGAGCGTGTAAAAAAACTTGTTCCGATGTATAAACGGTACGAGTTGGACGAAATAGCACTGCAAATGGGCCATGGAGTTATAAGGTTACCTCCATACCATTATCAATATAACCCTATTGAATTAATTTGGGCAAAGGTTAAAGCGGAAGTAGCCAAAAAAAACAACACCTTTATGATGGCAGATGTTGAAATGTTGGCGCACATGGTTATAGATGCAGTTACACAGAATGATTGGGAGAAGTGTGTTGTACATGCGGAAAAAATTCAAGAAGATAATCAAAAAGATTATTATTTTGGTTCAGTGGTAGATTATTACTATTTGGAGGGTTATTATTATTATTGAAATTTGGCTATTGATTATTTCTACACTGGTTTGCGAAATGATTGTCATTACAATGGAAACAACGTATGGGTGGTATGATATTACTCGTGTTATTATTTCGATTAAAATTATTTTGATTTTAATCGGTCTAAAATTTGGATTAAACTTGTTAAAATTACTGCCATTTATATAACCATTGTTTTTTTCGTGTACAATTTTTATGGTTTTCATTGCGATAATTATTATTTAAATTTTGACGATTTCCTAGGTTTGATACCTAATTCGATTTATTCGGACAAGGCAATTTGTTTAGCCTGTTCGAAAGTTGCCAGATTTCTAGCCTTAACTATAGTTCTAATTGAATCTAATGATACACGTATATATGCCTGTAAAGTTTGCTCCTTTAAAGCATCTCGCAATACTTTTGCATCCCCATCGAATTTACCTACAGTAGTAATATTACATAACCTATAATATATATTTTCATTTTTTCTACTATATTCCCGTACTTTATCCCGATTTCACATTTTTATGTTATTTAATTCTGCCTGCAACGCTGAAGCCATATAATGATTTTCAAACATTTCCCTCAAATATCTTTTTATAAGACTCCATTTACTCACATCTCGATTTTTAATTATTTTGTGAACGTCACTTGAAATTCTAGTTACTATATATTTCGTTATATAGGGTACCTGTTTTGGATCCAATACTCAGATTGCGATTTCACACACATTAATAAAATTATCTACATATTTTTCTTCCTTACAAAAGGGTATAGATTTCTTGCTTTTTCCCACTGCATACTTATTTTTGTTACATTTTACTTTTTCTCTTTGGCTCAAATTCTAACTTAGTATGTTCTATCGTCATCTGACTACGGGTGATTATTCATCTCTGGGAATCTGGGTCAACTGTTAATTCTCTATCACTTTCACTTTGGACTTTTAATTCTCTTATATTCTCTTTAATTTTTTTTTGTGCACTTAATTCTCTTTTAATAATTTCTTCTTTTTTACCTTGGACATTTAATTCACTTTTAATTAATTCTTTATTCTTCTTTAACTCTTTAATTCACTATTTTCTTCTATTACTTTACCGGTTTTCTATTTTAATTTATTAGCTAATTCCAAGAAGACAATTTTTCTCAACAAATTTTAAAAATTGGAAAAAACATGGAGAAATCGGTATAACATTAAACAAATATTATTTAAAAAAAATAAATAAAGCCTATTTAATAATTTCCCTATAATATGTCATATTATATTGTTGACAAAGCATTAATATTAATTGAATTCCACTCAGAATCTTTTTTTGTTAACAATGGTTTGTCGTTGCTTACAGATTAATAAATTACAGTCAAAACCTGAACAATTTACATGACTTTTTGACATTTAGAGAAACCTCTTTACCTCACTACCTATTTAATAAAATATACACTAATTGTTTTCCATCAATTCTGTTATAGATGTATATCATATCTTTGTAGTCGTATAATCATGTGATAAGGTCTTTGATTGAAAACCCGTTATTGTATAATGAATAATTAATGCAATTTATGTGTCCCTATCCAAAGTATAAGTTACAAGTGGTTGAGATTTTATCCACCAAGGCGCGTATGATTATTTTGTTTCCCCCTATGCATTTATATTCATATAAATTATCTATCTAATGTTTATTTGTTTCTGGAAGTAAATTTGAACATAATGCAGGAGATTTTTGAACCATTATCATAAAAATGTTTTGATCCAAATTGTTCATAAATAATTGCCTTTAGTCAATAACCATACACTTAAAGTATTGTTCAGTAAGTTTGAAGATTTTGTAAACACTTTTAAATGCTAGTTGAAGACCACCTCGATTTAGCACCAAGCATCTAAGCAGGAAAGCGCAGTCCGTTTATTAATATGTCTATTGTCTATGGTTCATCCACAAACAATACAACTCGGTATTATAATTTTAATTTATTTAATTAATATTTACGAATGTTTCATTAGCAATATTAAGTTTTTAAGCTTATTAAGTTGATAATGAATTTATTATTTACAGTTTTTACATTATAGTCGGTTCCACAACACTAGGCACTCGATCGAAGCGCGACCCATGGTCTAAGTTTGCAATTCTATTGTTTCCCAAATGCGCGCTAATTTATAATCTTTTTTATTTTTTTTAATCATTTTAAATAATAACGAAAACATTTTTTTTTTTACAGTTTATTAGAATATAATTTATTAAGTAGATTAAATATGATTTGTGTACACATAAGTATTTTTTTTATTCAATTAATCAAAATAATTTCAGTCATTTTTAATAAAAAAAATTAAGGTCCTTCGCTGTCGCTCTCACTATCAATACTATCATCAGGATTGATTGTCAGTATTATTGATGTCAAAATTTCGTCTCTTAATACTTCTTTGATGAAATACTTCACATGTGTGAATGTTTTTCGGGGAGAAGTAAATTTCGGTTCTGACCCAGATTCTGAACACGAAGACTTAGATGCCTCAGACGTTATATGCTTCACAGTTCTTATGCTCACTTTACATGCATCCGCAGTCATTTGCTGAGTTTGTTTAAAAAAATTGGCCACTTCAAGATTCAATTTATCATTTGACAATTTTTTAAAAAAAACTTATAAACATAAAACATTGTTTTTTTAGTTTGAGAGTGAATATCAGGACGAATAGACACTATAAATTCTTTAAAATATTTAGTCTGATAGCAAGAGCGGGAACACGTACGAACACGCCCTCTCTCGTTTTGTATAACACAGTTAGAGGTGTATATGAACCTGTGACGTGTCTACGAGCAAAATACTTTGATATAATAACAGTTGTTCTTAAATATACATTAGTTACTAAAATGTGAAATATACTTAACAGCTATCATTATATTTTTTTTAAATTTGGCGCCTTTTTATACGAACATTTTTTGAAACCCTGACGAGAATTGACCACGGGTGAAACCGACTATTATATAGTATATTACTTGTTTTATCAATCAAGCGTAGGTCCTAATAACGCTATCTAGTAGAGTTCTGGATCGTAAAGTGACACACAACTGAGGTGAATGACCTATCACTTATCTTCACAATAATTGTATTACCGAGATACGCCATCTCTAAATTACTCAGTGCCTACAACCAATATGGCTTTTTTCTGCATCTGTTGTTATCACTAGTTAGCAATCTAGTTTATTATCTGTGTCACTAAATTTTCTTGTGATAAGTTCTAATGTCCTATCCATATTTTTAATATCAATATTTAATGTATAAAGTGAATTAATATATGGTATATGGTATGTGTTCCGCATGTAAATATTTGATAAGGACTAGGTTGTCATTGATTATAATATTTTATAATCAATGATGTTAATATGTTATGTTTGTACCGCCAATTAATGATTATTCGTACTGGAAACCTTGAGCGCTTGGACTGCAACGAAAAAAACTATTTTCTTTTTACTTTTTAGTTTTTGAAATGATATTTTAATAATTTATTCAATATACTACCTAAGTATGTTCTGTATATTACGTTCCTAATGAAACTTTCTACAATATCGTTCTCACAATAGGTATTTTTTGACTTAAACATTATAAAAACTTACGTACACCCAACAATACAATACGTTGTAAAGACTGACAACTGTTACTCCGAGAATTTGTGACAATAACAAAATATTGTAGGTACGTAACCATTCGCAATATAATATTAGTATATTCTCGTAGGGTTAATCGATTTTGATAAACAACAATTTTGTTTTTAAGTGTTTGAATGTTTTACGTTTATACTAAAATCTGCTTTTCCTAAATTGGCAGCTTTTATTATTTTACTATTTATAGATATATATCTAACCTATTAAAATCATTGTTGGTACCTACCTACCAATGTTTCCGGGTTATCTAAAATACATGGTGCCCTTCCAAACTAAGATTTTAAATAAAAAACATTTTTTGAACAAATCATCGAACCTTTCTTGCATATTATAGCCAACATTTTAAATAGACATGAAAAAGTTTAAAGGGCTGATGAATTATAATATACTATGCTATTATCACCAACAGTATTAGCCTGCCAAGAGCAGCCAGCCGGCCCAAATTTTAAAACTAAACATTTTATACATTAATGATTATTTTGAGTTATTAAACATGTTCACCTAGCTATGATATTTTAACGGTGTATAAAATTAGTTACCATGTTTTCTTGATTTGAATTATTTTAAATGAGCAAACTAAAATATTATGTTACTCGTTTTAAATGTAAAATAATACATTTCAACATAAAATATGTATGGGTAAGTAGTTATTAGTATAATTATTCTTTTAAGTAAAGTTTAAGTACCACGTTTTTTGATTCCTATATATTATTTGTTAAAAACTGGTTGTGAAGTACATATGTTTATGCCACAATTTATTTACCTAAAAATTATAACAACGTTTGTTTGAAAGTGATTTACTTTAATAAGTAATTATGTTAATTAATCTAATATATTATAAGTACCTATAGATACCTAAAAAAATAGGTTAGACAAGTGATAAATACTATACATATATGTAATTCTAATATACAGCCGAGTAAATTCTAATCTATAACATATTTTTGGGGTTTTCTAATAAAAAAAAAAAAATTAAATATTAAATGATTATTCATCAATTTTTATAAGTTAATTGATTTATTTAAATTTGATTTTTTTTTTCAGGTTAGCAAAATGTGTGATCCAAATAAGTGGATAGTCATGAAAACATACACCATCAAACAAGAAAAAGATATTTTAAAATTATTAGAAAATAATAAAAATATTAAAAATGCGAATAATGCTTTTGAAATAGTATTTAAATATATGCAAAATAAATCTATAAAACAAGTATCAAATGGACTTGGTATGGATATTGTGAAGTTTAAATCTGACATGGTTCGACTTAAAATAAAAAGAGTTAATGCTTCAATACAAATGGCCAAAGAGAAAAGCCAAAATTACGATATAATATTTGTTAACGTGAAAAATAAAGATGGAGATTATTTTAGCACGCTGGTAAATAATTCAAATCCAAATGATAAAATATTAATTATTAATGGACATTTATTTGAATTCAATTTACCTGGTAACCATGAGAAATCATCTAATATTTCAGTTCAATCAGAGACAAACTCAAAGGTTATTCATTTTAAATTTAGCGACTTGTCTTTCGAAAAGACAAAACCTCTATATCAAAATAATCTTTCAAAACTTGCTGACCCTGGTGTTTATTCATTATTTGGCAATGTATCAAAAACCTTAAAATATAATGATGAAGACTTGATGTTACTAAGAATACAGTGTTGTGATAAATCCTGTATTGAAACTCACAAATATCCTCATTATGTTTATAATTTCAAGGATATTTCAAAGGAAGAAAAAAGATTGGGAATAAAATCTGATTTGAATTCAAACCAAGTTGATATTTTAGTTGAATCGCCAAGTTCTAATTTTTTGTCATTGCATCTTGGTCAACGAATATTTTTAAACAATATAAGGATGGAATTTTCCACTGATTTAAACATGTTTTATTTACATATTTCAGGAGCAATGAAAAATATAGAAGCTTCTCCAACAGGAACCGGTATTGTAAATTCTCTTGTGCCCCATAGAAGACATTATAAAATACCAAATGAACTGAGACCTGCTACTCAGTGTAAAACAAATCAAGTGTCTGACAATGATGAATCTAATAAATTTAATAAATTTCAGAAATTGGATGGAAATTATCAACTACACAGACTGTCAGATTTATCTTCGGATGATAATGATAATAATTTATCAACATCAACAAAAGTTTGTGATAATAATATCAATAGGAAAACTTCAATCGACATGCAGTGTCCCACACATATCAAGAATAAAAAAACAATTTCCAATTCACCAAATTGTAATGAAATCCAAAATTGTCCAATGGTTTTGCCAAATAGTTTATCTGATGAAAATATTGAACCAAAACAAATGGAAATAATTCTAGAAGAAACAAAATTACAGGATTTACGTACTGATAGCTCAATTAGCTCGTGTTCACCTCCATTTTTTACACCAGATCATCCTGATCCTGATAAACCCATTATAAAAATTGTAGATAACGTAGTTGAATTTAAATCTAAACCACAATCTACGAAATGCTTGGGTTTCTGTAGACTTATTTACATTGAACCTAATATCCTAATTAATAACCATTATACTGAAAATCAAGATTTCATAAGTGGATACTGTACAAAATGTTTAAGATTTTTTCCTGAATCTTCATTGGTTAAATCGAAATCACATGAAATATACTATTGTCCTATGTGTGAAGACATTAGTCATCTTACTTTTTTTTTCAAAATGACTTTTTTGTATGGACAAAATGACAGATTTGCTATGGAAGTATCTTGCTACAATAACGATGCTGAACGTGTAATCAAGAAACTAACCAAGAAAAAAATAAAAGTTGAAAATTATTCAGCAAACCGTAAATGTATAATGGATACTTTACAATCATTCATAACAAAGAAAACTAGAGTAAATATAATTGTTGAAGAATCACCAATGGATAATGTTCACATACTTAGAGATATTGATACAAAATTTGTTGTTTCATCTCCATTACATTAAATATTATTTTATATTTTTGTCTTTTCATTATTGTAAAATAAAATACTGTTCCTTACAAACATTTAAACTTTAATTAATTATGAATTTTTTTATTATATATTATTTTATTTTAAACTATGAAAATATTGTAAAAAATATTTTTTTAAACCTGTTTTTATTTTTAATGGAATCATATCAGATTCAAACTTGATTATATTCATACCAAATGTATTTGTTATTTTTGGTTAATATTTATTTTCTTCATGTCTTATGCTGTATGTTTTTACAATTATCAATTTAGTTTGTGCACACATTTTGTATTTCGGAATAAATTTAAGTGAACATTATCCGTTGGTGACTCACAAATTAATAATGCTCTTTTAATTTTAGAAATTTATGCAAAATTTGTTATCATTCTTCCAATACATTAAATATTACGTATTTATTTCTTTTTTATATTTCTGCAAAACAAAATATTGTTCCTTATAAACATTTAAACATTCATTAATTATAAATTATCTAATATAGGAACCTATATACATATATATTTTTTAGAATACAAAAATAATATTTAAAATACTTTTTAAATCTATATATCTATACAAAATATGTGAAATGGTATTTTTTTGTAACAGGATTATCTATTTTTGAGTCAGTAATAAATAATCCCTTAATTAAGATAGGCATTGTTATTGCTTCTTCAATATTATTATTAAACATAAATGTATTTATTTTTATATACCTAAAAATTGTATATTTCTAAAGTAGTTTTTCAAGTAGTAATAATAATTATTTTATCAACGCAGAATGATTTTGTTATTTTACAATAATTTTTCATAATCATAAACAACTACTTATAATTATGTGAGACTAGTTAAAATCTGTTATCTATTATACTAAATTCTTGGAGTCAAAATACCTACATTATACCTGCCTCTTAAAATCCAGAATCTAAAAATTATAAATAGTAAGCAAATACTTGCATGTAAGTACTATGTCATTTTAATGATTTGTGCTGCTATTTCATTATCAAAATAATAGTGTCGGGTACTTACATTAAAAAATAAAAATGTGTAGTGCACAAAGTGGTACTAAACACAAAAATAGCCACTAGCCTATAGGAAATAAGAATATTAACAATTGATATTTAACTACAAGGTAAATATGCCATATTTAAATTTAAGTTTTACAGTTAATATCTAATATCATTATTTGTAGTTTTTATGGTGTGTATAAGTAAAACTAATAAAATATTGTTGATAACCCCTTGTTACATTTTCAAACATTTTTGTTTAATATAAAAATTATATCTACATTCCATATAATATTTACCAAATAAAAACTATGTAAAAAGCAAGTAAAATTAAAATACTAATAAATAGCTTAAAAATTGATGAAATGTTCTTAAAATGTGATCATGCCTAAAAAAGGCAAATATTTATTTATAAGTTTTCTGAAAAAATTTCAAGTTTCTATAAATATTATTAGCTGAATTACAACAAAAAAAGACTGATATGATTCGCATAAGTCTGTGTCACTGTTGTAGGTGAGACGTTGGGAAGATCCCCCCCTCTCCATTTGGAAATGTTCGTTTTTTTTTTCATTTAAATATTTAGTATGTAATTAGTAGGTATGTATGACCAAACCCGGGATTTGTAAAACATTTTTTATTGCAGTACGAGTAAATCAACTTTTAAATTCAGGGGGAGCTGGAGAGATGTTAAATAAAAATTTGGAGCAAAATTACTAATAGAAAATTTGTGCACACAAAAAAAGAAGTCCGTAATATATTTTAACTAATACCTATATTTCTTATATTTTCCCGTTTTTTTTTTTCGGTTTTTCGAATTTGATAAGAAAACTAAGCTTCTTCACTTAGAATTAATACAAAATTGAAAATAATAAAGGAAATATTTCGTAAATTTTCTCGTTTTTTCTATGTTTTAATTTTTAATTTTACTCAATTATTAATTTATTATTATAATTCACTGTGCCGCCGCGAACCAGGGGAAATAAGTAAAATATTAAACAATTATTCAGTTTTGAACCCAGATATATGACAGGTGGGGCGATAGTCCTCCCCATGTTAAATGTGGATAATTTGATTGATAATTAAATAGATGTCCTAGGATAATAGGGACGGGTGCAGCCACAGTTACAGATAATTTAATGTATACGATAAACCATTGCTTACGAATAAACGATTCTGAGTGGAGTTCAGTTTAAGGTAATGCTTTGTCAGCAATATATATGTCATTTTATAGTAAAATATTCTTTAATAATATTTGTTTAGTGTTGGGCTGATTTTCCGAGTTTTCCTACGTTTTTCCCAGTTTTTCACATTTGCTGGAAAAACTCTTGGGAAAATCAAAAAACGGCCTTTTTAAGTACCTCTCTAATGAAATTTCCTTTTAGAAACATTGCTGTCATTAAAATTTGGAGTAAAATTGTTAGTCTAAAAATTGTGCACAGGAAAATATTCTGCGATGTCACATTCACAATTAACTGTCGGCTTAATAAATTTGGTGGTATAATGGAAATTAGTGCTTTTCAAGTTCCCGCTAACTTCACGAACTTTCCATTGTGGTCAAACCGTCAAACACGGGATTTTTACATACACACACCGAGGCCCTCTCCCCCCACCCTGGTGAAAATTTCTGCGCATGCCCTTGTCCACAACATACCTACTAAATAAAAATTACGCAAAAACTCGTAAAATACAAATATCTATAAATAACTCAAAAACTGCTCAAATATATTGAAAATTGTATACATAATAGAATTTTGCTATTTTACCCATGTTGCCACCGGCGTGGTGGAGATCTCAGATTTTTGCGTCAACACTGGCACATTGTCCGAATCCATCAAAATATATGCCAATTTATTCATATGAATTTGCTAGATTTTGCTAGGAAATTCCTGAATTTTGGTAACTAAACACTACTCTGTGACAGAGCCAGGAATTTTACCAAAAAGAACCGAAAACCCATTAGGAACTGAAGCCCAGCAGGAACCGAATTTAAATATTTTCGAATAACTACCAGAAATGAAACTGGAATCCATATATTTAAGAATAAATACCAGGATTTACACCAATTATAATAATTTAGTTTTATATTTTTATTTTTCGAAATGACGCGTTGAATGTATGTATAATATTTTTAATTTTTAAAAGAATAATTAATTTATTGTAGTATTTTTTCTTTTTAATAATTAATGAGAATATGAGTAAAAAAAAACTGATTATGGAAATGAAAGCGGCTACTGTTAAATGTAAGAATTTGGAAAAGCAGGATATATAAAGTTAATTATTTTATATCTTTACGCAATGGTAAACAATTGCTAACGATAAACAACTCTGAATGAAGTTCGGTAAGAAATATTTTGAAATGCCATAATTTTTACGATTTTCGTCAAAATTTGATCTTTTGAGTTTTGATTACACTTATGAGAAAAAAAAATACGTTTTTCCTTAGGTTTTTCGTAAGTATAAAGAAAACTTTACGGGAAATCAAGCGACTTTATTATTCACAAACTATTTACTAGACAAATTTTTCTTTCAGGAATTATGTTATTTTTGAAATTTGGAAAAAGATTTCTGGTAGAAAAACATAATTTAAAATAAGCTATTCTAGGGTAATGGAGACGGGTGCAGTCATCTGTTAGATTAATTAATGTATATCAGATTCTGTAAGCAACGAATAATTATCTATTGCTAATGAAAAAACGATTCTAAATGGAGTATGATTGATAGTGATGCTTTGTCAACAATATATATGTTATATTATGTTAAAATAATTACATATACATTATATATTTTCTTTAATAATTTTTGTTTAATAATGTACTTATTTTTCCGTTTTTACTACATTTTACTTGATTTTTCCCAATTATTGGAAAAGCAAAAAATGACATCCTTAAATTACCTCGCCAGTTAGATTTCTTTTCAGAAAAAGTGCTATCATTGTGAATCAGAGCAAAATTGCTGGTGGAAAAATTTTTCATAGGAAAAAAATTTGTAATATTTTAATAATATATTTCGTACATTTTCTAGTTTTTCCTTCATTTTTTTCGGTTTTTAAAATTTGATGAGAAAATTCTTGAAAAAATCGAAAAATAACCTCCTTAAAGTATCACTCTAAGAGAATTTCCTTTCAGAAAAGGGTCTACATCGGAGTAAGCTTTCTGGTAGAAAAATTGTTTACATAAAAAAAATAAATAAAAAAATAAACATTGTTAAACCAATATATCCGTCGCTCCAATCAGAATCTAAAATTTTAAATAATAAAATCGTTGCGCCGTAATTGGTTTTTCCTGACTATGATGAAAACTACTTTAGCTATTAAAAATCATTTTTTTTTTTTTCAGTGGTTTTATATCAAAAATCAAAAAAATCAATCTGTTGTCATTTTTCTCTTGAAGCAATTTTTCTGGTAGAAAACATAGTTGGCAAAAATTGAATACAATGAAATCGTTAACGCACAGTGTGCCGTAAATATTTGCCGACTTATAAAATCTGCAAAACCTATAATTTTCTTTTCGGTGTATCCTAATTATTTCGAAAACTCCTTAGAAGATCAAAAATTAACTTCCCAATACACCAATCAGATAAAATTACTTTTCAGAAATGTATAACGTATAATACTCTGAAGAAAGATTTCTGGTAGAAAAGTTACTCACGGACCTCAAAAAAAAAAAAATTACACATCATAGTAAAACCAATAGATCTTTGCTACGCTACCATAATATGACTCAGGTAATTTAGAAAATTACCATTTTCAGATCAGCCACCCACCCCTAGCTATAATCAAGAATCATCATACCATAAATTTTATCATCTTTTACATAAGTAAATTGTAAAAAGTATTTAGGAATAAAATGTTTTTCAATCAAATACGTAATTTTGATTTGAATCAGATGATGTGCCGGTGGTGACAAAAATTTGAAACCTACCCTGGGGAGCCGACGGGGTCCTAGCAAAATCCAAAAATAACCTAGCTAAACCTAGCGAATTTGTCTAAGCAAATTGGCATATTTTTTTTTTTAATCGAACAATGTGCCGGTGTTGCTACAAAAATAGCATCGGCATGTGTTTTTGTGGATTTCCGAAATGTATGTGCCCTAGCAAAATATTGATATTATAGTTGTATTATAGTCCAACCAGCATAATGTGCCAGTGCGGCAGAGCCAATTTAACGGGCATAACTATAGGATTAAATTTATCAAACCACGTTCAACCGAACTTCCCTTAGAATCGTTTTTCATTAGCAATGATTTATTTACTGGATCTACAACAGTGACACAGTTATGTCTTAAATTATGTCTATCTCTATATAAAAGTCGCTGATATATTAAATTGTCTATCGTCATTTAATTAATGTATTAAATATAGAATATATTTTTCTAAAAAAAGTAAAATACAAAACAATATTTATATCGTTTAGACAGTTGAAATTCAGCGTATATTTATACATAAATACATCTTAAATAATTAGCAATTGTATGTAATTACGTAATTATCAATTTAAATACCTACTGTTCAATCAGCCTTGGTAGTCGGTCGGTCTAACGCGTTAAGAATAACCTGGATTTGTTCTGCCTAGGTTAAGACCAGGTCAAGTCCTACTGGCATGTTTTATGGCTCAAGAAAAATGCTTTATGACTCGATAAGGTAAAAACTCGAACAGTTGTAATTTATTTCATCAATAATATTTTAATATTATCTTAAACACTTTATCGGAAAAATTGTTCGAAATTCATAACCTCCCACGAAAAAGAATTCTAATACTATCCAACATAACACCTACAACTGCAGTAGTCTCTACCCATGAGCATGGTGTCAATTTTTTTTTTTTTTGATTCTGAGTGTAACAATTAATAAGCTATTTATACACAGTTTTACTAAGATATTGTGTTTTTCACCTCAGAAATCATTGTTTTCGATTAGAAAAACCGCAAAACGATACGCATTTTTTGGTGAACGGTACATTATATATGAAACATATTTATCGTGATAATTTCCAACAGTTTATCACCTTATTTTAAAAGAATAAGTATACTTATCGTAATTGATCAGAAAAAAGTAAAACCATCTAGGTACTTATAGGACTTGTCTTTTTTTTGCCCAGAATTCGGTTGAACCAGACAAGTTCCTATCACTATACGTATTTAGTGGACGAACTTGCAGCACCGAATTATGTAGCTTTTATCATTTTACTCGAAACTATATTATCAAAAAGTTATTTTGAACGCGCTGTCTTGTTGTTGCACCGAGCTTTTGAAACGCAATACGGGTCAATTACTTACAATCATTTTTTTTTTTTCGTCTGTCAACCGTTATACTTCCAATTCCCGCCCGAACAACAACAATATTGTAACAACGGTCGTCTACCTACCCGCGGCCCGGATATTATTATAACACGTCCCGGATTTTATTCATATCATGTATTATGACATTCTATAACGCATTCACCCATTGAAGTCCGCGGAAATGTATCCATCAGGGAGGGGGGAAAAAACCGAAAACGACGTGAATATGACGGACTTATCGGCACATTAAGAGCTGGGGTCGGGGCGCAACCGCACAAACCCCCCCCCATCCGGGCGCCCGCGCACCTGCCCGCGTTGACACATCGGCAATATACACAATTACCGCCGCGATATAATATCGTAGCGTTAAATATTATATTGTTTACGATCGGATTAATTTTAATTATTACGTACGGAGCAGGAGGAGGAGGGGGGGGGAGGGCTTATTATTATATCGTGCGCGGCCGCGGACGCCGACAGACGTTTAGGTATTTATCGCCGCGGCCGCGGTTTCGAAACCGAGTCTCCGAGCCGACCCGGACCGTCGGACGAGCCTATTTATAGCAAACCGAGCCTGCGAAAGTCCGCGGACGTGCGCCACTGCGCACGCGCGCGCGTCGCGCAACACGCGACCGATTTCCCAACGATCGCGCGCGACACTGTTGCGCGTCTCGTGCGACTTTTCGGCCACGACGGACGCGGTGCCCGAGCCGACGATACACTCTTCGTACGCCGAACTCGTTTTTTTTTTTCTACTTCCCCCTGTTCGCCCTGTACAAATAATACGCTTATTATTTATTCGTTTCCCACTCCCCCTGCCGCCCCGTATAGTCATTATAAGGCCGACGCTCGACCGCGCGCGTTATATCGCTGTAAAATAAAACTCTCGAAAGGCGAAAAAAACAAGAACGTCGCGTACCCAACTTTTTTTCCCCGTCGTTTTCGATTCGTCCCGAACCGCCGCGCGCTATTGTACGGAGCCGAACGCTACGGGGCCCAGGGAAAATGAACAGAAACGTTCGGAAGAGTTCCGGGGCGGCCGCGACGGCGCCGGACGCCTGCAAAGGGTTGGTGAAAAACGAAACGCCGGACGAAGAGATCAAAGTACGTATAATATTCAAATGTTTGAAAACACTAAACCGATAAAATTATATTTTAATGTCAATTAGCGTTTCGCTATGCATTCAATGTCAAGAGCCTCGGGGAGAAAAATAGCGAATTCATTAAGTTCTAACCGGCTGATAAATCATATTTTACACACAGGTTTACCTATCTGTTCAACAATTTAACGAATTGATCTAAAAATTTTCCTGGAGTTTTTCTTGTAACCGTTGTCGTGCAGAGCGAATAAACGAGGCGAGGTCCCCATCTGCACGCCAGCCAACAAGTAGAGTTTTTTAAATATCATTCGCGTGCGGTTAAAATATCAATAATAAAAAAGGTCGAATAGGTTATATTATTACGTATTTGTGTATTGTAAAAATTAAGGTCATGTCGAAATGTCGTATTATCGGTTCGCGCAGTATACTTTTAGATAGGTATAGGTTCTCGTGTTATAGGTTCATGGTAGTAAATTGTCATTTCATTTCCGGGACGCAGTCGTATATTATGGAATGTATATTTTCTGCGCAATTTACAGTTGGCATACACATATTAATAATACGATACCGAAAAACTGTGTCCGCGGCTAGATAGGTATCGATTTCGCGCCAAAAATATCGAAAATCCGGTATACGAACTATTTGTTTGTTGAACGAATTGAAAACGGTTTGGAAGAAAAAGAACCATTACAATAATTACACGGCGTACCTATTCGAGGCGCCTTTTTTCATGTCAATATAATATCGTCGGGAGACATTTAAGGCCTACCTATATATTATTATATTTTATTGATTTCGATTGGTTCCTGTTGCGCTTAGTCGCCTTGACCTTAATTCAAAACGTATAACTTTATAATTATTCTATATCGGTGTGCATACGAACACGAGACCCTCTAGGTCTACAGCATATGGTTTTTTTGTTCAACACACAACACGTGGAGTACATATAATATTAAATTATAATGTATAGTCTGTGTACCTATATACAGATATATACGTATATATACGCGTGAAACACAAACTACAAACAAAAATTATAAATAGAGCTTTCGTATAGTCGCAGCACACTGTATTACGTTGCCTTACCACTGCGTCTTGAAAAAAATATATTTTACTGTAAATCCGATGGGCAGTATAAATCCTAAAAATAGACAAATCTGTGTTCGATATTATATTATATATATATGCGTCAATGTCAATTTATGCATATACGTGTATATTGTTACACTTAATCGAAACTGTGGGCTGTAATGTAACTGCAGTATTGTTAAAAAGTCAATATAATAGTTATAAGTTACCTTTTTTTTATTCAAACTATATTTTTACTCGAATAGTTTGAAAAACAGAAATAGAAAATATTAGAAATATTTATAGAGACGTTTTTGGAGTTTTGTTGTCATAGGGAAAGTTTTAACGTTGCCCACTCTTTCTGTAAAAATATATATTTGATAATGGTAATGGATAATGGTAATGTAAAATATAATAAGTCTGATTATATACTTAAGTTATGTATATTGTAAATTATTTAAGAATTTAAAATGTAAATTTAAACTTTGAAAGCATTAATAATTCATTTATCCAACTTCAGACTTGCTTAAACAGATTAATTAATTAATTTAAAAAAGAGTAAAATATTAAATTTAATAGTAATAATGTCACCGGAAACGGCAGTAGAAACTATATAGTATATATGTATGCAAAACGTTGTGCAAATCCATATATAAACACTCAATATTTGATACGCACTTGTAAAATGCTGCTGCTTATTAAATATCCAAAAAATGTATATCACACCTCTAAATACGTCTCTAGTGTATACTTGTGAATAGTTAAAAAAATTACTTTTACCTTTTAAGTTAAGTTATTATTTTTCTGAAATTGCGTAACATGGCTTAGTTATACTCAAAGTAATTTTTAAGTTGATATTAACTTACCCAGTTTTGCATTAAATAATAATAAAAATAATAGTTCGAGGCGATTTTTTTTTAAAACAAACCTATATACGTATAATTTCTTAATCATTTTTAGCACTTAGCGTTGAGAATTAAAAAAAAAAAAAAATTCTCGATAATACGATACGATTATTTGTTTTCTCTTCATCTATATATTAACAATATAACAACAATATCACTTCAATAGACGTCCGCACGACTTCCTTCCCGTCTCTATTTCCATAATATTCGTGCTTCCCAAGTATGAAATATGTCCGAGTTTTTATTTTTGGTCAAAATCTTTATAATAATTTCGTCTGCCCAACGCTAAAGCCTATAGAGCTATAAAGCTATAAATACCTACTTATTCGATGTATGGTTGTTTGTACACTATTTGCATGCAATCTTTTTGGTATTAAATATTAAAATGCCATGCACCTCTATTAAATTTTATCCAAACGGTCTCAAACTTAGAGGATTTTTTTATTATATGGCACAAAATAGGCGGGTGTCCCGAAGAAAATTGTTAAATTGGCAAAATAAGGATCACTCTAGTATATAATATAAATTATAATAATTCATATAGAACATAGATGGAAATTATAATAATATATAATGTGTCTTTCAGTACTTATTATCTTACGCAGTTCTTCGACTGCTAGACCATTTGCTCTGAAGAATGAGATAAGCCGTTTCTTCGGCCCCGAACTATCTTCCCATTGACTATTCGGTTATGTCATAATATTGTTTTTTAAGCAAAATGTATTATCTTACAAATACGCCTGCTCAATAAAAATAAATTAAAACAGAGTCTGATTATGAACAATCTAATAGGTATTACAGAATTTAATTTTAACTAATTCGAATTTTTAACATTGAATCACAAATATACCTCATTGAAAATAAACTAAAGCATCCTTTTGGACTTCGAAAACTTCGAACTAAAGGGTTCAACTAATTTTAACTTATAGTTAAGAATGGGGTCTCTGCGTAGACGCAAATAGTATTTGACATTTGAGGGGGCTGATTCTTATGCTCTTCTTCACGCCTTATGATATATTCCAATGTATTTTGTGGTGAAATCATGGTGGCTAACAATTCTAAGAGTGGTTAAACCCTCCTAGCCCCCCTATATACGCTTATGGGACTCTGTTCCTCTCTGTCCTCCATTTCAACCACTGGTTTTAACATGTTCAACCATATTCGGTAGGTACGCGTTGGAATTTTATTTCATAGGTTTTTTTTTTTTTTTAAAAGATATCCTTATATTTTTTTGAACATGTGATAACTAACGAGCTAACGACAACCGAACTCTTTTCTGCGGGAAATACGACCCGATATCGGTAAAAAAAATTATAATGCACTTAACACGTCGTTGTTGTGTTAATTAGCATTTATAAAATGTATGTATAATAATACTAGGTACACTTATTCGAAGTATATGTAATTCGTCGGCCATAATAATAATACATAATATACGTTCAATTAATAATATATAGCTGGAATCGAGTTGCGATAATCTACATATTGTCTTGTATATTCGTGTACTTCAAGTTCAAATTGTAATCGTAGTTCTGTGACGTTTTTAACATGGTATTTTATCTGTCCGCTTGAATATTAAATTCGCCACGGGTTAGGTATTGTAGAAATCGGATTCATATTAGGCGCAAATAGAGTCAATAATCTTGGGGAAGTGTGCTATAATATTAAATTTCTGTTTTTCAATCGAACCATGGGTATATATTATGCCATTCTTCTCAACTTCCTCCCTGTCAGTTAGAAAAAAAGTGACATCAAACAGTGATGAGCAGACAGGGTGAAGTCGGATCTTGACTGGGAAGACTGAGATTGGCGCGGAGTGGAATGGCAGAGCCGTGGAAAAAGGTCCTTTATGGGCTGCAAAAACTGGTAGAATAAGAAGAATAATATATATATTTATGGAAAATAAATGTATGCATACCGCTGAGCTTAATGGTTTTTTGAAAGTTAATTTTAATATGCTAGATTAAATGTATGAAAAAAAACTTGTGATTAGATCGCAGACACGGATTTTTGTCGTTTGTTTATTTATTATATACTTTCGCGGTCGTGTAATTTATATTTTATACTGTACAATACCTATATGAAAATATTAAACAAATATTAACAAAAATGGTATTCTTTTGTATATAACGGACTCTTTTCAAGCAGACAGGTATACGGGGTGTTTCACGGACTTTTGACAAATGTAGAATAACTTTGATTCTGTTTAAATTTCAAGTTTTTTTTTTTATTTTAATAATTACTAGAGGTTATGATTCCTTGTCGTTAATTTTCTACAATTTGTTCAAGTTTACGATCATTTGAATTGTTTTCATTGTCGCTATTAAATAATATCATATCGATTCAGCATTTTTCCCATGAAAAATAACTTTTGTTAACGGTTTTTATTAACTTTGAAGATTAATGATACGGCATTAATTAATATTTGTACCATCAACATTTTGTTTCTAAATTGACTATCTTGGATTATGTAACATTTTAAGTTTTTAAAAATGTTCAAAAACTATAAAATAGAGAAACCAAGGTTAATTGTGATAATTTGTATGAGAAAAAAAAATTTACAAATATATATTGAACAGAACAAAAGTTATTACATTTGTCAGATATCCGAGAAACACAGCTCTGTGTAAAATGCCTTTTGGACGTATGTTTAAAATCAATTTTAATTGAAAGGGAGGAGGAGGGAGTAGGGTTAAAATTAGAAAAAGAGGTGATTTGAAATTGAATAGAGTGAAAACTTTGGCGTTACCGATACAAACAATAAACGGATTAGATTGTATTATTATTTTTTTGAATCGTTTAAAACTCGAAAAATTTGAAAAAAATTGAATAAAATAATGTTTTGGTACAGTGTATACAGTGTACACATTGTCGAGTGTACTATAAAAGTAACGATCATTTTTTTTTTTTTTTTATTTAATGACGTAGTATTTTATACGACGATAAAATGTTTTCATAATTAATTATCTTAATATTCCCGACGTAATATCGTAGAATTATAAGTATACCGGTACTTTATTTATATATATAGTTGGGAGGCCCGATTTCAATCATTTGTTGTTGTTTTTTTTTTTTTTCTTACCATCAAGGTTTTTCCCGCGTTTTTTCTCGACCTTTTGCCGCCCTCTTCCCTTTACCCTTCCCCGGTAGCTGCCGCCGCCGCCGCCGCCGCCGCCGCCGCTCTACCGGCGTAAGTTGATCGGATGGCGGCGGCGGCGGCGGCGTCCCGAACTGGATCGCGGCGTATGTTACAGATCAGATTTCTCTCTCGCGCGATACAGACACACAGACACACGCGCACACGCGCACACGCACACACGCACTATCGCTCGCTCGCACGCACGCACGCACAGAACGGGCCGCACCGGAGGGACGACGACGGGCATGAAAACTGACACTGCGATCGAATTACCGACACGAGTCGTGTCTCGCGGACGGGCGGCGGCGTGCCCTCTCCGTTGACGCCGTGCCGCCGCGGCCGCCGGCCGCGTCGTCTGTTCGTCTCAGTAGCCGTGGCAGGGGCGGCCGAGTAAATTGCCCAGGTGATCGGGCGCGCACGATTTATGGCCGTGGCCGGGCGCCAACATTTTGCGCGCGCCATACACGCGAGTTGTCGGCCGGGAATGAAAAAAAAAAAAAATGTTCTCAAACGCACTGCACAGACATAATTATGTAGCAAGCATCGGCGGCGCGCCGACACGATAACAGTGGGTAACTGATGTAGAGCCAGGCCGATTCGGACCCTTTGTATACCCGAGAGTGACATTATCTCCACCTACCCCCCAACCCCCGAACAATGTTTACTGTTTGTGTACCCGACCCGCGCAGTGGACGCGATGTGGGAATACTTTTGCCGTCCACATCGTCTCCCTTAATGTCTATCTCGTTTTTGTGCCCCTGCGGTCAAATTGAGATCGAGCAGATCGTGTGTGGCCACAGTCATCTCTACCAATCCTTTTACGAACAAATCGGTAGTAGCTTTATTATTAAAGTTATTACCTCAAACTATTCACTGTTCTGTGCAATATTGTTCTCGCGCTTTTATACGTGTCTGACCGTCCGAAACCCACCACCCGTCCACCGATTCCGGTTGAGGCGCGGCACGCAGAGCTCGAAAAACAAAAACAATGGGAATTGAGGCTAGGATCAAAAAAAAACAAATTAGCTAATTGGTGCCCGATAAAAATTACATAACGCCATAAAACTGTTCGAATTGTTTCCCGTGCGTAGAAATATGTTTAAATATGAAATTAGTTTAATCGCGTTGTATTTCTCGTATCGCCAAAATCCAGTAAACTATAGTTAATATATCAAAATCAGTTACAAAATTAAAATCCACCAAACCCAAACCGCCTATACAATTGTTTTTTTCGACGGCTATTGCAGTCGTATAACATGTATGGATTTTTAGTATAGGTTGTCCAGACAGTTTTCGAGGTCCTTGGAAAATGGGAACGAAATTGTTGTCGGTTTGTAATATTCTGGTTTTATTATTAACATTACAGTTTATCAGAACCAATATTCGTATAGGTTACGGTTACCCGTAAACCACTCGGCGGGAACCAACTCGTGTGTGTACCAATATGGTTTAGTAATGGGAATCATTTCGAATATTCGTATTTGAATAGTTTTATCACAAACAATTCGATTATTCGAATACGCGTTACACCGTTAATACAGACTAACCGGGAACCGATTCGGGTGCAACAAAAAGGCAAATCCGAAACGACCTGTTGGTAGTTACGAGTGTATGGCAATAGATGCTATGCACAATTCGACGCAACAATAATGCTAGTCTGTCTGTACTGTAAATACGGAAAAACGATTGACAAGGATTTGTCCGGTTCGGCCGGATTCCGGTCAAAAAGAAGAGCACGAGTCCCGGAGCAGATAAACGTACGGTTTTCCTCTTTCTGCGACGATTCCGAAAAGCGGACTCGTCTTGTTGTCGCGCCGGGCTATAGCTGGGCCCATCGGCTATAGCGACTATGTAGCTCGTAGGCGTTCCGAAAAACGACGCGTTCGCCACGCCACGTGATACCGTTTAATACCGCAGCTAAACGGTAATATAAAATAACGTCAACTGCAGTGTAGCACATGAACGAACGGGCGACAAATGTAATATAATAATTATTATCGTTAACGGCAATTGGTCATCGTCAGACGGTAGGTGTTAATCTATTAAAAAAAATATCATAACGTAGCTATTATTGCTTCCTACGGCTATCGTTTCGTGTTAGCGGCGCCATCCTAATAACACACGGTATTATATCGTGTTATTATACAGTTTATACACGCATGCATTTACGTATGCAATATAGGTACCTACATACCGCCTGCCCACATACGTATACTATAGGTGTGTACAGTGTGTATATTATACATGTATATGTATATATCACATTATTGTGTCCTCACTTTTGGGTTTACAGTTACACGCGATATTTCATTATTTCACCCGATATCCACACACACACACACACGCCGCACCGACATACTGATGTATAGCTATCATTATCCGCGTCCTTTGTGTGTCATCCAACACCGCTCGGGCGGCGGTATACGCCGTCGCGTCTACATCACGGAAAAACGAGAACACCTTTTAATCAATCCATTTTTGTCTCTTCGTCTCCTCTTGCAGCACTATCTCTGCATGCGCGCCACACCGTAGTCATCAACCGCTCCTCTAAAACACTATTCTTATAACAAACAATTGTACATACCTACTTTCAATGCTTCCGGTTGTAGGATTATTTAGTTTTCATTGAACATTTCAATATTTTATAACATTCATTTTAGATTTTGAGTAGTGGATCAAAGTGTTTTGGTTTTACAATGATGTTTATTTTTTTTTTCTGTTGACAGCTGTTCTACTAGCAATTTTGCTCCGATTTACAATGATAACGCTTTTTCTGGAAGAAAATCTGACTGGGATTGTACTTTAAGGAAGTCATTTTTTGATTTTCAAAAAGAAAAAGTAATACTATCATCCAAACTCCGCTCAGAATCGTTTTTCGTTAGAAATGGTTAATCCTTGCATACAGATAAACATTAAATTACCTAACAGTGGCTGCACCGTTCCCATTTATCCTAGGGCAGTTTTTTTAGCCTTTTAGGCACCTATTACTAAATTTTACATTTAATACTGTTTTAGTGAATATAACCTAAATGATAACGTAATTCATATTATTGAACGACAATAAAAACAATATATACCTACTATCTAGTAATAAAATAAAAATAAAACCAACATTGTATTTATCTTCCTTATTGACAGAAACCACTTTTGAGACTCTATTAAAAATCTACTTTCATCATAATTTTCATGAAATTTCGGGAGGGGGCGGTTTAACCTCCCCCTCTTGTACATGTGCCTGACTGCTCGCATGCACCTACCTTTAATAATAATATTAAGTATTATTGTTATTTGGGTACGTCGAGTGTTGCTCTGCAACGGTCGGTATACATATAGGTATAGGTAATCCGTAGGAGGACTCGAAACCGCCGGTAATTCTACCGTACAAACTTCCCTGGCTTAGTGGTGCGTATTTACAAGATTACGGAGATATGTCTTCCTCCTTGACATTTTTCAACTATAGATATCTATTATTTATACGACTACTTATTTTTAATCCGAGAAATCTACAGTTTTTTTTAATAGTATATATGTTTTTACTCTTAAACCGAAACTAAACCAGTTACATTCAGGCTGCGTAAACATGTTTTCACAATTGAAAATTACCATTTTAACTGTCCCACACGGATTTATCCGTGCACAGTATTGAACGAAATTTAATTTAAAAAAATATAAAACCGTATCTCCCCGTTTCTATCGCGTACCTGTCATAGTTAACTTTTATTGCTCATAATTTAATTTTTTTTATTGGTGATTCTGCGCCTATGGTAACCAAATTAATAAATAATAACTGGTCTTTTTTCAATCGTGTCACGAAAGTAACCCACAAATCATCGAAAATAATTCAATTCCGTAACAAAAATACCAATAACCCCGTGACAGCCTCCATTAAAGGATTGAATACGGGGAAAAAAAGTAGCCTATTTATTATTCCTGGTCTAGAATTACATCTATGCAGTTTTAGCACAATTCTTACTATTGTGGGTTGTTTGTTTGTTTTTTTCCGAATGTAGCGAAGAAGTTTTAGAGTACTACTAAAATATGGTTATTATTCCGAAAAAGACGTTTTCGCTGGAACAAAAACATAAAAACAAACTATTCACATTGTGCCATAAAAAATGCGGATATATATATTTATGGTTTTTATACAACGAGAGACTATACTTGAACAAGTATAAAGAAAAACGAATGATGTCTGCATTTTTAGATCGTCTAATTTCTAATTATATAATATGATTCATATTTCAAATATAATTAATATAATTAGGTATTATTCATTTAAATAATTTTGAGAGTGATCAAAACGGTCATTTTTTTACACATACAACCAAATACAGAACCCCGTATTACATACCAATTGGTATGTAATAATGTAAAATTCACAACATGTTTCACTCATTCGAATGACTTTAAATTTAAAAGAACTACCTATATAGTTATTTAGAATAATACCGTACCTAACTATTTCCAATGTAGTTTTTTTTTAAACTCTTTTAGTTTAGATAATTCTTAAAATATTAAAATAATTCTTATCTATTCTAAATATATTTATGGAACTATTTTACCTATTAAAAAATACTTTAGATATTCTACGATTTCTAATACGATTTCAAATTAATTCACCTGTGGCAATAATGTAATTATAAAATGTATATTATGTCAACGGTCGTATTATTACGTGCAGGTCAATATATGTTTTTTTCTGGTCGATTAACAGCTTTTACGAAAAAAAAAATATATATTTTAATAATATAACTTTTGATGATTATTTATTTTGCAATCGTTCGTCAGGTATATTTGACAAGTACTTTGTAAAAATGTATCAAATATACATATTTTTAACTAAGTAGTAAATATACTTTAAGAGAACGTCACATTAACATTTGCTGTCTCTGTCTGTGGGGTTTTATCAATATCTATTTCCCAGATACCCATTAGTATAGTATTAATATTCCTAGGCTCAAAAAAGAAAACAATGTAAATATCTAATTACCCGTTTATGGACAATGACGGAAAATGTTACTGTGACGCCATCTTAGGGTATAATTATTTGTTTAAAATACATAAGGAAACTTTAATAATTTAATAAATTTCACAAAATATTTGGCTACTAGGTACCTGACGAATAATAATTACAAAACTCATGATTATGAAAATCATTATAGCCTATAATATCACACCTGTTTGTTATAATATCACCAGCGTTGAATTTGATTCGATAAATAAATAATTATCATCCGACACCGTGACAGTAAAACTCAAATATGTAATGAAATTATCTTGTAATACGAACTATAGTGTAATATACTCGTGCATTATAATATTAAAACAAAAAAAACCAACAACTTAGATACACGTACAGTTTTAACCGGACAAGAAGATAACCGTAGATATATAAGTAATGGCTTTATTTACGTTAACTTATGACATTATATTTACATCTAATATAATATTGTCTAACTTAAAGGTGACAACATTATCTATCCAACCATCGCATATAGGTTTTATGTCGATATTTTAATTTCTAAACTGTGATGTTTCACATACTCGTGTGAACATCGAAAAAAATCCTATATGACCACACAGATAATGTTTTTACCTTTATGTTTTATAGTAGGTCAATTAATTCTAATATCGAAACTGACAACACAACGTTGTCCCTGCTGAATGAAAATTTGCTATGTCGTAAAAATTGTAGTTTATAAGATGGGAGACTGCACAAGCAGGTATTATGACGTCCTCTAAACAGTTAAAACAATTTAATATTATACAGTAACATTAGATTATTATAACTCTGTCTCGAATGACGATGACGTTGGTAAGTACCTACCTATATACAATATACATATTTCATATTTGTTCAGAAATTCGATCGCGTTTGATTTTTGGCTTAACAGCTTTTTCTAGTATTATTGTAACTATTTATTTTTAAAGCCCGTACATTAAAATAGTTTGCATAATTCTAGTCGACTATAGATATATAGTTATATGGTGTTTAATTTTGTGTAGGTGTTATGTTAGTGACAATATTGCGTGAAATATAATATACCTAAGGGGAGGGGGGGTAGTCCGATCGCCGCCCTCATAGAACCGCTATATAGCCTTTAATGGATAGGTACTGTTTACGCAACACGTTTATTTTTATTTGGGTATACTTCTATAGGTACTTCTATGCATCGAATGGGTACATTTTCAATACATATATATATATATATATATATTATTTAGAAGTAATATTAAATAAAAACAAAGTAAAAAAACCCAAATGGAATATCTGAAATCAGAGACGGATCCGAGACAAGATAACCGGAAAGTGATTTTTAAAATCCATATAAGGCACACGTTTATGATATCGATATACGAATGGAGGTGGGGGCGTTATATAGGCGTCTATAGGGGCCCACTGTATCCGTCACTATCTGAAATGTCTCGTGATGACCAGACTACCAGAGCATTTATATTTTAGGGGATTATAACATGTGGGTGTCACTGTGCAGAGTAAAGTCATCTAACGAAACCCTCCTTTTTGCGCTCGTAACTGTATCCAATGAATTACAAACATTATAAACGCCGATCACCATAGCCATCACTACACGAGGTAGTGGAAGGGACGAAGTCTCCCTTCTAGTTTGAAAAAAAACTCCCAATGTCTATTTTTGCAAATTTTTCGTAGCGCATATACATATATTTTAGTTTTGAGTGCTGTTGATTCAAAATTTGAACACTAACATTTATTTTAACTTAAACGTCATTTATGGAATTTTAAATATAGTTACTATTTTAAAAGGTAGTAGTGGTTTCATCCGTAAAAATAAGAATAACAAAAAATAATATTAATGAAACATTCTAGATATATTTGTTTTATTAATTGTGTACCCCTAACCACTGATTACATTAATTTTTCACTAATTCTGGCAAAAGTTTATACCATATTTGTATGCTTAAATAAAATGGTCTGATCCTTATTAGTAGTATATAATCTGAATTTTCATAATTTTCCCAAAATACCTATTTCAAATATTATATCACCAAAAATTTATTTTAAAACGAGCACGTCTAAAAATTATGTAAAATTATTTTTAGAACGTAAGCCAATATTATAATTTTAAATAAATATAATATAATAACGCATTAGACATTGTGTTTTTTTTTCGATATCATAATATTTTATTACATTTTCTATAGGAGTACGTAAAAACGACAATGAATGAAATGCTCGGCTGGTACGGATACGATAAAATCAATTCCAAAGATTGTTCGCTGCAAAGTATGAATCTGGTTAAGCTCAGGGAAAAGTACAGAGGTCGGTCAAAAAGCACGGAACCGGAGACTTCATCGGATGAGTACAACAGTCCTCAATCGCCGACGACATCGAGTAACTATTATTGATTCATAATTAAATTAAAAAAAAAAAAAATACCTACTACTTTTAATGCTCTATAATTTGTACGAAAAAAAATTCAGAAGGACTAGTCCAAACCCCTGGAAACAATAAAAAACCAAAACCTTATAATAAAATATGTTAGTTGTTCAGCCAACGGCCCTGGGCCAAAGTATTTGCAGGTCACCGGGATTTTCACTATACAGGGTGATCAATTAGTGAATCATTCTGTATACATACTATAGGTACATAATATATATTTCTGGAATACCTATGCATATACTGTCGGGCCAGGCATTTCCTGAGTCTATATAATATATTCTATAATACACGGCCGGTTTTGAGCTCGTCATTTTTTTCTCGACAAATGCTACGCCGGAAATCATCGAACCGCAACAAAACGAGATTCGCTCAGCTTGCGATTTTATAATACAAGTACTTTGGGACGGGCAATATTATAATAAACACGGTCTAAGTATCTGCAGAGCCGTATCAAGCCGTTTGACGGCCATGGGCATCAATTTTTAAACGCCCCTTAAGATGATTTCGAGGCCTCATCACCCTTCCAAATTGGTTGTTTTTTTTTTTACAATTTTATTAAATGCGCATTAAAGTTTCTACATTTTACCTACGCCAAATAAGCTTCTTAATAACTTCTGCGTTTTTGCCTGGGTACGTTACTGGGTTGAACTCACGCTCTTTACCGAATAATATATCCGTTATTACTCTAAGCAAAGCGTTTAAACACAATACAACTAACAAGTGATATTCATATTTCATATTGATATTGTTACGTTTGCTTCGAGTTTTACATTAAACCGGGTGCCCCAATTTTAAAAAGCTTTAACGCCCCAGAGAAAATATCCTCATTGCCCCACCCTCCATAAACACTACCTGGTTATCTGGTGGATATCCACCGCACGTTTACTCCTCTCCCTTCTACGAGCAAATATATGAAACTTTCCTTTTAACTTTTGGACTTATCCCAGTTACCCCTTCTACGCCAACGAGAGTATTTCCTATACAAAAACTAATAATTTTTTTATAATATCTACTGATAATTCATTATTTATCGTATATTATTTTTTGGTGGACCCACTGGGCAGTGGGTAAGCAAAATCGTATACCACGCGGCGTCCAATTGTTGAGTTTACTGTGTATCCATTCGGACACAGAAAACTTCTTTGAAAAACGCCCCGCTAAGTATGGTAATATTAAAATATTAATGTTATTATTTATAATAGCATGCGGAACGAGAGACGCGCGGTGGCACGTGTTTTTTGTAACCCTAATCCGAACGGCTATACTGAGTTATTTTTGGTACCGACTGAAAATATCCCGAGCCAGTAAAGTTGTACACCATAAGCTATAGAGCACACAGCGATAGCCTCGTCCGAGAACCGAAACGAAATTTATAATAATATTACCTACCTAATACAACTGTATAATTATTATTATATTTATATAATGCGCGCGGGCGCACGGGGATAGGTACTAAATAATATTGTGTGGTGTGGCTGAGTGTCATATTATTACATCGTTCGTGCGCGTGCCGTGTACTTACCCGGTATACCACGCGACGGCGACGTAGCAAAAAGACTAATACGCCGACTGTATAATAATATACGTAATATATGATAATATATTATTATTATAGTAACACAATATCGTTGGGGCGTAAAACGCGCCCGTCGGATGTCTCGTATTCTATTATATAGGTGGGTGGGTTCCTATCTCGTGTGACGGAAATATAATAAAGGGTCATCCGAACCGCGAGACTGTGTGCAGTTATTGTAGGTATCATCCGCTGCAGGTCATATACTTGTTACACGTACACTCGCAGTGGCGTCCGCGGAATGTGAACAGGTACATAATAAAATATAACATGTATTACCTACCCATACGTACCGAACTACATAATCTACATATTATTTTTTATGATCGTTTTTTTCGTAACCAAAATAATCCCTGCCACATATGGGCACGTAACAATGTTAATGGTATCCTTCACTCTTTCCTCTGCTTCTAGTTGATCGGATTATTTACAGGCCGTTCAGGTCCACTGTCACAGCCGCTCAAATTGCATTCATCTGTCCCCCTCGTTTGCTAGTTCTTCTTCGTTTTCTATTACCAACAGTTCTAATATCATTGACGATCCTATCTATCCAACGTTGCCAGGGCAACGTTATCATGGTAGTTTTACATTCGGTTTCCGTCTTGTGGCCAAAACAATGGGCACTTCTGACTTCCATATATGATTAGCCCAGCTCAGCAAACTGCTTCTGAGAACTCAAATTATATTTGATTCTCCGTGCAGTTCTTTTATTTTTTCGTTTATCTTAACTCGCGTTCACTTTTAGATTTTGAGCGAAGTGAGGAATGTATTTATTGGTTTTACTATGTTTATTTTTTTATCTGTGAACTTTTTTTCTACCAGAATTTTGCTCTGATTTTGTAGCACTTTTTCTGAAACGAATAATCTGACTGAGGAAATACTTTAATTAGGTAATTTTTTTGATTTTTCCAGGAATTTTTGTAGAAAACGGAAAAAACGAAAAAATTACGAAATGTACTATTTTCGAATTGTCAATATTACGGCCTTTCAAAATAATGTATCACCAAACTCCGCTCAGAATCGTTTTTTGTGACGATTGATCGTTGTGTATAACCCGATTCCTTACCTACAACAGTGGCCCACCAATCGTGTCAGTTCGTTTTTTGTTTTTTTTGTTTGAATGAATCCAAATATTCTTGTATAGACCTTTCGTTCAAATGTAGCTAATTTATTTTCGTCCACCTTTGTTGTACCCCAAACACCATATGCATATAAGGTTATTGGTCTCACCAGTACTCTGTATAATGTAATTTTTATCATCCGCGAAATAGTCTGGCATATATAAAGTTAATAATCCAAAATAGCATCTATTTGCTGGTACCAATTTTCGATTTATTTCTTCGTGGCTATCGGCGTCCTCGCTAATTTTTACACTTTACTCCTAAGTATTTGAAATTTGGCACACTATTTACCATAATTATCTACGACCAAATGTCTTGTTTTTCGGTTGTATCAAGTGACTATCATATACATTTATTTTCAACCGCGTATACTGCGATTACGATATCTTTCATGTTGTTGGATAATACCTCTCATCGAGGAAAACTTCCTTTTCTGCAGAATAAATTAATAAAATAATTGCACGTCATACCCACCTCTTTTTCTTCTTTTCCTTCGCCTTCATCCCAGCTATTCGGGGTCGGCTACCCTCGTCCTAAACTTCCATTTGACCCGATCTCCCACCTCAACATACCCGACGATTTGTAATCGAAAACCATAAGTTACTATTAAAATTAGCTGATATATATTTTACAAATTTCAAACATTATAAACATTATCCTTAGACATCGGTTTTGAAAAAAAAAACCGATACCTACCACTGAAATCGGGTATCAGCCCACCATTAATAAAAATTAGATACTTAACGGCTTAACTTTTGTTTCGAAAGTCAAGTGCATAAAAGTTCATGCCTTGATCGGTATAAAACAAACAAACAAGACTTTTAAATTTGTATGAAATACCTACTCGTATAATTTTCGAACACAATCATATTCGTTATTGTTATTTGTGTAGGTACCATTTATTCAAGAATTATTATGTTTAAGGCTGTGAATATAATCCACTTAAAACCTATTCATTTGTACACACTATTATGTAGAAATTGAAGAAATGTAATTACTAATAATATGCTCTTAAAAATCCAATACTGCAGTAAGTATAGACAAATTTTTCGACAAAATGTGTAAAGAAAAAAAAAGTCGTTTAAAAATAAATACCTAACACTAATTACTAATTAAATTCTCACCGAATTTTAATAATGAAAATATAATAGCCGTTAGTCAATGTATGCAATACGCATACACCTCTTAAATAACCGAATAACTGTCGTGGACGGCAGACGTTTTTAAAATATTTTTGAAAGGTTCAATGTGTTATTTTGATGGTTTTGAAAATTGCATTTTTGCGCCCAAAGTTCAGAAGCCGGTCGGTCACCGACTTTCGGTGGAGCGGCCGTCGCGGTTGCATGGAACGATGGCGATCCACAGTCTGACGACTGCTCATTGCTCATGAATCCCGTGTACCTATCCATAATATTTTAACTTTCGGCCCTCAAACCATCTACAAAACACCATCCAAAAATCATATTGTACATAATATTTTACCATATCATAGGTAGGTACAAAAATTTTGGTGAAACTGTAGTTTTATTCTCTATCTCCCCCCCCCCGAGTACCTTACCACGTCAATGAACAATTTCAGCATAGTACTGATAAGTGACAGTATCCCAGTAAGTACCTAGTACCAACTTTAATAAGACTATACAAAATGTATTAGAAAATAATATTAATTATACGTTAATATGGAGTATAACCGGTGACCGGTGTGCACAAAACGATTTCTTTGATTTGGATTAGGTACCGATTAGAGTCAACACTAGGTACCCCAGTGTTTAAGAAATAATGTAATTTATGAAATACGAATCGTTATTTTTAAATTTAAATAACATTATTTTTGAATAGATTCACCGGTTCAGCAAATAACGTGCGGATGGTGCGACAAAACGCTGACGGCCAAAGCGTTCACATTCCGCACGGCAGAATCTAAAAACGAGAAAGTGTTCTGTTCTGAACAGTGTTTCTCGCAGTACCGCCGGGCCAACTTCAAACGGAACAAAACGTGCGACTGGTGCAGGCACCTGAGACACACCGTCAACTGTGTGGACTTTCAAGACGGCGATCATCAACTACAATTCTGCAGGTGACAAACGTAAAGAGTTTTGATTTTGATTTCACTGGATGCGCGTCCCGTACCTAATAGTTGACATTAATATTGTAAACATTTTGTGTTGTACAGCGACAAATGCTTGAACCAGTACAAGATGAACATCTTCTGCAAAGAAACCCAAGCCCAACTGGAATTGCACCCGCACCTGCAAAATTCATTATTGCCCGAAAACCTTTGCAAAACCGTTGAGCCCAACTTGCCACTCATCACGCCCGATCTGTGGCTGCGCGATTGCCAGTCACCTCCGCCGCCATCGACAGCAGACGGATCGCCGCCGTCTCCTCAAAGACCACATTCCCCACCCATACTGCCGCCGTCGGGTCCGACAGTTCCTCAGCTACGCGTATCCAACAAGCTGTTTGACCGTCAGACCAGAAAACGCAAGAGAACGACGGCCGAAGACAACGTGGCGCCACCTGTATATCCTAAATTTCCAGCGCACGCACCGGTGTATTGTACGCCGCCACTGTGCAGGTCTCCAGCGTTCACGCAATCCCAGACAACCAACAACAGTACACCGGCGAACGATCCCCCACCACCGCCTCTTTACCCGTTGAACATGCCGCCGTCGCTACTGCCGCCGCCTATGATTTTAGTGCCGTATCCTATTATGCTACCAATCCCAGTACCTATTCCCATACCCATACCATTACCGTTTTTTAAAAAAGAATGTGATAACACTACAGGTAAAGAAGAAAAAAATGAAAAAAAAACCTAAACCTTGTACATAAATGGCAAACTACATAATATTATAATTTCAATATTATAAACATATATTATTTATAATTTATTATTAAATGATAATATTTATATCAGTAAAAAAAAAAAACAATTTTGTTGTAAAAAAAAATTTATTATTATTAGTTTACTACAATCAAACATATTTTAAGTTTTTTTTTTGTTTGCACAAATAAATTTAGAGCAATAAAATATTATTATTAATAATAATGAATAATGAATAATAATATACATGTATTATTTTATGGATTATTGATTTCAGTATAAATGTTTTCTTCTTGTGCATTATTATCATCTCCAGTGCCGCTCTTATCTTTATTACCATCCGGTACCTATTAAAATATATAAGGTTATAAATGTGATATTATCAAAGCCGTAACCGAAAAATAATTTATGAGGGGGTGGTGGTTGTAAATTAAAAATGTATGGTGTTCCGATTTTATCAATTGAAATAATTATTTTCCCACAACCTAATATGTTATATTAAGACATGAACAATTAATTTTTTTTTTTTTTTTTGGGGGGGGGAGGGGGTGAACTTCCTTCAAGTATGGCCTTAGATATTATCAATATAAGTAGTATATTATTACAATAACTATTAAGTTATGTTATGTTTTACAAAAACCCATAACATTACAAGTTCTAGTTCATATTAAAAATTACATGGTTTACACAATTTAAAATGTATAATGCAAGGGAATAACTTACTATTTAAAACTTTTAAATTATCGAAGAAAAACAAAAAATATACTCAATTTTGATTCATTTTGTAGTATTTTAAAATATGGGAAAAATTCTAGAGAAACTTTTATCTTACACATAGTACACTTACACAGTAATGAGTTATACAAGGTGATCAATTTATCGTAAGACATTCAATGTCTCTGAGAGTATTAACAAGCAGCTCTACAATTTTTAATTTATGTTATATTTTGTCACCCTTACTTTTGAAGGTAAAACCAATATCTACTTTTAATTTTTTAAATGACAACCTACATTAAAAATTCTATAAATAGAGTATTAGTTAAAATAAATTTTGGTGTGATAATACAAAATATGTTCCGTCCCATCAGTATTTGATCCTGGGGTTGTTCAAGGGGGAGGAATTTATTAAAAGTATATTAAACACAGTAATCCCTCGTTAACCTCAGATTTTTTGACCATGGTTTTGATTATCCACAGATGAGTGGGAAATACCTTTTATTTAATAATCCATACATTTTATCGCTATTATACGAATGCTATAATTTATTTTAGATAAGGTAATCCTAAAGGATACCGTTAAATATAACTATACATACACACCATGCCATATTAGAGATAAATGCTGTAGAAGGTACAAATGTTCGATTAATACAATTGTCAATTGTTAAGTTGTTATCGTCTTATTATCCGCGGTTTTGTTCTCTGCACAACTTTATTAGAACCTAACCTCCGCGGATAATGAGGAATAACTTTATATTATATAGGCAATTGTAGAATATAAGCATTATGTAAAAAACATGGCCTTGGGGGGGGGGGTTGATCTCCCTTGTGGCTCCCCTTGTATCCAACACTATGTTTCATTCAAGTACTTTGTCCTTCCCACTCCAAATTTGAGCATTGCTAATATAAGTATATGTATAAATGTTGTATATATGTATATATATATATATATATATATGTTTAGATGAAAAAGGTAACAGTACCCATAATCCAGAATCTACACATTGTTTCATATAATATGCTGCATCTTCTTGGTTCATCTTTTTAATCGTCTCTTGCAGCAACTGAATATCTTGCGTTTCAAAACACTTTTTTAATTCCTGTAAAACAATTATTATTTTTAAGTAATTATATGTTTTATATGATTGTGATGCTGAATTGCGTGCATAATCATTGTTTAAGTCGATTTCTGTGCTTTTTTAGGGGACAAACTGTGCGCGCTATTAAAATATTTACATTATCTTTTTCATAGTCGTGATTTTCATATAATTCTTTAAAATCAAATTTACACATGCGTTTCCAAATCTGAATATAATTATTTAAAAACTTAATGAAATTAAATTTATACATTATGTATAATTTGTAATTTTTTCACGGCACATTACACCAAATTCCATCATTTTTTTCTTTCTTATATTCAAACGCAACGCAATAATTCACGCAATTTGAACCTATGACGATAAATAAGCAGAAGCAATTTAGTTGTTAACCTAATTCACTCATTTGTGTGCATCAATTTGGATTCAGCCATATTTTAATAATATATAATATTTGTCTTACATCAGGAAGTTGCTCAAACACTTCAAGTGGATCGAGACCACCGGGCCCTAATCTCGCCTTTCGCTCTTCTTCTTCTACTTCAGCCTGAGCAATACGTAACTTTTCATCTGCTCTCTTTCGAATACGCTCTTTAAACATAGTAAGTTCTTCTTCAAATGAATCTTTATACTGTTTCTCAGCTATTTGAATTCTTGAAAAGTAAAATAATATTATGCATTAGTATTCAAATATTCTACACACTATATTAGTGTGTAATATCTACTGTGTAGAAATTGCACAGGTATTATTTATTTTATTCCTAATAAACCTAATAACCTTTTTTGATGGAAGAGCCAAAAGTTACAATGTACACAATTTTCCAGATTTTAAAGAGCCACTAAAATTTTTCTTAAGTATTTAAATATAATTTTATTTTTAAATTTTAATAGACATAATAATAATGAAATTAATTATAATAATATAATAAATTTATGATAAAAAAAAAAAAAAAAAAACAGTTATTAATAATAGGGGAATACATCAATGGGAGCATTGGCTTTGCATGTCTTGGCGTGACGGCGTATGACCAATTAGTTGTAGATAGCGTCGCGATTATATTAGACTCTATAATAAACATTTTACAACTATAGACTGTACTCCATGCGGGCACAGTCAAATTATTTTTGTGATGTATTATTTCATATTTCCAAAAGCAACAAAAATAATATACTTTTTTTTTTATATTATAAAATATTGTTTTTGAACTAAAATATTAATTTTTGTGTGTGCAGCTGAAGAGCCGCAACTTTAGACCGAAAGAGCCGCATATGGCTCGCGAGCCGCAGGTTGCCGACCCCTGTGTTAGGTTAATGACATTTTTTATTTGAATATTATAAAATTTACCAATTCTATAGGTACCAATATTTTATGATCGATTAATGATCATCATAAATATTAACTTATTTTTACTTATGGTAATAGCCAATTATATTTTGTTAAAATATTATTATCATTCATAAGCTATCTAATTGTTAGTTATTTAAGATTCTGAGCAGAGCAAGAAATGTATTGGTTTCACAATGATGCTTATTTTTTTATTGATCTGTGAACAACTTTTCTAAAATTTTCAAGTATAGCACTTTTCCTCAAAGGAAATTTAACTGAGGCAGTACTTTAGAAAGGTCATTTTTTGATTTTCCCAGAGGTTTTCATAATTAATATGAAAAACCAGGAAAAAACGAGAAAATCTAAGAAATATATTACTTTAAAAAAATGAATATTATAACCTTTTAGAACATGTATAACCAAAATACTTGTGTATTTACACAAAAACTATTTAAGATTAGATTAAATGGCTTTAGTTTAATTTATATTAAATTATGGTTTAGTAATATGGGGTGATATTACGGACAAATATACGCATAAGCTTAATTGTTATATTTGCGAAAGAGCTATTGGTTTTATAATGCTGTTTATTTTTTTTCTTCTTTGTTTTAGTCTGTGGACATGTTTTTTTCTAGGAAACCTATTCGGACTTTTACGTGTAACAACTTTTCTGAAACCTCAAGTTGTTTAGATTGTACTTGAGAGGATCATTTTTAGATAAAACCAATTAAGTGGGAAAAAAACGTAGAAAAACGTACAATTTCACAATTTTATTATTTTATAAAAATACAGATGACATTTTCTACCAGAAAAAATGATTTAATCGAAAAATCACAAGGTCCTTTTTTGTTGCCTTTTTGATTTACTTTCTTACGAAATCATCGCCAAAATTTTTGAGCTTTTAAAAAATTATAATTTTGGGGAGTTTTTAAATTGTAATTTTGTTATAAATACACATAAACTTGAAAATTGGTAATAATACTTATATTGGACTTACCTAGACGTGATAAAATTTCCAAAAACACTGGACTTTTTTTTTTAATACAATTGTCTTTCATCAAACAATAGTTTATCATTGCTTACAGATATAAATGAAATAACCTAATATATCCTACCTTCCTAACTTCTCATCTACAACAGTGGCTGCTCCCATCCCCAATATCAGCTCTTTTTTTTCAGGATTTATACTGACAAAACCATATTAAAATTATGTTACTGATTTGTATAAACATTTTACTTTTAGAAATAAAAATAGTTTATAAGTTTATAATGTTTTTTCTTACTGTTTCAATAGAAATATTGATACCTACATATATTGATAAACCTACATACTAAATTAGATTAAAGCATTAAATTAACCTTAATACACCAGTATCCAATAAACCTAATACTTTTTGATGAAAAAAGAAGTGTTGTTAGTGTTTATGTTAATCATTTTTTAAGCATTGATGTATGTTCATTTTTAAGATGTATAGTTTAAATTGAAATAATTTAAGGATAATTAATTTTATTGCAGTGTACTGTAATTAGAATTTTTTTGTAACTCCCAATAAAGCTCTTACTTTTATATATGTTTAAATTTAATTTAATAATTACATTACGACTATATGTATTTTAACTTATGTTAATATGTATAAATTTGCTTTTTGAGATATCATTATTTAAAATTTATGTACAGTGAAAACGTGTTCTACATACAATATATTTATTTATATAATTTTAATGATGATTAAATAAATGTAGAAAAAAAAAGGAGTAATACCTTGAGAAAAATGATGACACACAAGCTCTGGGATCTACATTTAGTTGTCGTGATAATTCCAATATATATTGCATACAAATAGTTTGATGTGCTACGTGTTCCATGAGATCTGTTTTCTATATAAAAAAAATAGAACAATAATATTAGTAATACCTGACAATTTTAATTTAATATGTAATTAATACTGAAATATAATATTTACGCCTTCCATTTGTAAATCAATACACCAAATCACTAAATAATTTGCAGTATCTTCGCACACCAGTTGTGGATTTTTTTGTAAATATTCTTGACTGTCTTTATAAATTCTAAACATACCAAACTTTTTTAATTTACTCTTATTATTGTTAATGAACATCTCCAATCGCTTGGCTTTGTCTTCTTCAGACATATTTTCTTCAGGTTGTGGAGCCTTCGGGTTGTTCACAATTGTCTTTGTAAAACCTGGTTTACTTATTGTATCAACATTCCACGGCATGACCTAAATATTCATTGAATAAATAAAAATGTTTACGTTAAATATTTTACAATAAATATTATATTTATAATACATATATACAAATAAAATACAAAATTAAGAAAAAACTTAGCATGGTGTATATTTTGTAAGTTGGGGATAATTAAAACCAGGTTTGATTTAAAAATTATCATTAGGTTTATTTGTCTTTCATGTACTTAATACATGTTAACCTTACCTGAGAAATTCAAACTGGTCATAAATACAAAATCTATATTGTAATACTCCAAGTTAAGTATTTCATATTTTGTTTTATTTGTAATATAAATATAAATATATATATATATATATATATATATATATACATTATATATACATTATATAATGTATATTTTGAGTATTAACTTCTAAAAAAAAGTTTCACAACATATTTGTTTCTAAGAAATTTAAAATACACAAAACATATGCCTAAATAATTATTAGTTTTAATTAAACCTTTTCCTTGACTTTGAACTCTTGTTCACGTTTTTTTAATTCTTGTTCTTCAACACTCAATGCACTTAATGCTTCTTCGAGTTCATTTGTATTTTTACCTTCTTGTTCAGCAGTCAAAAGTTTATGTTTCGTTTCTTCGAATTTCTCTTGAAAGCTAAAACATTATTGATTAAAACTGTGGGTATTCAGCAAATTAGACAAATATGATATATTACGTTTTTTTCTTAATTTCCAATTCGTGTTGTTCGCGTTTTATTTCTATCATACGTTCAATACGAGCCTGATGTCTCCAACGAAACAATGACGGAGTATCAATGTTAGGATGGGTTTCATCTTCATCATCAGACACCTAAATGAGCAAAATATATTAAATGTAAGAATATCTTTTATATAGACTTGATATAACTTGTAGGTACATACTTCAATATTCTTCCATTTGCTATAATCAACCATTTTACTCAGTTAAAAGTTAAAAAAAATAAAAAGTTTAAACACGGTACTCGCTCAAAACAACAGATAAAATAATACGGTAACAAAAAAATAATTATAAAATATAAATCGTTCAAACCCAAGAAGAATAGTTGAAAAAACTTTATAATTGATTATGTCACAAGCACAACATAGAACATTAATGATTTATCTTAATTCTTAAACCATAATATTCTGGAACATTCGTTATCCATATCAACATCATTGTCATGGATGAAAATATCGAGACCCAAACATTCGAATCACAGTTCTTATCACAGTCTCAGTTTATACGTCTTCTATAGTTCGTATTAATATCAAAACTATATTATAAAATAGTTATGATTATAAACAGATATATAACAGAAATTAGATTGTTAACTGTGATAAGACGTGAAGTTACCTATAATCGTGGTTACCAACGGCCATTTAAAAAGAATTCAATGGGTCTTATCACATTTATTTAATGTTGATAATAAACAAATTAAATTTGGCGCCAAAATTATTTGTATTTGATTTTGTTATTTTTCGATTTTAATAATTTATTTTGTTAATAAATTTATAGTAATTATACCTTATAAGTGTTGCACTTATGATTGAAATAGTCTATATGGTCTTGTCAAAAACATTATTTTTATTTCTTTTTACCTGTGCGCAACTTTTCTACCGGAAATTCTGCTCAGACTTTTAAGTGAAGCACATTTTTTGAAAGGAAATTGATATAAGGAAGTACTTTCAGAAGGTCATTTTTCGATTTTCTCAAGAGTTTTCTCATCAAATGCAAAAAACCGAAAATAAAAACGAAAAAAGCCGAGGAAAAACGGGAAAATGTATAATATACATTAGTAAAATATTACGATTTTAGATTCTAAGTGGAGCGAAGCTTATGGTTCTACAAAGATGTCACCACAAAGTCTTCCTGAGCCACTTGTGTCTCTTTAGACTTTCGACGTCATTGAAATACACAAAACCGCGCGATAAAAATATTGCCACCAATTTATACAATTATATATAACACACCTATATGTTCCTTATTGTGTTGTGATGGCATCAATGGGTGTCATTAGTCATACCGCTATGACACTTATAACATCACGCTATAACAGAGTCACGACTTCATAATTAACGAGTGGATCACCGTAACCGGGGGTCCGTCACTCTCGTCCTGAACTTTCCCTTGACCCGCTCCTTTCATTTTCAATCGCATCCAACGTTTTCTTTTTCGGTATTCTTTTCCCTCTCTTTCTTACTACGACTATTTTCATTACAATTTTTAATGTTTCTGATTCGTCTCTTCTCATGACACGCCCAAACCATCTCAGTCTATTTCCTATAATTTTGTCCACTATCGAAGACACACGTAACCTACCTATTATGTACTTATCCTTATCCTATGTTCTCTCGTCAATCCTCTCATCAACTCATTTTCATCTTGGCTACACACATTCGCATTCTACTCATTCTACACTCAGAATCTAAAAAGCAAAATAAAAGTTTCATATATGAAGCAATTTTTGTCACTGTTTTAAGGAGTTCAGAAAAAAAATATAATAATTTAATTTAAATTCTAGTTATTATAACATTTATTATTATTTAACCTAACCTTTACCTATGAATTACGGTAAGTTAATATAACTATATTGTTATTATAATTGTTTACGAGCTGTTGTCTGTAAACTTGAAATATACGTAAACAAATAGTAAAGACTGGTTTATCTTTGGAAAATATTAGGTACCTACCGATAATTGTTCAGTGTAAGAAACTTTAGTGTTATAAGAGCCATTATAAGGGGGAGACTTTTAAATCCAACTATCATTTTTACTTTTTAAAATATTTTTGCAGAGCTTTTTTACGATTTTAAGAGCATGTGAATCCAATCTTTAATGATAATCAATAACGGCATATTCTGCAGCAATATCTAGCAATTCTTATATCCCGTTCAGATTTCGATACTGGTTTATAACTTGTATTTCCAGATTCGTATATTCTTATCATATATATATATATATATATACATTGCCGGTTTTCATAAGTACCCGCTTATTATAAATCACCACCACCAGACAGATAGAGTAAAAACAGTAGTTTTCAAACTGGGTGTCGTGAGTATTCACTAGGTGTTTTAGAATTTGTTTTCCTTACATTGTGACGGACCCCCGGTTACGGTTATCCACTCGTTAAGTATGAAGTCGTGACTCTGTTGATTATGAATCATTTGAATATGACTCATTAATTGTGTTATCAGCTCTAGTTGTATACATAAAATTAAAAATGTTTTTGAATTCCTTTCAGAAAAGGAAAGTGGTATATGGAAGTACCTTAAAGAGGTCATTTTCGATTTTCTCGAGTTTTTTCATCAAACGCAAAAAACCGAAAAAAACGGAAAAATGTACGAAATATATTTATATAATAATACGATTTTTTCTTTCTATGGAAAACTTTTCTACCAGTAATTTGGCTCTAACTTTTAATGATAACAATTTTTCTAAAAAAATTTCACTGGGAAAGTATTTTAGAGAGGTCTTTTATCGATTTACTCCGAAGTTTTCTTAACAAATGTGAAAAACTGGGGAAAAACATAGGAAAACTGGGTAAATCGATACAACATTAAACAAATATTATTAAAGAAAATATATAGAACTTACTCAATTATTTTACTATAGTATGGCATATATGTATATTGTTTACAAAGCATCACTATCAACTTAACTCCACTCAGAATCTTTTTTTTGTAGGCAATAGTTTATCGTTGCTTACAGGTATACATTAAATTACCTATAACAGTGGCCTTCCCGAAATAGTTGCTTTGAAAGCGAAAGAGAAGATCAGTATCTCCATGGATAACGATTTAGATCAATGTAGCCACATTTTTCATAATCTTTTAATTTGTGCATAGGTTAATATTTATAGTAAGAAAAATTACAAAACATTACATTTTAAGTAGATATTTTAAAACATTAAAATATTGAATGTGGGTAGACGGGTCAAAGGATTTCAAGGAGGACCATGGCCAGTCCAGTCGGTCCTTAACATCGCCACTGAATTTTTATACTTTCTTGTGTCTCGTCAGTCAGACTGTAATTTTCTCCAATTATAAGGCAAATCTTGTCCTTCTTCATATAACCATCTGGTCATAACTAAAATATAAAAAAAGAGCTGATATTGGAGACAGGTAGTATACATAAAGTTATTTGATTTATATCCGTACGTAAATATAAACTATTATAATGAAAAACGATTCAGAGCGAAGTTCGGTAAGACATATTTTGAAATGCCGTAGTTTTTATGATTTTCGTTAAATTTTATCATAAAATGCTTATAAAAAAAAACTAATACATAAAACTCAAATTTATTTTTTTTGCTGCTTAGTGCAACTCGTAATGTATCATGTATTAAATTTTCAAATATTATTTTTAAGTCATATAATTTTAATAACGCCTATAACTACCAAATAAAAATACATATAAAACACGAAAATATTAAATACCTATAAATAGTCTAGAAATGAGAAAATAATGTTTTGAAAACTATACCATGTCTACAAAAGGCCAATATAAGTATTTTATGAAAATTACATATTTACGACGGCACGCCGTAAATATTTGCCGTTTTACCTATAATTTTAACCAAAAACCGCACACATATTATGATTTTAATTCAAAAAAGGTGAGTCAATAAAAACTACACATTTTATCGGATGCCAGGTAGGTATAGTTACATTGTATAGTCCAATAAAGTGGGTAAATTCCTCACGTTAATGTCTTGTGTACAGACGCACGTTGTATTTATAATTTTAAAATAATCTGTAACATAAAAATGCTTACATCTTATCGTAGATTGCCCGACCATTAGTCCTTTTTTTTTTTATTTATTTTTTTTTTATAAATATATAAATAATAAATAATAGATTATACATGATTATAAAATTTGCGGTTTTTTGATAAAACAATTTTAAAAATGTATTAAAAAAGGTTTTAACCCATCAAAAGTGTTTTGTCTTGTATTTTTATCACAAGTGTGGGGTTTTTGGAGTCAACGAGTTTCACTTTACATATCAAGTGACTAATAAAAGTTCAAAACACACAAGAATGTGATGAAAAAATAAATAAATTTCTCCGCTAAAGTACCTACCTACTTGAATTATTATAAGCAAATGGCTTCACAATGCGTCGTACAAATTATTATGCAACAATTCGATTAACATTTATTAATCGGGGAATTTTTGAACCTTTAGATGAATTATTGAATGCGAAAATATTACTAACTCCATTTATTTCCTTTCAACAAAGGACATGATCCGTGCAGAGATTGTTGGTGATCACGACCATCGGACGTATGCATATTATACCAAACCAGTGCGGCTCCTTTTTCAGCCGGAGAAACGATGTTTAACATTGGAAATACTGTATAACCGTCCTTTTGAACGTCGTTCAGCTAATAACAAAATAGTCATTACTTTGACCTCACAGACAAAAATATTATTATATTATTATTATTATTATTGTTATTATTATTATCAGGTATTTTTACGCACATAAAATAATACTGTCATTAATCTGTTACCGAATTGTCTGGATAACTGAAAATATAATAAACATTCAAATCGATGACTTTTCTTAACTTTTTATTGAATACATCAATATTTATTTTACATACGGAATGTTTTTTAGAAAATACATCATAGTGCGGCATATAATGACCGCATAAACCATAATTGACTATTTGATAGTCTTCGGCTGTCTGCGTATTTCGACCAGTAAAAGATTCTATTCTAGCGTTTAATGATCCATGGATATTTTTTATTCGACTGGTCTTACCCGATCGATGCTTTTCGTTAAAGTTACCACCGGTCATTTTTGAATCTACAACTCTTGAATCGACCATCTAAACAAAATGTATTAAATTATAAAATATCTATATTCGTTATTATAGTGTATACATAAGATTCTAAAAGTTGTTACACCAACGAAGAATAGGGGGAGGGGGTAAACTCCTAAAAAAGTAGGTAATGTCCTACATTTATGTAGTGTTAACTCCTTCAAAAGATAGTATTACTCCTACACAATATAATTGTAAAGTTGTAAAAAGTAAAATAAGGTATTTTAAAATAAGTAAAAATCAGTCATAGTCTACAAAAATAAGAGGTAGAGGTTGTTGTATTTCCAATTTACGGAAATAACATGGACGTTATTAAAATGTTCGAGAATTTTCGATACGATACCTTGTATTAATATGTTTACTACATTTTATTTTACATTTTATTATCTTACATTCATAAGTCTCTAGGAATATTTATCCAAAATGCAACAAAAAAGATCTCTTATCATTTTTCCGTTAGAGAACTATTTCTGGTATATAACGTCTTGTGTGTTTAAATAAAATAATGAAATCGTACAATTGTACGTTTTTTCCCACTTGAGTGTAACTATCTCAATTAAACGTCATTGTAAAACCAATATACATTCCTCGTTATACTGATATAAATGTAAAAAGATCTGTGTAGGAGATTAAACTATCTATTTTTGGCAGGTAAAAAGGGACTATGTAAGAATTTACATATGTTTTATATACAGGTAAAAATGTCATTTTTGTAGGAGTTTACTTATAGCCAGTATAGGGAATACCAAAAAGAGTTAAACAAATATATATATATATATTTATACAGGTCTAATACAATTAGGTATGCGTGCAAGTGTTATGGGCGTCGGTTTATTCCCTTTAAATATTATACGAGTAATATTGTATTGCACAGTGCAGCAATAGGGTACTAATATAAAGTACGAGTCACAAAGTTATAATAAATAATTCATTCGTCAGGTCAAATTAGACAGGCTATAGTTGTCCGGTATCAAATCTACATTCTTCGGACGGGGACAGGTTTCTAAATCCGCCTCAGCCGCGGCCAATTTCGGGCGTACCAGATGGCTCGGACAATTATCTACCAAGGTTCTGGCGCAATGCGAATGACCGCAAACGAACTATTTTAGCAGAATAGATAAATCAATAAGATCAGTTTATAATTACTCTGTATGATAAAATACCTATGCGCGTATTCTCACAAGACCCGGATGGAGGGGCCGATGTACGGGTTATCACTCGACTACGTATTAACATGTTGTCGAAAAGTGTGAACTAAGCATATCTAGCTGGAGGTTCAGGGCATATATATGGGTCGCCGAGAATGCTTTTTCAGATAAGTCTTACCACTATCATCTGCAAGCACTTTCACGCTAGATAGACTTGTAATTTAATTAAAAGTTAGAATATTTTTTAGCTGAAATAAATATACTTGTAAAATTATCGTGTCTACTTTTTTGACTTATACCCAACTCTGTGTTTGAAAATATACCCGCAAGACATGGTAGATATAATGTTTAGGAAGTAAGCACTTCCATCATTTGGTACCGAAAATAGTATCGATACAACATGTATCACTTACGTTTTTAATACTCATAGTTTTAATCGTTTCGATTTCATCGTCGTATAAAACATCGTGATATATTTTTATACTTGGGTCGTCGCTTATATCTTCTTCTTTAAAAGGCATCAATAATCGATGAGTGGAATTTTTGGTTTGGTATCGACATTTAGAGTATTTCGTTAACGTTCGTGTGGATTCGCCGAGTGTACATAAATCTTTGAATTTATTTGCAAAGGGACACTGTTCGTAAAACTTTAAACATACATAGTATTTAAATTAATACGCATTACTTAGTTTTACACAATTGTTTTTAAAATAATTATTCTTACACGATTCGCGTCAAGTCCATATGTTATATCCAACGACGATTTGCTCTCGTTTCGATCGATTAATAGTACATCATTTTTCATGAGTATAACATGTCGCATGTAATTTTCGTCTTTTTCAGAATATCGTGTTTCATTAGATGAATTTATTTCAGTTGTGTAGTTGCATCCTATTCATAATAAATACTCTACATAGACGATCAACGATTTCGCAATTGTCAATATACCTAAATTCAGTTCAGTTATACGCAGATTTCAAATACAAAAAGGAAATTTGATATGATAATGATATTTAGAATTATTTTCGTTTCAAATATAATTTCGACGCCGTTAGAAAACGTCGGGTATTATTAGGTAATAATCAAAAATAGCTCAAAATAATTAGATAAAAAGGAGTTTTTGAAATAGACTATAACTTATTCAATAATAGCACACGAGAATAAGATAGTTTTAGAAGGTTTTTTAGACAATATAATAATAATGTTAGAATATCACCTGCATGCAACGAAAACGAAACTATCAAGTTCCTTAACCTTCCGATATTTATACATTTTGGTTTACCGTCAGTAATCCATTTATCGTGAGCTTGAATGGCCCAATCTAAGCTACCGTAAATGTCGTGTGTCGCGAAACAATTCAATGAAATAACATAACATTCGCAAGCTTTATACATAAAAAAAAAAGTAGAACATTTAAACATAGAACATTTTTAAAAATATTAAGTTACATTTTAAAAACCGTATACACGTTTATATATAAACTCAATAAACTATAAGTGTAAAGCTTATGATGCATTGTTTTCCTATTTGTTTATTATGATTTATCAAATTTGATTTAAATTACTATAATCATAAAACAAAGGTTGTTAATTTATAGAAAGTATTTTTAGGTAGAAATAGACATCTTAACGGTTTTTAAATGTAAAATTTTCATTCCTAACCCTCCCCCCTTCCTTTAGGTCACCATGTACCGAGTTCCAACCATTTGTCTGTATGTTTATTAATATACTTACCGTTCAACTGATCGCCGATGTTTCGACCTTTGTGTCTTCCCGCCACCATGTCAGACACTGGTATCTCGTAAAATTTTTGAAGTCTCACCAGTCCTTTAATTGCGAAAATCACATGATCACCGCTGAGGTCTTTATCGCTGTTGATTATTTTTAGGGCTATATTATATAATTATTAAAACCCATTAATATATTAATCCGCGTGATAGACATGATACATCAACGGACAGTATGATTATAGGTACTTTTACTAACCGTCCGCAGACTGTTTATTAATCATCAAACTGTTAATTTTGCGCATTCGCAACTGTATTTGTTTCATCACTATGAATCCATTAATGTGACTGCAGTAGGGATTTTTGTCCAACATTTTTCGATCGTACCACTTGTATATTTCGGTTAAATAACTATAAAAATCGTAATTAATTAATACATTGATTTTATAATATACAAATAAGCCATCCTAATGTTAATAGTAGAAGCGGCTAAATGCATTATGCTGCTAGATGTCACTGTATTCGTTTGCATTCGAGTGATGTCGCCATCCTTGGTGTATGCCTTGATGTAAGTTAATAATTGTTATTAATAATAAATTATCAGGTTTATTACTTATGTGTATTAAATAAAGTAATAAACAAATTATAATTTATAAACAAATGTATTATTAGATACTATCAGGCGCGTATATAGAACCATATTTATTTATTTTTTTGGAGGGGGTTAAAAAAATTCAAATGACCTAAGTTTTAAAACATACTAAATTTTAATTATTTTGTCGAGCTCGAAAATTAAACCTAAAATATCTGGAAAAACATATGCCATTATATTAGTTGTAAAAATTCTAAACAATTTTCCAAATATAAAGATGTTAAAATTTCTAAAAGACAAAAACAGATTAGAAATTTGGATCATTAATACAGGTTAGACAAAAATTGTATTTTAAAAAAATGATAATTTTTTTTGGCATACCTAATAATTTATTATTTTAGGAATTATAAAACTATTATCTCTTGATGAATGCAAATTGCACAATAGGTATTAATGTTAAGAACATTTTTCACCCGATTGTTTTATGGATAGCAAAATGGCAAAGTTTAAAGCAACTGCAAATTCATATCAATTCCAGGATGATCAACAATCTACTCCAAAAAGTTAGAAAATATTTTAGTTTTAAAATCTGCTTAGAATTTTGGTAACATTTAGTTTGTTGCTTTCTGCATAACGCTATTCAATTGTTGTTTTTTGTTTTGCATATTTTTGTTTATACTTACTGGTTTATATGTTTTCAATATAAAATACACTTTTTGGATACCCTCAAGCCAAATTTTCATACATTTTCCCGTCTTTCCTATGCTTTTCCCACTCAGATTTCCTTTTAGGAAAAGTGTTATAATTGAAAATCAGATCAAAATTTCTGGTAGAAACCAATAATAAAAAAAAAAGAAATACATATCATTGTAAAACAAATGCATTCCTCGCTTCGTTCGGAATCTAAAATACGACTAATTATAATTTATTTTGTACTTTTAAATAACAAACTAATTAAGTGAATAAGTGTTAAAATCAGATAATTTTTTTGAGTTAGGACATACCGAAAGAGAAGAAAAATTGTCATCCTGTTATTTTAAATTCCTAATGTCTAAAACGTTATGAACATCAAGCTACTTCTGACGTAAAAGAATTATTATTTTCAAGCCCTGATGTTATCACTATACCTAAATGAAGTCCTAACATGAATTACTCTACACCTAGGTAAAATAAAAAAATAAAATACAAATTCAATCTAAAAAATAAAAGGTAAAATAATGGGGACGGGAGCTGCCACTGGTGCAACTAAGAAGTTGGGAAGGTAGGATATAGACAGGAATTGAAGGTATATCTATAATCAACGATAAACCATTGCTTACGAAAAAAACGATTCTGAGCGGAATTCAGTTTATAATGATGCTTTGTCAACAATATATATGTCATTTTGTAGTAAAATAATTAAATAGGCGTTATATATTTTCTTTAATTAAATTTATTTAATGTTGTACCAATTTTCCTAGTTTCTCTACGTTTTTTCCGGTTTTCCCATGTTTTATCCCAGTTCTTCACATTTGCTGGGAAACTCTTGGGAAAACCAAAAAATGACCTCTCTTAAGTACCTCCCTTATGAAATTTCCTTTTAGATACATTACTATCATTAAAAGTTGGAGCAAAATTGCTAGTAGAAAAGTTGTCCACAGAAAAAAAAATCGTAGGATTATATTTAATATAATTTGTGTATATATTCATTGATTTTATAAAATATAATATGTATATGTATACAGTATATTATAAAATCTATGGTATACTGGACATTAATTGTAATTAGTTAGTGATTTGTATAATATGTATTCATTTTAATTGTACTTTAAAACTATTATTTATTATTTATTTATTTACATTAGAACTTATTATGTTTAAACTTTAACGATCATGAAGTGTGTATAATGTATTAATGTATATATTATAAAAAATAAATATAATATTAAAATTGTGTAACTTATTTTATTTTTAAAATGTAAAAAAAAAAAACGTATTTTGTTTAAATCTATATTTACTATTTAGTCTTTAACGCACTTTATTCGGTGAAAAATATTTTGCAAGATTACACTCGTGAAATCGTAACGAATTGAAAGACATCTCATACGTAAAAATCGATCTATTATTATAGGATGTACGAAGGAAAACACAAACATACATAGACGCCTAAAATCATAACCTTCCGTAGTGAAGTAAATAAAAATATCAAAATAATTTAAAAAAATATTATTATAATTGATTTAATTTTATTTAATTTAAATATTAGCAAGTAGACGAAAAATAACAATCCAACAGTCGGGTCAGCAACAGCTAGTTAGCACCTATGATATGCGGATTCGGCATCTAAAATCTACACAAATAACTAGTTTACAAATTTCAACAAATACAATAGTGATATCTGTCGGATTTTAATGAAACCGTGGCTTATCTGTATATTATAAAATCAATGGCTAATATATACCTATTAATGTTTTTTTTTTTTTTTTTTTTAATACGCAAAACTACCTTAATATTCGATAAAAGAATTTGTATTCGTATTCGATCTTATAATAATTTATTCTACAGCAATATGACATTTTAGAAATTATTTTATTAATATATAGTTATAGGTATGAAAGTTTAATAAATTATAATACGGTTATTACTTTTTCAATTCCTCTAAACGTTTTGTTTCCGCATTTATGTACCCATCAAAGGCGTTAAAATGTTCTTTTTGCAATTCGTATAACTGTATCAAGGTCGTCTGTGATGTGTGCCATTTTTCTCCGCTTTCCGCGAATGTCCACAAAGAAAAAATTAACGTTAAATATCTGAACATATTTGGTAGGCAGTATTACTTAGCATCGATTATTGCGGTGACCTAGGTATTAATTATTAAACTAACTAACTAAATTATTAAAAATTAAAAACCTTTTTGAAACAATTAATTTCAATTTCGTGACAACCTGTCATAATTAATTATCTCAATATTGCTACTACTATATAATATTTATTCGACTCGCACAACCGCGTTATTTTTTATCGAGAACAAAAAAACAGACTGTGTTAAATTTTTGTATATATACTTGTCTTATATGTATAATATTCATAATTTTAATGAATTATCAACGGTTCAAACATCAAAATAAAAATGTTGTATACCTATACTACCGAAATTTGAATTATGATTTATTACTGAATCGATAAATAAAGCCAAATCGCAATAATATAATGATCAACTGATCAATATTTTGGCTTTCGCATAAAATGCTAGTTTTGTGATAGCAGTAAAAGAGCAGTTATTTTTGTGCATTAATTGTTGTGGTTGTTGTTGTTAATTTAATTATTTAATGGTTGGCAGTGTGCGTTTGTCGTGTGTGAAAGTGATATAGTTAGTTTTATTGAGATTTGAGGTTTAATTTTAAGTTGTGTTTTAGAAACCAGTTATTAATTTCTCTTAAATCATTTTCTGTGTTGAGAAAGTTTGTAACTCAGTACATCCCCGAGACGATTAGCGCTGTTTCATTAGTATATTATATTATTTGACCATTCACTTTTAATTTACCTAGTGCTGATACGTAGATTATGCATAATATGGGAGATAAAATTATTCCTAATGGGGCGCCGTTAGTAATTGTTTTTTATTTACTACAATAATTATTAATTTTAACCTACTGTTTTCGTTCGTACAGATATAATTTAAATAATAAAAAAGATTTGTTAGTTTTTCCTGTGGAAGATAAGATACTTAGTACTTAATACTTGTTGTACGAAATGCTTTTTCTTTTATTTTATGAAATGGTTAAATATATAAACTAAGATAAGATGTAGTTTATAATTATCTTTATACTTTTTATGCTCGGTAAAGCACGATTCCGTATGTTTTACCTTTTCTGGGAACACGATTCCATTCAATTTTGATCAAAAATGGACTGTCAAAATGATCTAAAAGACAACACGTTTATGAAACGATTTTCTGGGCAATGTTGCCATTTACTATTTATTAATGTCAATTTGTTTAATTTTCTTAAATAATATCTAATGTTGTAAAAAAAGGTGATGAACTTGAAAAAGTCAAAGTCAAATTTAAAAATAATGTATTTATGGAGATTAAGTAATACAAGTGATTGTGCTTTTCCCGAAATAATAAACTTTACTTCGTTTTCCTTATTGACTATATTTTAGAAATTGTATTTCTATGATGCACCGCATTTTACACAAAATAACGTAGTTATCAATTAGTCGACTACATTAAATGTGTAACGTACTATGGAGATAATTAAAATAAGATTTCTTCTTCTACTCGTGTCGGTCTGTGTTTTTTTTTGCAAAAATTCCATTTCTTTCTTTTTCCAATAATCAATGATCTACTAAAGGTATCAATGTACACTCGAGCAGATGGTTTGATGTTTGTTTCTCTCCACACTCGCAATTTGTATTGTTGGTCACTTCCCACCTATTTAGGTTTTCTTCAGTTCTTTAGTTTTTCCCACTTGTGTCCTCAGACGGAGATTTTTCCACGTTTTATATACCGGTGGTAAAGTTTCTGTGGATGCGCCCCAGCCTGTGAGCGTATTCCCTTTTTTCGCTCTTTCCATGTTTCAATCCGATTAACCATTGGGTTTTCCCTTAGTGGTGATGCTGTTTTCATAAAGTACTTCCTCGATTTTAACCTGCTATTGGTTAAAATTACTCTATACATTACATGCCTGTCGTCATTTTACTGTTTGCCTCTTTCTATTTTATCTGCTATTTCTCGTCTTATTTTGGGCGGCGCTATTCTAATTAAGATTTGTACTTTTTTATAGGAGTTGGTTTTAAGCATCCTATTATTAGTATTACCGTTTCATTTAATAATATGTCTACTTTCTTCGCTTGAAATGATTGTGGTCATACTGGACACGTGTACTCTCCAGCTGAATAGTATAATGCAAGTCCAGATGATCTTACCACATTTGGGTCAGCACCCTATCTTGTTCCCACTAGTTTCTTTACTGTTTTTTATTTCTAGCAACGATCTTTTTGTTTACACTTTCACAATGTGCTTTATATATCAGTGATATTTCTAATTTTACTCCTAGGTATGTGGGATTATCTATGATATCTTATGTTATGATACAGCAAAAACTTATTTGATACATAACGATTGTATGTTATATAAATCTTACTATAATAGTTAAGAATTATCTACGTAAAACTCTACCGGTAAAACACGATTCCGTAGGTTTTACCTTTTTGGGAACATCAGTGCCGTAACGAGGGGAGAGCTTAAAGGCTTAACCCCCCCCCCCGAAATATCAAATTAGCAATTGTATATTCACCTGTTGTAGACACGAATCGTTTGTATTTCAAAAAGTATTTTAAATACAATATCGAAGTGTCCAGAAAAATTGTTTCCAAATATAAATGTTTTTATATTCTTAATGGAGCAAGGAATTTATTGGTTTTCCAATGATTTTTTTTTTATGTAAATACTTTTTCTACCAGAAAATTATACTCTGATTATCAAATATAACATCTTTTCTGAAAGGAAATGTACTTTGGGTGGTACATTAAATAGGTAATTTTTTAAAATTATCATTAATATTCGAGATAATGAGGAGAATCTCAGTCTTTAGGTTAAAAAAGATTGAAAGATTAAAAAGGATGGACATACTTCGCAAGTGGGTGCAACCACTGTTGTAGGTAGGAAGTTGGGAAGGTAGGCTACAGACAGGAATTTAATGCATATCTGTAAATAACGATAAACCATTGCTAATGAAAAAACCATTCTAAGCCGAGTTCAGTTGATAATGTTACTTTGTCAACAATACAATATATGGTATTATGTCATATTATGGTAAAACAATTAAAACAATGTGCATTGCCATGACAACAATAATTGTTTGAAAAAGTTTAAAATAATAAAAAATTAATAATAACAAAAAATAAATAAAAACAGTTGCCAATAACAACCTTATTTTTAATTTTTTTAATTTTTTTTAACCTAAAGATCGAAGTTTTCCTCATTATCTCAAATGAAAAAGTGAGAAAAAGAAATTAACATCATTATAAAACCAATACATTCCTCAGTCGAAAGAAGTTTTTCTACTTTGAAAAGAGTAAAGCCTTATTTAAGAAACCTTATAAGTGAGACAACACTAAATGGTTTAGCGCTCATGAATATCCATAGAGAGATACATGTTGATTCTGAAGAAGCAATAAATATGTTTTATTCAAAAAAAGAAAGTCTTTTGGATTTTAAACTATAAAGAATTTTTTAATTATTTATTATTTATTTTTATGTTTATTATTATTATTATTTTTTCATCTTACTATCAAATGTACTTAAATTTGCATTTTCAGTTATTATTACAATTATTAATTTTACTTTATTTATACTTATAGTTCTCATCTATTTGACTAAAGTGAACAAAAAAAAGAAAAAAGTGTTTGGTATTGAAATATATATATATTTTTTTTAAAAAAAACACAAGCCTAAATTGACGAAAAAGAATAAAAAAATTAATATTATAACTTTACTGGTGGCACATGCGTGGTGAAGAAAATGTTATGGGAATTTTTTAAATTTAATATTCTTAAATATGATTGTATGAACCGACTTATTATATTGCAAAAAGTGGGTAGGACCCTAGCCCTAGGAATAAAATATTGAACCCCCCCCCCTCTCCGAAAAAAATTCTGGCTACAGCCAGATTCTGTTCGATTTTGATCAAACAATGGATTGTCTAAATAATCCCAAAAACACAATTACGTACGATTTTTCGGGCAAGGTTGCCATTTATTATTTATAACTTATATAATTTATTTATTTTTTTAAATAATATAACATTATAAAAAGTTGATGAACTCGAAAAAATCAAAATGAAATTTAAAAAGATATTTACGGAGATTAAGTCAAAGTTAAAAATGTATCAATTAAATTGATTAGTATAAATTATACAACAATTTTTCTACTAACTAACTACTATAAAATAAAATTAGTTTTTCACTTAATTACTGAAGAAATAACCATATGTCAATGTAGGTTTGTTTAGATTTTCCAAGCAAGAAAAAATAAACCACGGAAATATAAAAGCCATTTTGTAAACAATGAATTATATATATAAAAAAATAGAGCTGAATATAATATTTCAGTGCATAACTAAATATAACAAAAACTTATCTGATCTATAACGATTGTATCGCTGTTGTACATTGTATATATAATACTAAAATAGTTAGAAATACCCTATGTAAAACGCTCTAATTCAAGTAGTCAAATACCTACGTAATCTTATGGAAATCTGGCAACATTGCACTAAAATCTTATGTACAAAACGTACGGACTTATGTGCCTTAAAATGTGTATAATTCCGTTTGCTGATAAGGGCAGTACATAATCGTGTTCTACCCACAAGGAGAAATATATAAAATTAAATAGTTATAATTGTATTTTTATAAAAAATTGATTGCGTAATCTATTAAAGACACGATTTCACAAAAGTCTAAATGACGAGATGGCGTTTTAACGGGGATTTGTTTTTGTTTCTGTGGAACTTAGCACGCCTCCCCCCGCCCTCCACATACATCATCGTACAAAAGTCTCGGTTACGCTACTGCAGCTGTCGGGCTACGACAATAACACTCGGGCCCTAACCTGACCTAACCCGTGGTGATCGCGTGGGACCTCGAAAACCTGCTTAAGAATCGCGAATTTCGTATACGTCTCCGCGGCGTTTCGGGATCGGGATAATACTGTTAACGCACGGGGCGACGATGATTTATGATGACTTTGGTTTTTCCAATGAGAACCTACATTAAAAATTCCATAAATAGACGGAGTATTACTTTAAACAAATGTTGGTATCAAAATTGTTAAATTCCGTCAATCCGTTTATGAGATATTCCACTTTTAACTTTAGGTGGGGGGAGAGTAGTAGAGTATCATTTGTGTGGCGGTACGGCGCGCGGCGTTTTATTAGTGTCCCACTTTTCTCCCCCGAAATTTAACCAAAAAAATAGGGTGAACACGCTTGATAAATTACCCCTGTATATGTATCAGATATATGTAGCATGTCCCGGAAGCGCTAGCATCGCTATAGTTTGTTGTCCTCGCGCATGCGTACATTATGTGTAGGACAAGATGCCTAGCGCACCTGCGCTCTATAGTTTTAAGATCATTGATTTTATTACAGTCGACCTACTAACTTCAAAAATTTAACAACACATCCATTTTGGTTACTGTCAATCGATTTGAGTTTATGGCCATTGACTAAATATAAGTACGCACCTATTTGCTTTATTTGTGATTAATCGTCATTTGTTTCAGTACACTCTTACATTAGTTTAAATGATTTTTCATGATTTTGTTTATGTTTCATTGGTTATAGTTATGATGGAAGTAGTGGAGTTGAAAGGAAGAACTGCCGAAAATATCATTGAAATATCCAACATACTCGAGCAATTACTCCAGCAAACATACAATCCAACACCAATTTTTATAAAGTAATATAAACAGCACATTAAATACAAATTTATTTATTTTAGGTAGATTCATTATTAATTGTATTGAAGGGTAGTTCCTTTATTTTTATAATGGAAATAGGTTTTTGTTTGTATTAATATTTACATTTTTTTATTCTTGTAGATATTTTTGAAACACCTAATTGTATTATAGGAATTTAATAATAAAATGTAAATGTAAATTTTTATTTAAAATAAGTATCTGTTGTATTATCAAAAATAACTTATTAAAAAGGTTTTTAAATTTAAAATAATAAACTTCTCATTTAATCTTAAATCGCTTATATAAAAAAAAGAGCCGATACCGGGAACGGGTAAGGGTGTGGCCAGTGGCGGCGTGAACTTATTACTTCAATACCGTAGTAAAAATTTTCAACACCCTCCCATTCACTTTCCTTTTTAAATTAACACAAAATATAAAAAGTAAAGTATAATATAATTAATATAAATAAGTATCTTGTATTTACTCAATCATAAACATCAACATTCAACACCCGCCCACCGACCCACCCTTTTTTTCGTGACGCAACTGCGTTAATTTAACCGTGTTTACGCCACTAATGGGTGTAGCCACTGTTTTAGGTGAGTAGTGGGGAAGGTGGTATACATAAAGTTATTTAATTTATACCTGTAACCAACGATAAATCATAAAAAAAAAAAAACGATTTTGAGCAAAGTCCGGTTTATACATGTTTTGAAAGGCCGTAATATTTCGAATTTCATCAAAATTTGATAATAAAATTCCTTTATAAAAATAATACTAAGTACATAAAGCTCAAATTATTTTTTTTTACCACTAAGTACACAATTTAATGAACCTCCTGGAAAATGTTCAAGCATTTCTGTTTAGTCTAACAGATTACTGAACCTATCCTGAATAAAAATTGTGTAAAAAACTTGTAAAATTAGTTCAAAAATGAATTAAATATTTTGAAAATTGTGCTACGTCTAGAACAAGGAAATATATATTGTTTGACAAAACGTCAAGTCTTTATGAATGTATTAAACCAAATTACATTAAAAAAACAAAATTGAAAATAATAAATTAATTATTTTTATACAATTTCCCGTATGAGTTTTTTTTTTTAAAAAAGGTTCGTACGCAATCGTAACCCACCCCATTCGATAAATCGGAACAGAGGTGGATTTTTTACTGAGGGGGGGTGGAGATATAAAAATTTATTAAAAAGTAATCTTTCTTATGATAAAACAACACACATTAAATTATAAGTTGTATTATAATATATTAATATTATATTTTTGATTAAAATATTGAATTTACAAAATGATATCAATTTTTCTTGATTATTGAGCCAGTACCTACATCAAGAACTTCTTCTGGATCGAATGGGACTTTTCTATGGATGGTCAACAATGTTAGTCCATTAAGACGTTTCTAAAAATCACTTACTAAATGTTTCACTAAAAACGATTGATAACAACAACATAAACCCGGAAAAATATGTTAACATTTTAATCATTGTTCGGGGGGGGGATAGTATCATGGGATTAGAACCTATATTGTTTATATCAACTGCTCGTATATATAAACTCAGCTGAATATAAAACCGGAACCGTGATAAAGATATTAATTTGTAACCACAGACACATAAAATATCATAAAGCATGGACTAAGATATACCTTAGTCCATAGTATATCTTAGTCCGTGCCATGAAGCAGGTGCGTATACAAAAAAATATTTAGGGGGTGGGGGGGGGATTAAGGTTGTACACTTTCGGCTTTCCTACTCTTATATAAAAGAAGTTTACATATATTCAATCGTAGGAGATTACATTTTATTTGTCATTAAAAATATTAATATTTTAAAACATTTATTTTTAGCCGTTTAGGTACCTATAATTAAGTACTAAGTTTTGAATTTAATATTTTTTTAGTGAATACAGCCTAAATGAAAACGTTATTCATATTATTGTGATAATAATTCAGACGATATGCAATATCGTCGTATCAGTTATAATTTTCTAAAAGTACGAAAACCACAAAAAATTATAAATGACAATAATAACAATACATATCTACTACCTAGTAATAAAATTAAAATAAAACCAAAATTGAATTTATCTTCGTCATTGATAGAAACAACTTTTGAGACTCGATTAAAAATCTACTTTCATCATAATTTTCATGAAATTTCTCGTAGGAGGAAAATTGATTCGATTTTTTTTTTTGTGTTCACAATAAACGTAAATCTATAACCATAAACCATAGTGAAATTCCTATCACCATGTCAAATTTCTACACACTGATAATGAAAAATCATTTAACAATTTCAATAATATGCTGAAATCTACTGGTTTAAATGGAAACCATATAATATTTTATATTTATATTCGATTACATTTGATTAATACTATTTATCATTCTCATTGGGTAATTTATAAAACAATTTTTTATTTTTTTAAAAAACAAGCACGATCTGTAACCATGCGTGGTCTGTAATCTGTATGTGAATATTGTGGAAAATGAATAATGATAACGAGTTTAAAAAAATGTTTATTAATTATATTATTTTTTATATATATTGATTTAGTGGATTTATTAATCTTATTATTATCACTGAATATCAGTTAAACGGGAAACACCATGTTAATTGTTAAGTACCTGAATAAAAACAGACCTGGATGGATATCCCATCCATCTCTTATATCCTTCCCTCGTAAGAAACCACATGAATCGGAACAAAATTTCTGGTGAACATTTTTTATACACAAGATATAACAAAAAAAAAAAATAAACATCATTGTAAAACCAATACATTAATCACTTCGCTCAGAATTTAAAAATGTATCATGAAAAAGACGTTCTAGGATAATAGGGACGGGTGCAGTCACTGTTATAGATAATTTAATGTATATCTGTAAGCAACAATAAACCATTGCTTACGAAAAAATGATTCTAAATATTCAATTGATAGTGATGCTTTGTCAATAATATATATATGTCATTTTATAGTAAAACAAATAAATAGGTTTTTTATAGTTTCTTTAATAATATTTGTTTAATGTTGACAGATTTTCCCAGTTTTCCTAAGTTTTTTCTGATTATCGCATGTTTTATCCCGGTTTTTCACATTTGCTGAAAAAACTCTTGGAAAAATTGAAAAACGAACTCTCTAAAGTACCTCGCTAGTAAAATTTCATTTTAGAAATATTGCTATCATTTAAAGTTGTAGCAAAATTGATAGTAGAAAAGTTGTGCACAGGAAAACAAAACCGTAATATTTTAGTAACGTAATTCGTACATTTTCCCGTTTTTTTTTCGGTTTTAAAATTTGATGAGAAAACTCAAAAAATCGATTTCCTCCTTAGAGTACCTCCCCACACTGATTTCATTTCAGAAAATATGTAACACGTAGAAATCCGAGCAAGTCTTCTGGTAGAAAAGTTATGCACGGATAAGAAAAAATAAAATAAACATCTTTGTAAAACTATAAGTTTCTTCACTCCTCTCAGAATCTAAAACTACAAAATCCCAACAGTAAACAAACATTAATGGAATTATCAAACATTTCTTTAAATATTGAAAAATATATTAAGTTCAAGTGTGTGAGGTTAACTATTAGATTTTTTAAAATGTCTTATAGGTAATTTTTATATGCATAAACACTGAATTAGGGGGTGAAATTAAAAATATCTAAATTAATTTATTTAATCATGTTAAGGAACTCTGTACTTAATTATCTTATCTTTCTAACGTTTTTCTAATTAAAACGTTTTCAGATTATGTGCTATATTTGAAGCAGAATCAAAAATATATTTTGATGAAAATCGTCGATATTTTGATGAAGACTTTCCATATAGAACTGTTCTGAGATCCAGAGATTCTAAGTGTGGACTTGTTTTGATGCATTGGGTTCTGATTAAACATGAAGAGTTTCTAAAAATTGTAAATTTACGACTTATAATATAAAAACTTGTTAATATCCTATTTTTTATTATATCAAATATTAATTTTACCAATTTTTTTTGTTTTATATTTAATGCAAATATTTAAAATATTTTCAGAATTTATTGAATTATCTATTTCAAAATATGGATCATGCATTAAATGTTGTTGCGTGTAGGTTTTTGATGATACATAAGCCTAGAAGTCTTTTTGTAAATGTAAGTAATTTTCATTTATACTCATTTTTAGTTATAATTTAAATTAATTTGTTAGCATACAAATGAATTTGTTCTCCGGCTATTCGATTGGGCTTCAAAATCAAATTGTACAAGTTTGCAAACATATGCTACAGGATTATTAGTAGAGTGTCTAGTATTACCAGATGTAGCTACCAAATATATGTATGTCTCCTTATATTATTATTTTTTTACCATAAATATTACTAAAATGAGTGTTTTTAATTTTTTACAGCGAAGAGAACAATTATCTTATTCCAATAATATTGGCTCGTCTTCAATTATATTGTAAGGATTTTACTATAAAACATCAACATTGTGAAGCAGTTGAAAGCAATCAACGTTAGCAATAATATTATTCTTATTATTTATTTTTATCAAGACAAATTCAAAAAACAATAAAGAACTAGTAGTACCATTATCGACTAAGTGATAAATGTGACATCTTCATTTGCGGAATGTATCATCTTAATAATAGCAGGGATATGTTCTGTTAGTCTATAACAGAGGATAGAGCTGGTTTCAAAAAACAACAGATTTCGTGGCCTAAGAAGGGATATTAAACAATTTTAATATCCCTTCTTATCAGTCAATACTCATTATAGGTCAAACCTTGTAGATGTATCTATTCATATTTGTCACATGTCATTATCTTCAGTTATTGGTAAGAAGTGAAACCCATTCAACAGAAGATTTCTTCAGAAAAGGATTTACACGGATTGTTTTTCTCTCATTAACCTCCTCTAACATTGCTTTATTTGTCTTATGTTCTATCTAGCTTGTTCCTGGTATTTTCCACCACATCCTTTTCTTCATTGCCTCCAGTATAACTCTCTTATACTTTCCTAATGTCCATATTTTAAAACTATATAGTAAAATAATCCAAAGTACATTTTTATGAATTTCTTTCTTGAAATTATACTTGGATGTTTATTTGTGAGAAATATCTATAATTCTCAAAAGCTTATTTTGCTAATGAAATTCGTCTTCCTTTTTTTTTTGTAGCCTATTTCATTTGTTATCAGGCATCCTAAATAGCATAATTCGCTTAATTGTTAAATCTGTTCATTGTTAAGCCTTATATTTGAAATTATTATTAGGTAATTTATTACGTTATTAGCCATAACTTTTGTTTTTTTTGAATTTATCAAGAAACGAATCAATGAGTACTAAATAGGATTTTCCAATCTATATTATTAAACGATTTTTCCAGGTCTAAGAATACTATAAACGTTCTGTTCACGTTGACTTTTCTTTCCAGTTGTCTCAAATCTAAGATAGAAGCTCCTTTACCTGTCTTAAAATCAAACTAGTGATTGTCAAGTCTTTCTTTCACTTTGTACTTCAATCTGTTCTTTATAATGTTAAGAATTATCTATGACAAGTGAAATAAGATCGCGATGGTTCTGGACTTTGATCATTCAGTAGTATTTCATTTCTTGGTTAGAGTGATAATTCTGCTTTTAATGAAGTCCTTCGGCATTGAGTATTCCTTGTAACACTTCATGATAATATCAAAATGAGCTTTATTTGTTTTTTCATCCAAGTTTTTCAATATTTCTACTAGTATATAATCTGATCCAGTTGACTTATTATCATCTGTATCTCTAATGTTCATAATAAGTGATTTCTGAGCCTTTCATAGCTGCATCCAAATCGTATTCATTCTAGATGTATTATTCTTTGGTGGTTATTAATGTCTTCTCCTATACAAATATCTTTGATGTACCTATTTTTTAAATTTGTTAGCAACAGCATCATTATTGAAAACAATTTTGCCTGCTTTATTTTTAACAATATTGCTTCTAGTTTTTCGACCTTAGCATATACCTACTCCGTTTTTATTCCTTTTCATCATCATTTCAATATCTTCACTGAACAATTTAATCCATTTTTTTTAGCTTGTCTGCTTTTTTGTATTATTAATTTTTTAATTGCGTGTATTTTTCAAATTTCTTATTTCACCAGGTGTTTTTTTCGTTTACAAATTTTTTTCATAATTGACTAGGGATAGCAAAACAGAGTCAACTTTACTAGATATGGGGTTTGAAAAGAATATGAGATTGACCTTATGCCTACAATTGAAAGTAAAAATATCTTACTGAACAGAGAATTATCACAGGAAACATAAAGGATATTTGGTTTATTTTACGCGATAACTAATAATATATATTATTTTTATTTTTGAAGAAAATGAAATTTGTTGCTGTAATAGTTTATCATGGGTAACTGATGGCCCTATTGTTGACTTCACAAATAACTGGATACAAACTTATCCAATTACTATAACTACCAAAATAGTTTATTGTCTAAAATATCTTGTTATCGCTGTAAAGTACCAAAAAGTAAGTATATGATTTTTTTAAGATTAATATTCTATACTATGAGATTATACAATTAATGTATTGTGATTAGTTTTCGAAACATGCATATGAGATTCTTAACTTGGTTATGGAAATAATCAACTCATCGGTCAAGCAAAATAGTCATTTGACTCTTAAAACATTACAATATTTAGCAACTCTTTTAACCCAAAAACAATTTGCAACTGAATTTCTTGTGAAAGTGGGAATTCAGGTATTAAATTATGCATTCTATGTATGCTATGCAATTTCTACAATTATATATACATTTATTTTAATTTTAAGAAATTACTTGAGATTCCAAATTCAAGTAAATTATCCACTGATGTTGCGATGTGTTTACGCAATTTATCATATTATAAAGTTGAAATGGAAAGAATTTGTTTACCTGTTTGTGTCTATGATGATTTAGTAAGGTATACAAAAATAAGTTTGAGTTTTTATTTTTGATAAAAAAAAAATATACTATTGGAAATTAAAATACATTTTCGATCATCAGGTATGCACTTTCAACATTAAAGTATTCGTGTGAATCATGTTTATGCCATATAATGTTGTTCTTCAGTAACAGTTTTCACTTTAAAATTATTTTAGAAATGTTTGATAATCATGACGGATTAAGGATACTCATTAATATGGTAATTACAAATTTCCATTAAATTATATAATAAATTAAGTAATATTTTAGGCATTACAATACATTCAATTTTCACAGTTAATTAAACATAAACATCAAGTACAATTAAATACTGTTGTTCAATTTTGTGATGTTTTGAAACATTATTTTGAGGCACATTTACACATTAAAACTCAGCAAATACGTTTTGAAAAAATGAATCCTGGTCTTATATTTTCATTATCTAAGGTTAATAATATTTATCTCATATCAGTATAGTACCTGATTTATTATAGAAAGGTTACTGAGCATACTATATTAAATACTTACATTTTATGTTCTATATATTTTTTAGTATACTAACAAATCTGAGGATGAAGTTTATGAAGAAATTGAGTTGGTAATGAATGTTATGCCTATGAAGAATCATTGGACCCCTGTGGGAAATCTAATTAAATTTGGTGGTTTAAATTTACTAGTGCAAATAATTAGAGATAGATATTATGAGTAAGTTAGAATGCATCAGTCAATTTAATTTAATCCACTTATTTTTCATCAATCATATTTTCTGTACTAATATTTCATATTTTTCTAGTGTGTTTCATGTTTATTTACATTTTATGTTACAGTAATGAAATAATGAAAAATGCACTACAAGTTTTAAACATATGCTCTGCAACATCAAAAGGGCAGTTAGCATTGTTTGCGCTTGTCCCTGAATTTGAAGGAGTTAACCTACCTTTTGTCTCAATGAATGAATGTGAAATAAAAATTAATGTCAATTCAAATATTTTAAGAAGTCTCACTGAACAAAATGATTTTTCAAATCAAATAGTCCTAAAAACTTTACTTTATATCATTATAACCTGTGTTTCTCCTCCAAAAACTAGGGTATGTATTTTAGTTTTCATAAAGTTAAATATTATTAGTGTTGGCAGTATAGATTAATATTTAGCCAGGCAATGTTTATTGAAGAACCACTTTGTATATTGGATTATGAGTCTTAATGTTCAATTTGTATGTACTTGTATACCATTATAAAATATAGAATATACTAAGTGGGTACTTACCAAATATCATATGGACATTCCAAAGTAAAAATCTAACTTCTTGTAAAAATACTTCTAATTTTTCAGTCCTAATGTCTAATCATATTTTAATGAATTATACTATTATTATTATTATTGGTATTGGTTGTATAGTTGCATCTGGGACTCCTACGGTATTTAAAAGGCTACACAGTTAAATTTGTCATCTCTGTCTTTTTAATAGATAATATAGCATACATTTGTTGGCGTGAAACAAACTAAATAACCCTTAAAACCGATTTTATAGATAAAACATGTATCATAAAATATGTAGATGATCACAAAGACAATATCATCGGAGTTTCTTTAATTATTAATTAATAATTATCTATTTAAAAAGTTGGAGTTCTCTAAAAGTAATGTGAAATACAATTATTTTCATAATTTCAATAATCAGTTGAATATTTAGAAAATTCTTTAAAGACTATGAAGTTTTCATTAAAAACAATAAATATTAATAACAATTTTTTATTACAAGTGTTTTATATGAAAAACCAATGTTAAAGACTTTTATGTTTATTTATTTGAATACATTTTTGTTGTAATGCCTGTTAGAAAGACAGAGATAGCAAAAGCTCCTCTAAGTGTGTTGGTTTTCTGTTTTCTTCCATTTCAAACTATTCCATTAAACTATATTATAGTAGTAGTAACTTATGTAAGGACTACTATTAAGAAATACATTTACTAATAAAACAAAATTGAATAGGAAGAGGAAAGTATAGTGTATTGTTCTGAAAATGAATCAGCTGAAAATCAAGATCATAAAACAAATGGTGATATGGTTATTGAACAAAATTGGGATTGCATAAGAAATAATAATTTAATTTTGGTAAGTCTTCTTTAAATATATCTCAATAGTACTTATTATCTTCATTTTATTTTTCATTATTATACATAATGTATAATATATATAATGTATTTTGTAATCAATTGGTTTTTTTTTTTTAGTTTTTATTAAACCTTATAGTGGCTTATAAGGTTAATGTTGATGATATTGATGAAATTAGAGGACTAGCGACACGTGCATTAGCTGGATTAGCACATTGTGCACCTGTTTGTCAATTTTTAAGAAATTTAACTTTATTTAACAGTGGCCAATTTCAAAGTTAGTATGCAATTATTGTTATGGTGGTCAATAGGACCAAAAGATTTTTTCTATTAGGCATATACTTAATTAATCATAATTTATCATTATCAATATATGACTGAATGTAAGTAGTTAAGAAAAAGTGTTAATTTTTGAGTCACATTCAAATTGTATCACACACCTTATTGGTTTTCCATTACTTACACAAACTTATATCACAGATTTTGATTGCAATACATGCATATATTTATCATTTATCAACCAATTAATATGTAGTTGTATTTCCTGATTGATTAATTTAAAAATTTTCTATAATTATAACTAGGACTTGAAGTTTATACTATTCTACAAACTTTAAAAATATGTATTATTAAAATTAAATTGAAATATTAAGATAGTAAAAATAATAATTTTATAATATATAAAATTATTGATTATGTAGATAATCAATTATGTTTAAAAGCAACATTGGTAGAGCGGTTTAAAAGACCCTCCCTGTAACCTCTGTAACAGCTCTAAATTATTAAATACAATTTTCTAACACTACAATAATGATGACTACACAATGTAATTTTTTTTATAAACTATGAATTATTTTCTAAAAAAGGTTCAGTTAAATGTTTTATAAGTTTTAATTAATAAATTTATTAGCTTACGTGTTTTATTCATATTCTCATTCTAAAGTAAATACTTAATGAAATTAAAATATTTTTATCTTTAAACACATTCTTGGAAGAATAAGTTCTTTTTATAGGTCACCGTTTTTGAATTAAAAATGTTTTGTACCTAATGCATGATTAACTATTAGCTTTTTTTAGTTCTTAGATATTTGCATCATGAGTTTACATTAAATGTATTACAGTAAGTTTAAAAATAATCAATGATACTATGTTGGTGTATGTAACCATTCATCATTTACAATTTACGATTTATTTGAGATTTGAGGCTGACCACTTAGATTGTATTGTGTTACAGGTCTTATGATAAATCCAATAAATCAAAAAAATCGTCTGGAGCACTTAAAATTTCTGAAGTATGCCTTAGAATTGATGGAGTTGCTTTCAGGAATAACTACAAATAATGAAGAAGAAATAAAAACATCATTAGCAAATATAAACCAAGTATTTTTATTTAATTCTTATAAAGAGTAAAGTACTATAGGATTAAACTCAACTAGAAAAAAAAAAAAATCAAAAAGTTTTTATGTTAAATTCTTTAATTGGTGGACAAATTATATCGTTTTATAAAATATCAAATCTAAAAACATGTAAAAATGTTCCTTTTTTGAAGGATAATTAATACAATCAAATTAACATCCGATTGAAATATTAAAGTACATAGTAAAAATAATAATTGTATAATATATAAAATCATTGATTATATAATTAAAGAATTGTGATTGAAGTAACATTTATATTATGATTACAAACAAATTGGATATTAATTGTTATGTATTACTTATGAGTTATTAACAAGGCTTTAGACTTAGGGATTTAAAATTCCCCACTCTAACGACCCTAACTTATTAAATTCAATTTTCTAACACTACAAATGAATAAACACAAAGTATTTTTTTAAAGGTAAATAGAGGTTAATAAAATATTTCATAGTTTATAAAAAAAAATTTTTTGTGTTGAACCATTTTTGTGTTTTTAGAAAATTTGATTTAATAGTTTAGAGCCATTAGGGGGGAGGGATTATTTTAAACAGTTTTGATCAATCCACTTTGTTTATACAATTTAGTTTTATTATCTATACATTATACAAATTAAATAATATAATTTATTCAAATTTTCAGATTACAAGTCTTGAGTTCAACACCATTGTGTAAGTAATGTTAAACGTATACATAATACACAAATTTATCTAAAAATCTATAAATTATTTAATGACATTTGTATGTAATCTAGAAAAATATCCTGATCTATTTCTTTTTGCTTTTTAAACTGACAGTAATAGAATTACATCTTCACTAAAATTACCATCTCTCAAAGAGGACCCTGTTTCTAAACCAAAGAACTTAATGTGTAAAAATTTTACGGCAAGATTTTCCCATAACATACATTCTAAAAGACTAAACCAAAGACTCATACATAGTCGCTTTTATAAAACGCATGAGATCCAAGGTATAAATGATGATCTTAACCATTTTTTTACTTGCAGTGACTTCTTAGTAAGTTTATTAAAACAAATTATATATTTTTCAATTATAATAACACAATATAATGTAAAGATAAAATTAATTATTATTTCTTTTAATTTTTAGACTCATGATCGTTTAGTTATGGGAACAAATTATGGTTGTATAAAAATATTTAGTTTATTTTCGAGTCTAGGCAAAGTGAACATTTGTCCGTTTTCCTTTGACCATGTATCTATTCTAAAGTTAAAATGCAGTAACAATGGAAAACTTTTATTGTCTTCAACAAGTATCAAATCAACTCTATATTCTATAAACGATAATGACTTACTCGAGAAAAAGTAAAACAAGTTACATAAATAATTAATATTTAATATTTTAATTTAAAATACTTAATTTCTTAAAGGTATGCATTGAATCTTAAAGTCTATTGCAATTTTAGCAATCATAACCAAAACAAAATAGTTGGAACCAGCAATAACAAAACAGTAGTAATTATATATTAACCTTATTTTTTTATTTTTTTAAATACCTAATGCACTTATAATCTTACATTGCTTTTTGATTAGATATATGATGTTGAAACGAGTATTAGAATAATGAAATTAGTACCAAAATATCCAAATAAATGCTTTGAAAATTATCCAGTATTTGATTCTACCAATAAAACATTATTATCTGATTGTATATTGTGGGATACCACATCTTATAGACAAATTCACAAGTTTGACAAATTAAATAATAGTAACTTTAATGGAATATTCCATCCAAATGGATATGAAGTAATATTTTAAGAACAAATTTACACATTATTCTTTACAGATGTATTGTCTAATAATTTTCAAGAGTATTAAAATTATTTCTTATTATTTTATAGATTGTGATACATACAGAAGTCTGGGATATACGCACATTCCGGTTATTACGCACAGTGCCAAGTCTTGATAAATGTAAAACTATATTCTCTGGAGAAGGAATATATGCATATGATCGCTGTCTACCCAATTTAAATAAAAATAATATTATTAAAACTTCATTTAAAACTTTGGATCCCTATGATTATTCAGACATTGGTAAATATTAAATGCCATTTTTTAATATTTTAAAATTAAAATAAGTATCTTTTTGATTACTTATTGCTATTAATCATCATCAAAATATTCTTGTTTTATATTCCTATTAATCATCATCAAAATATTCTTGTTTCATATTGCTATACTTATATTAAATTTAAAACTTTTAATTGATTTTCGACCTACTTTACGTGGTCTAATCAACTATTAAGTTTGCATGTGCTTATATTTTTAATGTTAATACAATTATATTTTCAGTTTTTGCCCCGGTTTTCAAAGTGGGAAGAAAACTGATTTTACCCTTTAAGAAAAAAAGTGTGAAAATATCAAAAAATACCCGATACACCTTTTATAAACAAATCATTACTTCTTAGTTACCCTTAGCTTTTTATAATGTCCATTTATAATAAATTCTAGTACCCCATCTTTCATCATCTTTAATGTCTGTGGCTGTTGTTAGTAATGTTATTTACTTAAACTGAAATGTATAGGCAATTCTTAAAGTACCTAGTCAATTAACAAAGTACTATTACTCAACTAATTACATTAAATATTAATATAATACATGTATACATTTTTTTTTTTTTTTTACAAATTGTTGAACCTATTCCTGTTTAATGGTAAAAACAACATTTAAAAAAACAATAACACTAGTTTTATAATTAAACCTATGTTTAGCCACTATTGATATTGAATCTCCAGTGTATCATATGGTTTGCAATAGTAATGATACACAAATTTCCATTGTTGGATATACAAATACACCACGATTTTCAGTTGTTCGAATATACGACGTGGGCAGATCTAGCACCATAATATAATGATGTGACTGTAAGTTTCATAAATTACTTATTTAAACTGTAGAACTAAATATTTAAAATTTCTGTTATTACTTTAGATAGAAGGAGAAGATTTTTGTTAAGAATCAAGACAGCAAAGATCTGATGAATGTTACTTCTGACAATCTTAGAGTTATGTTAATAATATTTCTCTAAGATAAACTTGTCTTCTTGTCTGTCTTATTTGTTTACTGATATTTTTAGTTTGCGCACGTAAAAACTTATTAACATATTAAAATTATATTAACATACTATAATTCATACATAACTATACATATAATAATAAATATATTATAATAACTAAGAATTTATATTTAAATGTGATTCTTATTTTTTTTTCCTCGAACACTTAAAAACAATGCTTTCTATTTTCTAAGCAATAAGTTTGCTTCATAAATCAAAAATCTTTAAAATAAAATTATTTACTTATTTTTAGATTTTAATTGTGCAATGTTAGTAAACTCTTTAGTTGTATATATAAACTCCCACATCAACACATATACACCTACATTATTTTTTTATAGTATTAAAATATTTTTAACTTAAGGTTAGTTTTTAGATTATGTTTTAGCATGTACGATTGTATGATATGATACTTGTTCGTAAGCACTAACTTAAAATGTATAAATCATATACAAATTAATGTGATTAATAAAGTGTTACGTTATAATTAAATAGATGGCTTAATTAATAGTATACTATAGATACCTATTGCTTTATATAAATACGAGTTGCTGCAGGTCAAAGATTGTCAGGTAAGATAAAGAAGTAAGTAAGATACAAGAGAAGGGAAAATACATTTAGGATACTGAGGGAAGTTAATTGAGATACGGGAACAAGTTAAAAACGTTTAAACATAAGTTTTTTACAGGGTTCCATGGCTCCGCTCCCAGGCCCCAGGTACTCCTGTAATAAGGAACTATGCATATTATACAATATTACACATTTGATGCTGAATACAGGGGAAATTAAAATATAGGCGTGGCAATACAGAGGGATTCTAGGAATGTCTAAACGCCAGTATTTCCGGATATGAAGATATGAAGGTATTCAGACAATGTCTAGATGTTAGTGTTCTCGGAAGTGTCTACAGATGGTGGTTGTAGTAAAAAGTGTAGAATAAAGGGGAAATTAAGATATGAAGGGATTCAGGCAATGTCTAAATATCAGTATTTTGTGTTCAATATATGCTGTAAAATGAGGCAAATAGAATAAAAATAGGAAAAGTTATTACATGGATGTCCCCACAATTGAGTTTTTCTGATAGCAATATAAAAGCTTCAATAAATAGAATACACATTAGTAAGAAATTCAATGAATTCAAAACATTTCGTTTATTTTTACCACCATGTACTTGAAATTATTATTTTTTATTAGCCAAAATAGTGGAGAATGTTTTAAAATTATCTAAATGTGTAATTATTCAAAATAAAAAAATTCATGAATACTTTTATTGACACCATACAATAGAAACAGGGGAAAAAAATATTTACAATAACCTGTTTAAAATACAGTGGAAATTAAGATATGAAGGGATTCGGGCAATGTCAAGATGTCAGTATTTTGTGTTCAAGAAGACAACTTATAACTGCACATTTTTATATTATATTATTATATTATGTAAGTACCTAGTATTGTGTATTAATTAATAACTTAATAGAAATCATCCAACAAAGGTATGCAGTTTTGAAATTTCCAAATTGTTATATATTAAATATTATATTATAGGTACCTGATTATTGGTTTTGAATTTAAGTAAATATAAGTATCTAATAGTATAACGGAAAGAATACAGAGGAAATTCAGATATAATTCATTGAAAAAAATAAACCTTATTAGCAATACACTAAATTCTTGCAGGGGAAAAAAATTCTTACAATATTATTTTTATTTACTATTATTATAGGTATTCAGTATGTTACCTCTTAATAGAAATCATACAACCGTAGGCATATATTTATTAAACTTCAAATGTTTATATTATTCTATTATTTGTAGTTACCTGCTGGAGAGGCAGCTAAGACAACAGTGGTTTGATAACGGAGCAACGAAATAAATAATAACCAATTGTTAAATAATGTATTGTACTGTATTCTGTACACAAGAGGACTTGTTTACTTATTTATACACATACATGAAAGTAGCAGTTATAATATATATATTATATTATATTGTATAGCAAAAATTGTTTAACCGTTGTTTAGGAGTCAAGTACTATCTTTTCTAGATATGCAAGATAAATGAGATAATTGTCACATATTTCAATACTGTCCATTAAATAAACTTAAATACACAGTTTCATACATTATCACTTTTTATTATAACATATCTATCGTATGAATATTTAACACATGAATAAATTGTTTAATTAAAGATATTATTGCGAGGCCGTTTAAACGGGTATTTTAAATAAATACGCGGCTATCACGCGGTACCGTTATCATCGTACGCGGTCGTCAGGTAACGAAAACCTTGTGTGGTTATAATAATAATACATATTATATTATGTATATTTAGTGGTGATAATATCAAAACATAAACATTTATTACTACACAAATATTTTTCTTACGGTTTAGCGGGTTGAAGGAAGTGTCTACAGTGCTTCTTGAGAGTTAAAACCGTAACACCTTGTATTACATATTATAATAACAATACATTTTATAGGAAACTGATTTCAGTACATTAATTCGATCGGAAAAGCGGTCTGAAACGGAGAATTATTATATAATGTATTATTTTTCACGTAACGAAAAAAAAAAATACTCGAAAAATAAATAGAAAAACGTCGAATAAAATAATTATAACAATAATATTAATATAATCTTGAAAAAAAACCGCAAAGAATCTGATCGGGCGACACCGTTAATCGATCCGGGGACTCTTACGAATCTAAACTGTCCAACCTACATACCTACAATCTGTCCCACGAGAAATCGGACCGCTTATCGACCAAAACCAGTTGCTGCCGCCCATCCCCACCCCGCAACCATGACCGTCGATTACCCGCCAGTCGACACTCAAATCAGTTTTAACTAGTGATGGGCGATAACGATTAATTTGTACTATCAAATAATATCCGATTATTTATATAAACTATAGAATAAATTATTCGAATAAAAAACTATGGAATTAATAATAATTATTCGAAAGGAAAACTATCGAATGAATAATTAAGTAATAAATAATTATTTGAATAATCGATAACGATTATTCGAAGGAACTATCGAATAATTCGATAGTTATTATTCGTTACCGCCCATCACTAGTTTTAACATTATATATACACAGAAGCGGTCTGATCTCTTGTGAGACATACTATAAATAGTAGTAATGGGATTTTCAACTCAATACCATGAATCAGTTCACTTGACTCAGTTCGTTTTAAATAGTCGACTCGGTGAGTCAACTTCTAAATTGCCAGTTCATTAAATTAAACAATTCTCCTTATCACGAATCATCAACTCAGTGAGTCAACTATCAAGTTCCCAGTTCATTTCATTATGGCCCGGTTTTTGAACCCCATTTATTCATCGATAACACGAGTTATTTGACAGATAAGAAAAAATTGATAATATTCGCTTTTCCATGTCGGAGTAAACTAATAAAGTTATTTGATGAATAAAGTGCAGAATAACTTATTATATAGTTATTATTCTATATTTTCTACCAAACAATAATTTATACGACGAATATGTATATTTCATATTTTAAGCGTTAACTTGTGGCATCTCTGGGCTAAAATATTAGTTAGGTTTCCAATTACCCTGTTATTCAAAACAATGTATATTTTGTTCAGTTTATACCTACTTGGTACTTACACAGCCTATAGTACTTGAATTGAAGTATTATGCAATTTTTTTACAGCAATTATTTTTATTTTTAGATTGTTTTCCAAAATATTTCTATTTGACAATACATACTTCAATAAACAAAATAATTGTCGCTCTAATCCTTTTCGATGCCATTGTTCATTACAATGTATGATATATTAATACAATATGTTTATATTTGAACTTTTGGTTGTAAAATATAAACACAATACATTTTGTCGTATACTTTTATAATTTAATTAAGTAGGTATATCATAATAATATATACTAAATACTTATAGGTATCTTAATACCTAATGTATAATGTATTAAATTAATCTTCTATTTCTCATGCTTCCGGTAATATTGTTTTGTCAAACATGAAAAAAGAAACTTAATCCAAACAAACACTAACGCAAAATGTATTAAACTACTAAATGACTTGCAACAATTGCAACGTACTTGTACTACATAAAACTATTATACATTTATATCATTCAATATCAGTATATTATCTATTATCAAATATCTATGCATTTTACGTTTTAATATCATTGCCATCACAAGTTGCTGACATACCTATTAAATTCATCATAACATAACGTAATAATATCACTTGTCATAATAATACACAATAATAGAATTTCAAATTATGTATATTGTGGCATAGCAGGCTGTATAGGCGAATTGGACTGATAACACATAACCGTGATTCCTGAATTGTATTGAACCAGCCGATTCGTGAATCATTTTGAACTAGTGGTAGCACTGAGTCACGAGTCACTGAACTATACCACACTGAATCAATTCATTCAGTTCACCTAAAAGAGTCAACTCACTCATGAACTACCCACCTCTAATAGATAGCTACAACGATTGTTGAAGAAACCGATCGTTTTATGGGTATATAAATCGCGTTTCGAATGGATAAATATAATAACGTAATATAATTACGCGTAAACGACTGAAAAAAAACAGTATCGCGCGACGGCGACATATGGCAAGCTGTAGTAAAACAATATAACGTTATGCTAATGACGTCACGGCAGAAAGACCGATCGCGGCATTGGAAAACGGCCGGCTGGACTAACCTGTATAGAGTAAACCAAGTCGGAAAATCAGAAATCGAAAACAATATGTTCAAGTATCGCATAAAAACTCAAATAGATTTGAAAGGTTTTTCAAAAGTTTTAAAAAACGGGCGGAAAACGTTATTAAAACGAAATAAAAAACCAAGGACTCTTCAAGTCGAAATAGCGGACATTCGCCAAAGAAATTTATATAGCGCCGCCGCACAGTGGGCTAGAATAAGATTAAAACGGGACAAAAGTTATTAATCTGATGTTCGAAAAATTGATAATCTGTTATTACACTTTGATAGTAATGGGAGTAAACCTAAGTAGTCCATTATATGCTATCGTAAAATTAACGATTTATGTTCCGGATAACAAATTATAAATTTACGTATTATTAACTCTTTGTTTTCTGATTTCATTTGTACTCGTACATTAATCGTTTATTTCTCAATATACATTTAAACATTAAACTTCGAAATGGCAACATTGAATACACCGATTAGTGAGTAATAGCAACAATATTTTATTTTTTCCTAAACATTTTTTTGAAATATTCTATTTTATTATTAATGCTAGTTAACGTTATTGTAGTTTTTTCTCATGTTATTGATCTATTCAAAATGACTGGTGCACACCGGGGTTTCAAATTAAACTTAAATATGTGGGTTGTATGTTCAGAAAAAATTTAATTTCTTGAATTTCAGAAATCAATACAGTTTAGAGTTTTCAAAAATGAAAATATGAAAAATATGAAAAAAAACAGACATCCTTTACACGATAGGTGGGCCATTGTTGTAGGTGAGAAGTTGGAAAGGTAGGCTATATAGAAAGGAATTTAATTTATATTTGTACGCAATGATTAATCATTACTAACGAAAACGATTCTGAGCAGACTTTGGTTACACATGTTTTGCAAGGTCGTAATATTTACGATTTTCGTCAAAACTTGATATTAAAACTCTTATAAAAAAAATTCTACATTACAGTAATTATTTAATTTTTTAACTACAAATTAAGACTTGTAATGAATCTCTTGTTAAATTTTCAAGTATTTCTGTTTGGTCTAATAATTTTATCCACAGAGTACCTACCAGATAAAAATTAAGTCAAAAACTGACATGCTTAAAATACCACCCAGATAAAACTTCCATTCAGAAAAGGTACTACACATTAAATTCGGACCAATATTTCTGATAAAAAAGTTGTTTACAGATAAAACTTTTTTTTTAAAATTAACATCCATTGTATATAAAACCAATACATTTCTTGCTTCACTCAAAAGCTAAAATTAAACGAATAACACACGTTGAAATTCTGTTACATGGTTTTTATTACATTCAATACATTTTATTACAGTCTATCTACGGTTCTATATTATATTAAATACTTACATCGATATTCGATACGTGCATGCACTTAGCGATAACTTTTACTCTTCTAGATGTTTTGAGTGTTTAATATATTATCTAATATGCAAATGTGTTCCTATCTTTCCATTTATAAGTTAAATGTTGTCCTTCTTCGCGTAACCATCTAGTAAAAACTATAACAAATAATTGCATATTAGTGTTATTATAAGTGTTGGATATTTTAAACCAAACCTGTTTGTACATTATTATTATTATTTTTTGTTTAATTTCACTTGAAGTATTAATTTATAATAAATTTATTAATTTGTATTTATTGATTATTCAAACAATTAATATTTAAAGAAAAAAATACCACTTTTTTATGATCAAACTTACTAAATTTATTTCCTTTTAATATGGAACATGATCCATGAAGACTGTCGTATAGTAAGCTCCCATCGGTTAAGTTTAAACTATAAAAAACAAGCGCTGCTCCTTTTTCAGGTGGACAAATAATATCTAATGTCGGAAATGTTGTAAAACCACCATTTTCAACGTCAGTCAACTGAAAAAAATTATTCATAATCATGAATGCTCGAGTGAAATGTTAAATTTACCTATATATACACACATTGGGTACTTACCCCAATTATTTAGTTAAACTTTGCGTAAACATATTCAAATTCTGATTTTTGGAATTTTTAAATGTAATTAAAGCAGATATTTTCGAATGCTTAGATTATTTTTCACAACATTTAAGGAATAACCCGTGGTGATACCTACTTAGGTTTTTCAAAAAAGAACCCATATTAAAAATTCCATAAATAGACAGAGTATTACTTTAAATAAATTTTGGTGTCAAAATGTTTGATTTCAGTCAACCCGTTAACGAGATATTCCACTTTTAAGTTTAGGTAGGGGAGAGTAGTGGAGTATCATTTGTGTGGCGGCACGGCGTGCGGCGTTTTATTAGTGCCCCACTACTCTCCCCCTACCTAAAATTAAAAGTGGAATATCTCGTTAACGGGTCGACTGAAATCAAACATTTTGACACCAAAATTTATTTAAAGTAATATTCTTAATTGGTCTTAACCATTTTGCACAATTTAACCAAAATAACAGGATGAACACGCCTAGTGAATCATTCTGTATATACTTACATAAAATAATACTGTTGCTATTCGTTGTCCATATGTTCTTGAATACTAGAAAATAAACAAATCTTTTCAAATACAAATAACCGGACGTATACTTCGCACCATAGCGTAGGCCAAATTACCCCGTCCCCGTTATCTTAGGATGTCTATTTTTTTCTTTGTATTTTTCTTAACAATTAAGTAAAGCGTGAAATTTATTTTAGATGAGTTACAAGATAAAACAAATGAACGAATACGAATAATACTACTTCACTCAGTGTTTTTCATTTTCAAAGATTTCTCGTTGCATATAATATACAAACTCAATTACCTTGTATATCCTACCCTTCTAGCTATCTAACTATAACAGCGATCTACCAGTGAACAGAATCATTTTTATTTTTATATTTATTCATTCATATTTATATTTATTTTGATCTGCTTAAAAAAATATATTTATAATATATTTTATACGTGTATGTCACTCACAGTTCTATTTGGTAATGGGTCATGATGTGGTATATAGTGACCACCTAAACCATAATTAACTACTTGATAGCTTTCGGCTGACTCTGTATATCGACCGGTAAAAGATTGAATTCTAACGTCTAATGAATCCAAATTTTGTTCTTTTTCCATATATTTGTATATCCAACTGACTTGACCCGAACGTATGGTTTCTAAACTGGTTCCTTTGCCAAGTGAAACCACTGTTCCGTCTTGAAACTAAAAAAATCCAAAGTTTTATTGATATAGTATTATATAGGATATAGGCAGGTACACAAATAGTCAAAAACCTCAAAAAAATATTTGCATTATTAATGTTTAGTGTTAATTATATCTCGTAAGCAATTTTCTATTAATAGTTATACGTGTTATACTTTTAAACTCCAATGCTCCGAAATTATATTTTGTTCAAGAATACAAAAATATAAAAATTATATACCATTACAATTGTTAACAAAATGTTAAATCTACCAAAAAAATACTAAATCAATTCGTATACACAAAAATGGTTTGTAATAGGTACATAAATATAACTTAATAAAATTTAAACTGATCGTCATCACTTACGTTTTGACGAGCGATTATTTTAATTTTTTCAATTTCATCGTCGTATATAACGTCATGGTACATTTTTATGCTTGGATTACTATTAATATCTTCCTCCTTAAAAGGCATCAATATACGATAGCTGACATTGTTTGTTTGATATCGACACTTTGAATCGTTTGTTAATATTCGTGTTTGATGTTGATAACCGACTCTACACAAATATTTATGCTTATCCTCGTGATCTTTGAATTCCAAAATCTACAATTCGTATACAAATTAATTATTTGCTGTACAATGTAATATTGAATATCAAACTTTGTTTTCATTATAATATAATGAAATAAATATAATTAATTACTTATTAATTTTGTTCTTACATTGTACGAATTGAATATATCGAAGGTTGTATTACATTTGCTTTTATTAAATACTTGCATTTCATTATTCATAAGAAAGGCATTTTGTATAAACTTTGTAGCATCAGTTTCTGAATTATATAACTCGCTTGAATTTATTACAGTTGTCAAGTTAAATCCTATATAAAATAACTTTAAAATATATTCTCGATGTTATATTGCTATTGTTACACTTATAATACAATTATTGACATTTTAGTGTAGTAATTGTAAGGAGTTTCGAGGGAAAAAAATATTGTTATAATTTACCTGTGTGCATCGAAGATATAATCATTTGATGATGTAACTTTTTGATATTCACACATTTTGGTCGACCGTCGATCGTCCATTTATCGTGGGTTTGAACAGCCCAATCCATGCTACCATAATAGTCGTATCGCTCATAACAATTATTCGATATTACATAACATTCGCAGGCTGAAATAAAAACAAAACCGATTCGCATACTGTTCGTGTGATATCACAGAATCCGAAGTATTATACTAACAGTTCATTGGATCTCCGATGATTTGATCATCACGTCTACCCGCCGCCATATCAGACGCGGGAATCGCGTAGAACTTTTGGACTCTTCTTATTCCTTGATAAACTAAATTTATGTAATTGTCGGTGATAGTGCCGTTATTTTTGTCAACTTTTTCTAAAGCTGTTGAATATATTTGGAGTTTAATATATACATTGTACAATGATATTGTAAACGCCATTTAATATAACGTGAATAATTTAGACAAATCTCCGAAGTTCAAAATTGTCAAAATTTGTTTAATATGTTTTAATAAGTATACGTACATCAAATAACATAGGAACAAACTTTGAAAAAAGCTACAATATTTTCATATGTGATCGTCAGAATAAGATTCGAGTAGGTGCCTGCATTGATACATACTAATTGATGCATAATATAAGAACTAATGAAGTATCTACTTATAACTATGATTATTCGGATTTCAAAAAAATAATAATAATAAATTTGATATTATAAAGCAATTTAATTTACGTAATGTACCATAACGTAGAAGAGGAAAAACATTTCTGAGCGAAATTCGGTTAAACATGTTTAAATAATTTGATATACCTTTTATAGATTGTTCGTTATCCATCAAATCTTCGATTTTCTGTAATTTGTGCCAAGTTCGCTTCATCAATTGAAAACCGTTTAAGTGATTATGTAAATAGTTGAACCAGTTAATTTTACGATCATGCCATTCGTACATTGAACCTAAATGCCTTATCAACATTTTATACATTAGATGGATGTAGTGAAATAATTACGGGGAGTATAGAAGGGGTTAAGGAGCTTGCCTCCTCCAAATTTATCAATTAAGTTGTATGATTTGAGTGAACTTAGCAGTCTAAATTGTGTTAATGAACCCCACCCCCACAAAGTAAAAACAGGTTGTAAATACGCCACTCCTAAGTCATTAAGAGTACTTGTACTTTCAATAAATTTATATTATTAATAAAACAGAAAAAATAATAAATCACAATAACTACTCGTAGTTCACTGGGAATCTTGTATAGACTTGTATAGGATAATGGATCCAGTTGAAAATGCGATGGAAAAATAATGTAAAACTTCCTACCAAAAATATTATTTTTATTTGTACTTATAAATACAAATTGCTTGAATTGGACGGAGCCCACTTTAATTTCTTCATAGATATTTGCGACCCCTTCATTTAATTAAGCGAGGAACACTAGAAACAGGGCTTGAAATAAATTTCAAAATCGATTTAGAATATCGATAAAAATCGTTAAAAATCTTTTAACAAATCGAAATTTATATTAAAATCAATAAAAACTTATATTGTATTAACTTGTATTAACTTATATTAACTTGTATTTATTATTATTCAAAATTTGTTTTATTGTGATACGAGTAATTTATTTAATAAGAAGTTTGAAATTGCTTGATATTATGCATCAAACTTTGTTGTTCCAATCAACAGTGTTGCTTTTAAATATTTGTTACTTAAGTTGGTTCTATAGACTACAGTTATTAAGAGTAATAATTTACGAAAACACATTTATATTATTATTTTTCTTTTAGTAAAAGATACTATTGATAATTGATAAATAAATATTGTCAAAACATCAGTAAACTTGGTCGGCTGGTTTAAAAAGCTTGACGGGCCGTTGATTAGACACCCCTGAGCCTTAACATACAGTAAATTTATATTATTTCATTTTCATTATTTTATTATTTGACGTAATTGCGGGCTGAATTTCGCGTGGATTTACGGGCAATATACGTCACAATGTCAAATCAGCACTGACTACAAGGCACTTAGCGTGTTAAGGCTTAAAAGTTTAAAATAATTAATTTTTTGGTTTAAAATTTCCATCTTAATCATGAAACGAATACATGTTTATTTTAGTTCCGATAATAATAAAAAAAAAACTCGTCTAAATATTATAATGTTGTGTTAATTATTTAATGTACTGTATGTGTAGGGGGAGCGAGAGACATCGTTCCCCGCGGGTTACTGTGAAATGTATCTGCTATGAAACAGTGTTTTATGAACCAAAACCAGCTTAAAAATGTCTTCAATTTTTGTTCCAATTCGATCATAATTGTTTATACCTACGAAGCGCATATTTGTATACTTTTGTTTATTGTTTAAATACTTAATAATTGCATGGTTTACAATTATAAATAGTACAAATAAAACAATACCTAATTATAATGCACACATATATTTTGTGTGTAATTAGCAATATTGAAATGCATAATTGTACAAGTTATATACAAGTTTATACAAGTATATACTGTTTTACAATTTTTGTTTTATTAAAATTATGGAATTTTACTTTTTTAATTCTTCTAAACGTCTCGTTTCCATTTCCAAGTAACCATTAAAGCTGTTAAAGTGTTCCTTTTGAAAATCGTACAATTTCGTTAAACTGAATTGTGACGTATGCCAATATCTTTCACCTTCCACAAAATACAGCAATAACGAAAGAAGAAACGTTAAATACCTTAACATCATAATTATTTCTGTTATGTACACGTTAATATACACGGCGTTGAACATACACGTACACGTATACAATTATAACGAAACTAATTTTAAAAAATAACACCTTATTTAAAAACGTAATTGATTTATTAACCGGTAGATAGGTATGTAAGTGCCTACCTATGTTGGATTATTTATGATACCCATAAACTATGATGTTTAGTTTGAACACACTAAAAGGACAATATTATTGACTGAATATTTTATGATATATTTGAAATGATTTTATACTGTAGAATTTGTTTTTCTAGTGATAAATGAAAAATTTCTATAAAATCCCAATAATAATACGAACCCGAGCTTGGTATGTTTCCAACAGTTAATTTTATCAATATGATGTGTTTGTTCACACGTCCAAATAGGTACATCATAATTGATATTGTAATACACATATAATATAATAATAATAATAATAATAATCGTTTATTGCTGTCAACTACATGTCGTTATAAACAGTAATATATATTTATATACAGTAATATGGTTGCCAGCTCCACTTTCAAAAGCATAATGCTTGAGCTGAAAGGGAGAGTTCAATATATATTGAATGAATTGGTGTATATACAACCAGGGACTGGAGCTTACTGAGTTTTTCGGTTTTAATTATTTAATTTATTTTTAAAGGGTTCCGGTTCCGGTTTTTTAAAAAGATTTAGGGATTCTGAAAAATATCAGTTATCAAAAAACATCGATTCTGGCCACTGTTGTAGGTGGATAGATGGGTAAATTAGACTACTAGTTAGGTTCGAATTACGTCCATAAATAATATTTTGTCCGAGTTGCATTCGCGATTTTTTTACGACACATACGAGTTGCGGCCGCATTAATAACTGATATATATATATAGCTATCCCACGAAGACATACCCCTTGAATATCTCCGGAGATAATAAAGATAGAAAAGATTAGGGAAGAAGACTACAAATAACTATTTTTGAATTAATTTTTTTTTTATTAAAAAAATTTAAAAAATAACTTTTTTTTTATTATTTTTGGAAAATTTTAAGTTATCCATAAAAAAGATAATTTGGTTATCTTTATTATTTTCAGAGATATTCAAGGAGTATGTCTTCGTAGGTCAGCCACGAAATATATATACAGGCTATCGCCTGTATATTTATTTTTCTTACCACTTTTATAGACAGAACTGTTATTTATATCAATGATGTGGTTAAAAAAATTTATAGAGTAATTCACTAAACGTGCTCACCCCAATCTTTTGATTAAAATTTGAATGTATTATAATTCTGATTTTTGGAATTTTTAAGTGTAGTTAAAGCCGATATTTTTAAATACTTAGATTTTTTACAATAATTAAGAAGTATCCTGTGGTGATACCAATAACTTTGGTTTTTTAAATGAGAACATAAATTTAAATATTAAAAGTTTCATAAATAGACAGAGTATTGCATTATACTTGTATACATTTTGGTGTCAACATTTTTGATTTCCGTCAACTCGTTAACAAAATATTCTACTTTTAAGTTTAAGTAGAGAGAGAAACGTGATATATTTTTATTTCAAACTAAGTCATAGTATTTTTAATAGGATCTTCGTTTTCTATACCTCTCTTCGTTTATTTGTTAAATTTGAGCTTTGAATTTTAACATAAATATCAGTTTGAACATTTTTGACATGAACAACATGAACAACCTGACCTAACCGAAATTAACATTTTTATAATTATTAAGGTTACGGTTTTTAATTTTTTTTTAAATAATTAAGGTTCCGGATGCGATAACGATTTTTAAATTTATAAGGCTAACCGATTCCAAATTCTGGATTCTGATTTTGGTCTCTGGGTACAACTGTATTATAATGCATATTCATGGAAATAATAATAATGTAATATCTGTATACAAGTTAATTTAATTAGGTATAGATACTTATATCATAGACTTAAATTAATATTATATAATATATTCAAAACCAATGCTTATATCATATTATATCTCGTATAAGAATCAATAGTAATTATTTTTAAGGAGATTATCTTTCCAACTATAAGGTAAGTTTTGATCAGCTTCATACAGCCATCTGGTCACAACTAGAAAAAAAACGAGTGCAAGTATATATTTATAAACATTATAATTAATAAAGGCCATTATGGTTAATAGTAATAATTTATAGATTTATATAACATTAAATAAAATAATTTTCTTGACAAATAGTGAAATAAAAATAATTCTACTAACTCCATTTATTTCCAGTTAACAGGGGACACGATCCGTGCAGAGTATGCTCGTGAATATGTCCATCAGTCGAATGATGCAGATTATGCCATACTAACGCAGCACCTTTTTCAGCCGGAGAAACGATATTTAACATTGGAAATACCGTATAACCATCGTTATGGACACCAGTCATCTAATCAAGTATATTAAAATAATGTATGTTTATTTTCAAGTAGAAAAGTGTAAAAAATACCTACATAAAATAATACAGTTGTTATTCTGTTACCATACGGGATAGAAACATCACCCTGAAAAATAAACGGTTTAACTCATTTTGTTTTTGGAAATCGGTGATAATAATTTATTGTTACTTAAATTTATAATTATACATTTTTATTTTTTATCGAATTCAGTTAAGTGAAATTAAAATAAATAAATAATAGATGATTAATTCGCTTTGTCTAAATCTAAATACACGAACATAATATTTATAATGGAGAAACGAATGAGAAAATTTAAAAAAATAACGCTTTTTAATTATGAATTATAGTATAGTGTGAAAAAAAATCGACTACGAAGTCAATGTCGATCGAAGGAAGTTAATGTCCTAAGTTTAAATCTAGAGCCTATTTTCCGACATGTGGTCGATGAAAAGACACCACAGGAGCAAGGTTAAAATTAAATTAAATAATTTGATCAATGATGGGTCAAATTCAAATTAACATTGAGTTAGTCCATTGAGATTTAAGAAAAAAATCATGATGACTTGTATGATAATTAGGGCTCAGAAGATGTAGGATTGTCATGTTTTTCTTTAGGTCTCTATTTTATAACTAATAAAAAAAAAACGATCGTCGTCAGCCTTAGAGTTTGAATATGAATTTTCTCTTTGTATAATTTTAAAATATATTCAACAAAAATTTACATTTGGTTATTTTGTGCATATTTTACAAATTTTAATGAAACAAAATATTAAATATATTTGTTGTTGGTCACAGCATAATATCAACATTACATTTAATAATTTTCATTATAGAAAATTATTCATTTTGTAATGTTATGTGATTAATGTATTTTTTTTTAGACAGAAATTTGTTTCATTATACCCAAATTTGAAAGTTAAATATTTTTTTTTTTATTAACAATAAATAATTTTGCATAAATCTCGATTATTTCTAAAGCACATTTTCTATTTTTTTTGGTAGTTTTTTTAGTTGCATATTTTGCCGAATTTACCGTCTATAACTTCCGAGCCCCTAATGATAAAAAATACGCATTGTACGGGTATATTTGTATGTATCTAGACACAGTGTTAAAAAATAGACACGAGTATTACCTGTTTTTTTATAAACGCATCATGATGTGGCGTAAAATGACCTCCTAAACCATAATTAACTATTTGATACAATTCAGCATTTTTCGTACCCATCCCGGTAATGGTTTCGATACGAGTATTTAACTTATCGAAATGTTTTGATGCGTCGTCTTTTGATAACCGGCCAGTTTGGCCCGATCGATTTTCTTCAACCACTACAGAAGCACTTATTTTATGATGCACTACTGTAGAATCGATCATCTATAATACAATTATAATTAGTAGTGATAATTTTAAATGTGTTTAAAATGTACGTATTCATTAAATTTAAGAATATAATAATCTTTAGTATAATATAAATAAAATTATATTCTCAAGTAATGAAATGCGATGAAATATTATAGACAGTGTTGATTTCTTAAAAATCTATAGGGTATATGCTAATTTATGGACGAATATTGTGATTTTTAACTACAAAATTAATCAGGTTCGACATTCATACAGCTCGTTCGTTTCGTTAACGAAAATCATTTTTACAAAACTCTTACATAGTGCGTTCAAAAATTAACATACTAAAAAAAAAAAATTCGGGACCCAATTTTGCACATTTTAGATTCTAAGTGAAACGAGTATTGTAAAGTATTTTAATATATGCATTTTACAATGATGTTTATTTTTTTTCTGTGGACAATTTTTCTACCAGCAATTTTGCTCAAATTTATAATGATAGCCCTTTTTCTAAAATGAAATCAGATTGGGGAGATACTTTAGAGCGATTAGTTTTTGATTTTTCCAATAAATGGTGTATTGATTTTTGGTCTGAGATCCAAATAAAAAAATACAGTAAAACTTCCGTTAACGGTAACCACTGTGTAATGGTCATTTTTTTTTGGTCACGTCAAGTGTTGTACCTCTATAGGAAATCTCTAAAAGACGGTCACTTTTAAATAGCGGTCATTATTTCCGGTCTTTTCGGTCACCGTTATATAGAACCTTTACTGCATATATGAATTACGATTACCGTACTTCGTTCGAGATCAACGCTTTCATTTTTTCAATTTCATCATCATATAAAACATCGTGGTATATTTTTATATATGGATCATTATCTAAATCTTCTTCTTTAAACGGCATCAATAATCGATAAGCACAATTTTTCGTTTGGTATCGACATTTCGAGTCTTTCGTTAATGTTCTCATGGTTTCCCCGTGTTTACATAAACGTTTAAAGTCTATTCGGCGATTATCAGTATCTAAAGTCTAAAATCAACAAATTTAAATATTTATTTGAATATTATTATAACCAAAACAAGTTTTCATATCAGTGGCAGTTATAATTTAGGTTCAAGGGAAGAGGTTAAAATAAGTTAAAATAAAAGAATAAAAATCCCTCCTCCCTTTCATTCCAAACGTCCAAAAAGTCTGTAAAATGTCAAAAAATATTTGTTTTGTTTTTTTTTTCGATTTTCAATTGTAACATCTCTTTGAAAGCAAATTATACCTACTTTATGTATTATTGGGGAGGTAATTTTTTGATTTTTCTTATAATATTATTTTCTATTATAATTGGAAAATGCAGAAAAAAACAATGGTTTGATTATTTTCGAGTTTCAATTTTTGTTGTAACTAGGTTATAACTTTAGAGACTTGGCATTTTCACTGAATACATAATTTATTTCTTTATGTAACAAAATGTTCCAAACATTCTAGCAAATTGTACAGCAATTTATAGGCATTTGATATTTTCGAGTTTATATTCAGTTTTATAGGGATATATTTAATTTGGCCGACATTTTTCAAGAAATTCACCATAGGTTTTAGACGGTTGTTAAAAAAAAAAAATTATAAGCGTAAAGTAGTTTTTTTTATATAGGTGTAAGTTTAAATTTTGACCAAAATCATATAAATTACGATATTTAAAAATATATTTAACCTATTGAACTCACATTCTTTTTACGTTAACAATGGTTTTTTGTGGGAGAAGAATATAAATAAATAAATATTTATATTCACATGGGTATCCATAAATGATATTTCGGGTAGGGGGCAAAATAAAACAAATTCTAAAAATGCATACTAAATGAAGTTTTAAATTTCAATTTATTGATAATATTAGTTAATTTTATTATTTTTTATAGGGAGAGAGTGTGCCGCCTTGCCACCATGAGCGCCTACGTGCATCCTTTTTTCCCAACTTTCCATCAACAAATAGTGGCATATGTGTCAATAGTTTTATCAACTTTTCTACCAGCAATTTTGGTCCAACTTTAATTAATAGCAATTTTTCTAAAAGGAAATTTCACTAGGGAGGTACTTTAGAGAAGTCATTTTTTGATTTTCCCAAGATTTTTCCCAGCAAATGTGAAGAACTGGGATAAAAACTGGGAAAATCAGGAAAAACGTAGAGAAACTAGGAAAATTGGTACAACATTAAATAAATATTATTAAAGAAAATATATGAAGCCTATGTAATTATTTTACTATAAAATGGCATTTATATTTTTGTTAAAGTATATCAACAAAACTGCGCTCAGAATCGTTTTTTCGTAAGAAATGGTTTATCGTTGCTTATAGGTATACATTGAATTATCTATCTAACAGTGGCTGCACCCATCTTTTTTTATCCTAGGATATCTTTAAAATTGTATTTCGTTAGTACAAATCAAATCAAATTAAATAAAAATAATAATATCATTTTCCGATAAAATATAATCATAAACTTTAAAAATTATCAACCGATTATAATTGTTTACATAATTTAATAGACTCGGTATTATTAATTTTTTCCTATTTTGATTTACTAGTGAATCCTATCATTAGTTTATATACTTAAAAGATAATTAAGATAAAACAAATAATAAAGAATAATTTAAAACATATTTAATCAACATATCACATACAACTTGATATAAATAATATAATGTTTATAGTAATTACTAATTGAAATATTGAATAGGTACCATAAATAAACAATACAAAACATAATTCAAACAAAATTCACGGTTTTTATGAATGCATTGGTGAAAAGCCTGCAGGTAGCATAACGAAATTGTTCACATTATAACTTATCGCTAGCTGATTTTACTTCCACTAAATGGATTTCAAATCATCTCGGAGTATAAACGAACTAATTTTACTTATTTTAAGTTAAAAATAAAATTGCGAAAACCCACAACTCAATAGAGGTGATTTAATTATCATCTCCCTTATAACTGTTACTATTTCATACAGTTAATAATAGTTATTATTATATACATTTCGTATGCCAGAGTAGAACAACAAATTTAAATATATAAATTTTAACAGTTAAATATTAAATAGTTATCATAACTTGTATATACTTACATGATACACACCAAAAATATCAATCAACGATTTAACGTTATTGTTTATATAAAAAATGTCATCCCCCATGAGAAAAGAATGTTGTGCGATCTTCTCGATTATTCCTGAAGAATAATTTTGTGTTTCGCTCGATTCAAATTGAGTTGTATAATTAAATCCTGAAAAATGCATTTTCAATCTATAAGGTATATCACGATAATCTTACACTTGAAATAACTTTTTTATATTAAATATTTTAATAAGCTTTATTTCAAGCGTCTAATCATTGTGGAACACCCCTTATATCAAAATTATAACTAAAATTGATTTAAAACAAATTCTTATTAGATACTATAATATTACAATAATAGGCCAGTTAGTGAATATAAATTATAATTTTTAGTTCATCAGCTTTTAATTCGCCCAAGTTCTTGGAAAACAACATAGATTATAAGATTAGATATAAATAAACTCTAGGTGAAGAATATATTTGTTCCTACATAATTCAGTATACTATTTACCAGTGCTCATAGAAGACAAAATTATGTAGTATTTTAATACTTCAACGTTAAAACATTTTGACTGACCGCCTCCAATTGCCCATTTATTATAAGATTGAATACCCCAATCTATACTACCGAACATGTCGTTCATTACGAAGCAGTATTCTGTCATAAAATAACATTCGCGGGCTAAAAAACAATAACATATTAAATGAATAACTAATAAAAAAACGCACAAATATGAAAATAAAATTAAAGGAATATTATACTACTCTTATTACCATCTAATTGATTGCCAATAATTCGGTCATTAAATTTTCCAGCTGCCATTTCGAATGCAGGGATCTCGTAAAATCGTTGTAGTCTCCTCAGTCCTCCACAAGCCAAAAGCATATGGTCTCCACTAAGATCTTTGTGCTGGTCAATTTTTTTTAAGGCTTTTTAAATAAAAATGTATTAATATATGACAATATCAAATGCATAATCATGTTACCTTTCAAAGAATGTTTATTACACATTAAATGTTCAATTTTCTGGAAATCGTAGTGTATTCGGGTCATCACATTTAAGCTATTAACGTGGAAGTGTGTGTTGTTCTTAGTTATTTTTCCATCACGCCACTCGTAAATTTCGGAGAATTTCCTACTCGCCACAATATCCATTAAATATTATAATATTAAAGTTCGTATTTTAATTATTTCCAACACTCAATACTACATAATTGCTAGAAATATAATATAAGTACATGGTACGGTATAACATTATTACCGACACAGTTTTATACCTTTTATACCAATTTTATATGTTTTTGTACCTGTACTAGTACTTATATCAGTGGCACAAATATCAGGATTATCAGGTGTGTAATTCACAAGGACCTCCGGTTTTTATTCTTCCTATAGACCTATCTCTTTTTTTTTCGTTTTGGTAACAAAATTGCAGAAAATATTAATAAACATGATTTAGATTAAAGGTATAAAATCTTTATTAATTATTAATTATTAAGTTTCGTATAATATTATAATAATTTCAATAAAGTTATTTTTAAGATTTACGAGCTTTTTGAAACGAATGACTTATAGATATCGGAATAGCTAAAAGTGTAAGCAAACTGAATTTCAATTTCAAACTCCATTAATAATGTTCTTCTCAATAATAATAATTTAAGTCAAATTCAATTTTAAAAGAATATTTTTTATAGTGGCCCCACCAAAATAAAATATATTAAAAAATAAAATAATACCCTACAATTCGTTCGATATTATAAAACCAAACATAGTAATAATATGCAGTTATTATACTTTTTTAATTCTCCCAGTCGGTCTGTTTCTGAGTTCAAATAATCATTGAAAACGTTAAAGTGTTCCTTTTGTAAGTCATATAATCGCATTAATCTTAGTTGTGATGTATGCCATCTCTGTCTACCTTCTACAAATAATATCATGAATGATGAAAATAACAGGATTGAAAATCTGCACATGCTTCTTATTAAAAAAAATTATGTTTACTAAATTTATTTTGTGACTGAAACATAGCTAATTTACATATGATTTTAAAGTTTGTAGAATTAACATTTGAATAATTTATTGCATCTATAAATTATACGAATAGTCTAAAATAATAAACGTTATAATTGTTACAATATATAATGTTTGATAATTTTATATTTGTATCACCTACCTAGTTCATATTAACCTAATTTCAATGTTGGTACATATTTAGTTAGTTTAAATAAGTGAATCAGAATGTACAACTCTATTATACACTATTATACTCTATTATACCAGCGAACGCAAGAAATCTTTTTATAGGGGGGAGGGGAAATTAAACAAAGCACATATTTGTATAACTCTAAATTAGTTGTATTCAATTTTAGATTTTGAGCGTAGAGAGGAATTAATTGGTTTTCTTGTGTGTTTTATTTTTAAACATTTTTTTTCTCTTGTATTTGTACGTAACTGTTCTACCACAATTCTTCTTATAATCAAAAAAAAAAAAAAAAAACCAGATCTATTTGTTCTTTTTATATATAGTTGGTGCATTAGGTAGGTAAGTATTTGATTTTTCAATCGGTTTTCCATAATAATTTGGAAATAACTGAAAAAAAATAGACAACTATTTTGCTGTGTTCACGATTTTATTTTTATAAATTAGATAGATCCTATTAGAAATCTTATGCCAACTTTCAAGAGTAGTATCCTTTCTGATGTTACGTGCCCACACCCCACTATAGGTATACGCGCGTAAACTCGTTGTAAATGCTAGGTTAAATTGAATTATTCGAAAAGTGGGACCATTATGGGAGAACACAATCAAAACCGGGGGCTAAGAATTTAATTAGTACTATAAAATCGACAACGTTTTCGCGTGCTAATTGAACCAAAATAAGGAAGAACCGAGGTCATATTAAAATGCAATAAACTAAATTGCACCCTTATATTCGGTAAATTACTGAAATATAATAAATATACCAAGAACGCGGTTATGGCTAAAACAATGGTCGTAAAGCAAACATATAATTTTCTATAACAAAACGCATAAAACCGATGACCAATCCTTAAATAATTTATTCCCAGGAAGTATAAAAAGATGTAATAACGAAATAATGTAGATAGCTGCGACTGTGAACAACGGGTTGCGGGGGGTCCCTCCGAGCATATACATAACGCCGCCCGAAACATCGTCTAATCAGACGAGTCCACCACGATCAAATGCGAGCAACTTCGCGTCAATCTGTTTTATGATTATTTCTGGACTTGTAATATTATTTATGAATTAATTTAGATTTAGAATATTTTTGATGTTGAATTGTATTATTGGACATAGTATATTTTGTGAAAAATATTATTATTGGACTTGTAATTTTATTGGAAATATTAATCTATTATTATAACTCAAGTTGGAGTTTTGATTTATTTCAACGTTTTTCCTCTAAGTCTTCATCCTTAGATTGGGCCCGTTACACTGAAATTAAATGTTTTTCTCTTTGGAGTATCAGGAATTTGTTTAATGTTTTTGATTTTCAGTGTAGTTTTTAAATTATTGAAAAAACCAGAGAAAAATGGAAAAAGTTACGGAAATACTAGTTTCATTATTTTTAATTTTGATTTATTGTTGAAATTCGGTTAAAAATAATCGGAGATATCTAAAATTTTCATAGAATACTGATATTCTTGAAATAAGCCTTTTTAGACGTGCCAAGAAGGGGCTATCGATTATTATAAATTGTATAATTTGTTACTAATATCTATAATTGCATTATGTTAAAATTATCTGTTAATTATTTTATTTAGATTTCAGACATTATTATAAGTCTTGTGATGACATTTTTTTTTCCAAACCCTATCTCACCACTCATAAAAATAAGTATTAGCTTATAAATTTTCTGCAGCCGCTTCCATACAATTTAAAACAATTTTGGTATCACTGCCTTAAATCTAGCCCAATTCACGTTACTGCTATATGTAGTGGTGTCAATTAATTACACTTAAAATTGTCACTCAATCATGTCGTGATGCTAATTTGTATGGAAAGAGGGGGGTATTAAAGTGAAAATGATAGTAATTGGGGGGGTACTCAAAATAAGTATACTCTATGTCCTTTATGGTTAGTACCATCATCGAAACTGACGCCAAAAATGATATATTTAAAGGTTAAATTAAAATGTTTAAATATCAAAGATTCTATCGTGTTCTACGCACAGTAAGTAGGAAATAGAATTACGAGTAGGTAGGAATTAGACACGTTAAAGATTGGATCCCACAAATATTGAAAATATTAACACTTTTGTTCGCTGTTTTTTCAGCTAATTAAAACATTTTTAGACGTCTTTGAGATATTCACATAATAATTGCACTGTGAAGTTGCCGTTAATTTTTTTTTGCGTGAACGCATTTCATTAAACCGCAGTAGCAAAGAAGTTATTAAGCCCTTAATTCAAACTTCACATGTTACGGTATAACAACTACGTAATATCGATGTATTTAAATAATAGGTATATACTATATAGTTTCATATTAGTAGATACTATTTCTAGATATTATAGTACTTATATGTCATATTAGATTTAAATTTCTAAAAATCTATACAATTTTGTAAAAACAAATGAGGCTGTAAAGAAAACATTTTTTTTTTTAATATAAAGAACCACTAACTAGACAAAATTCGGTACCTGCAACCACCTCTGAAAGATTAAGTTAATGATCGCAGCAAGACTTCTAATAGAAAATAGCTGTGTACAGACAGTGAAAAACAACACATTATCATAGTCGAATCAATAAATTCTATTCTTCGTTCTAATACACTGCAGCGATTAAAACAACTGTTTTTAGTCAACTCGCTCAGTGCCCCGTTTAGCACAAATAACTCGTATCTGTTATAATAAAATTGATTTATTATAATAAATTTATTTGATAGAATAAAATAATATAACGTTGATATAATATAACTTTCCAAAATTTGTTTAGTGAATTTGTAACATACAAGTTGTCAAATTAATGAATAACTATACTGTAGGTATATTTAAGAAAATAATAATAATTTATCTGTATTTACATATGTATTAATTTAGGTATAGGTGTATACTGTATACATTATTGGTTTTATCATATTAATAATACGTATAATATATTTATATTTTAAAATAAATGCTTATCTTATATTTTATCGTGTATAAGATGCATAGAAAAGACAATTTATATCAAATATTATCTCTCCAATTATAAAGTAGCTTTTGATCGTCTTCATACAGCCATCTGGTCATAACTAAAAAAAAAATTATAAGTATTATATAATAGAATTATAAACATTATATTTAATAAAGGCAATTATGGTTAATATGAGTAGTAATAATTTAGTAAAATTATGTTTCATTAAATAATATAATTTTCTTGACAAAGAATGAAATAAAAATAATTCTACTAACTCCATTTATTTCCAGTTAACACGGGACACGATCCGTGCAGAGTATGATCGTGAATATGCCCATCAGTCAAATAATGCAAGTTATACCAGAGTAGTGCAGCACCTTTTTCAGCCGGAGAAACGATATTTAACGATGGAAATACTGTATAACCATAGTTTTGGACACTACTCATCTAATACAACGTCATAAAAATATATATTTATATTTACTTTCGGGTTCTCCTGTTTAAAAATGTAAAAAAAATACTTACATAAAATAATACAGTTGCTATTCTGTTACCCAGTGGTCTATAACCCTGATAAAAAAAATGTTTTAACTAGTCTTTTAGTTTTTATTCAATAAGTAATAATAAATAATTGCTACTCATTTAAATGAGTTAATATTATTGTCTCAGTAATTTTAACATAGTTTACATAATATATAATAAATAGGCATTACTTGGTTTTTCATAAATCCATCGTAATGTGGCATATAATGCCCTCCTAAACCATAGTTAACTACTTGATACAATTCAGCGTTTTTCGTACTCATTCCGGTAATGGTTTCGATACGAGTATTTAACTTATCGAAATGTTTCGACGCTTCGTCTTCTGATAACCGACCAGTTTTACCCGATCGATTTTTTTCAACCAATAGATTTTCACCTTTTGAACTTAGCACTTGTGAATCGTGCATCTAAAATTAAATTAAATTTTGGTTATTTTAAATTTGTTTAATGTGTACATAGGAACAAATAAAATTTGAACTTTTAATGAAGTATGAATAATATTCTCAAATAATAAAATGGAACGAAATAATATAATGTACAAATTATAAATCCGAAAACCTTATAAAAATAGATATAATATGAGGAAGGTACGTATCCATACTCTGTTCGACACAATCGTTTTTATTTTTTCAATTTCATCATCATATAAAATATCGTGGTATATTTTTATGCACGGATCATTATCTAAATCTTCTTCTTTAAACGGCATCAATAATCGATAAGTACAATTTTTCGTTTGGTATCGACATTTCGAGTCTTTAGTTAATGTTCTCATGGTTTCCCCGTGTTTACATAAACGTTTAAAGTCTATTCGACGATTATCAGTATCTAAAGTCTAAAATCAACAAATTTAAATATTTATTTGAATATTATTATAACCAAAACAAGTTTTCATATCAGTGGCAGTTATAATTTAGGTTCAAGAGAAGAGGTTAAAATAAGTTAAAATAAAAGGATAAAAATCCCTCCTCCCTTTCATTCCAAACGTCCAAAAAGTCAAAAAATATGTGTTTTGTTTTTTTTTTCGATTTTCAAGTGTAACATCAACAATTATAATTGTCGTAAGTCTATAATCAACAAATTTTAATACTTTTAAAACTTATAAAAATATATTTGTTTTCATAAAGTAATTATTATATTTCTTTGAACATAAGTGCGTGCATAAGGTAATTTCCAGGGAAGGGACAAACTGAGACAAACCTAACCGGGTTTTCAATCGTATATTTAAAGACTATTACTTTATAGACAACGTATGGACATTGGATATATAAATAAGTATCCTGACATACTGTATACAATACCTATAATAAATTATAGCTATGTGGATTACGGTTGTTATATCCATTACCTAAGAATACCTAATCAATAATCGTGTAAGCCATAAGGTGTGTGTTATACGGCAAGGCTCGTGGAAACCCCTATTTTGTGGGTTTTAATATTTTTCAATGGGGGTAAATGTCTCCTTCGTACTCTTCCTAATAGGCACCCATGACTACTTACACGATATACATTAAATATATCCAACGACGTTGTGACACTTCCGTCTGTAAAATATATTTCATCTCTCATAAGAAAAGAATGCTGTGCGAAAATGTGTCCTGCATAATAATGTGTTTCGCTTGAACCGAAAATAGTGGTATAATTAAATCCTGAAAAATATCTCTTCGTTCTATATCAATATTTCTGTTAAAAAATAATTTAAAACATAATGGAGAAAATAATAATTATAATTAGTCGATAAGTGGTTGTAAATTATAATTTTGATTTTTTTTTTCTGCTTTTTATAGCACCGTTATACATATGAACCATGTTCTGTTAAAGAACTCTGATGTAAACTTTTAAAAAACAAAGAGAGTTATACTTTTAAATTTAATCCCAGAAAAGAAAATATTTTATTTTCACGTCTTTCGGTGTACCAGTGGCGGATTAAAGAAGGGGTCCAGAGTATTTTCCCCCCTTCCCGGACACCAATATATTTTCAATAAAATTGTATCTAAAAAAGAGATATCAAAACAGATAGGAATATTCAAACCTTTGAATTATATATAATTTTCAAGGACCCATCCCAGAAAAATGTGAAAATTCAGCACTGCAATTTTCTATTTACCAGTGTACATAGAAGATAAAATTATATAGTATTTCAAATGTTCCACATCAAAACATTTTGATTGACCACCTTCGTTTGTCCATTTTTTATAAGTGTGAACACCCCAATCTATACTACCGAAAAAGTCATGGTTTTCGAAGCAAATTTTCATTATAACGTAACGTTCGCAGGCTAAAAAACAATAATATAATAAGGAATTACTTTCATATGTAAAAACAAAAATAGAAATATTGCAATATTTTACTATTATTCTTACCGTCCAACTGACTCCCAATAATTCGGTCTTTATATTTACCAGCTGCCATATCGATTGTGGGGATTTCGTAAAACTTTTGCAGTCTCCTTAATCCTTGAGAGGCTAAATTAACCTGATCCCCGCTAAGGTCTCTGTCCTTGTCAATTTTGTTTAACCCTTTTAAATTTCTGTTTATTAATATAAGATAATATTAAATTGCACACTGCACAGTCATGTTACATTACCTTCCATAGAGTGTTTATTACACGTTGAATGTTCAATTTTCTGAAAATCGTAATGTATTCGAGTCATCATTTTTAAACTGTTGATGTGAAAGTAGGTATTGTTTTTGGTTATTTTGTCATCATGCCACTCGTAAATTTCAGATAATTTCCTACTCGCCACAAATCCATACGATTAGATATAGTATAGCATTTAATTTTTTATTAATAATGAATACAATTAAACATCAGATTGATACAAAACTATTCTCAGTAAAATGTTATAATTTTTCACTAACTCATACAATAATATTATATCATATTCTAATGGTTTATATCAGATTAAACTTAAAATGCTTCAATGTATATTCAATATTGAACATCAAATCGCATTAAAGTCTTATTTCAGTTATTTATCACCGAAAAAGTATTGATGTACATTAATTTAAAATATATGTTTCAACCGGATTATAAAACAATGTATTTTATTTTGAATATTCCAAATGATTAGTCCTATAATCTAGTGTACCTCTCGTTCTAATTTTACGAGATATTCGAATTTTTCATATAGATTGTTAAAAGTTCACCTCAAAGCAGTCAGGGCTGTAAGGGGTTTCAATGTCAATCTCCTTTTGTGAAAATGTATTCGTATATAAGTAGTGGACGAATCAGAATTGCCGATGATTGCCGATGTATCTCAATATTTATATACCTATACTCATAGATAATTATTGCCTATAGTTTATTAAGTATTACAGTTCAATAGTTTTTTACTGTCAGTTAAATTTCTGGTACAATGAATTTATAATATTAAAGTATTAAAAACGCATCATGAAAAAGCATTATTTAACAACACATTTTAGTTTTATTATTTGCATATGCATATTTATAATTAATAATTATACATTAATTTATGGAAGTCTATCTTCAAAGGAAAAATATCATCGATGTGCATTAATTTTCCAGACTATCAAAGATCGTTTATATTGACCTATATACACATCAGGGTTGTCAGAAGGGGGTGCAGGGTGTGAATTCGCACCAACTGCTTTTAAAACTTCTTCTTGGGTCTACCAAATTAAATATAAGCGCCGATACACCTAAGTGTTTTATAATATCATATATGGAGTTAGTATTTAAGATCACTATGGAGGTGTAGAAAAATGGTGGCCGACCTCATATAATTGGCAGAAAAATCAAAAAGAAAAAGGCAGGGGGTATGTCATCACTTGACTACCTTTCCCAAAAAAAAAGTGACCATAATTTTGTTCTGGTTTTTAAATGACCTGTAAAAGTGTTGACACCAACAATAAACAAACTGAAATGACGCGGCCCTGATACACATTATATAAATTGAAATAAAAGCTAAAAGTATAAGTAAACATTAAAATGTAAATTTCAAGTTCCATTTGTCATCTTCTTTTATTTTTAAATAATTTAAGTTATTAACTTACTAAAGGATAAGAAGCTACTGATATAAATAATATAAAACCGAAAATAGGAAACATATACAGTGATTACTTTTTTAATTCTTCCAATCGTTCTGTTTCCAACTTCAAGTAATCATTGAATACATTAAAGTGTTCATTTTGTAAATCATATAATCGCCTCAATGATAGTTGGGATGTATGCCATTTTTGGTTACACTCTGCGAATGACAAAAACAAAAATAATAATAGAATATACATGATAATTTTTAAAAATTCACTGAGTTGGTTTTGTGACCGAAACATAACTGATTTAAATATAATTTAACGCTTTGTACAATAATTATTTTAATAATTTATTACATCTATAAATTTTACGGATAGTCAACGTTTATAATTATTGTAAACGTAATGACTGTTACAATATAATAATATATTTGATCGTTCAGTATTTGTATTATTTTAATCAACCAACTTCAAACTAAGCACCTATTTATTTAAATTGAAAAATATTTTTTTAATTTCCTGAATTCAGTAGTACACACGTGACAACTAGGTACCGGGGAGTTTTGGGTTGCTGAAATAAAACCTTTGCTCTTGCGTTTAGCACTCAAAAATAGGCATTTTCATTTTCATTTTAAAAACTATATTTTTTTTTTTAACACTAATTTCCGAATTATAAAAATGGGGAATTAATTTGAAATTTATCCTACGTAGGTATATGAACTTTACAAATATATCATAAACAAATATATCTATATTCAAATCTATATCAAATATATAATCTTGAGCAATAGAATATATAATTCAAAATATTAATATTTTCTATTTAAAAAGAATTAAAATCTAAAAGATCGTTCTGTAACGTAATTATATTATTATACAATTATAAAAATGAGTACCTACCTGTATTTGCTTTACACGAGCTTAATTTATTATCAAATACAAGTTCATGACAGTTTTACAATTTGTGGTAATTTATATACATTAATAATAGTTAATTTTTATTTTTAATTATTATAGAAAATGATAAAATTAATAATAAGAGTCCAAGTTTATAATATTTAATAAATATTCCAAAATAAGAGTTAAAAATTATTTTATATTATGTCTTCACAATTTGTGCAACCTATGTTTTCTACCAGAAATATTATTCTAATCGAAAAATGACAAAATATCAATTTTGTTCCTTTTATTATATAGCCACTAGAAAAAAAAAAATTTTTTTTGATATCTAAAGTATTTTTCATTAAAATTGGGAAAAACCAAAGGACGAAAAATACGTTTTTTTTTTTTTTTTTAATTACGATATCATGATTTCATTATTTTAAATTTGTGTACAGCTTATGTTTTCTTCCATAAGCATTTCTTCATACATTTTTTGTTGTATTTTTAATCTATTCGGTAACCAAGAAAGTCGTTTTTTTATTTTCTTTGTAGTTTATTTAATATTAGAGTAAAACCAAAAAATATGTAGAAAGAACGGGATTTCACGATAATAATTCTTTTGTTATTTTTAATTTTGTTTTTTTCTTTAATATTATTCAGTTGAAAATATTCGTAGACTTGAAATTTTTACAGAAAACTTATATTTACTTTTATATTTACTCTAGACGTTGTAAAATTTCCAAAACATTAAAGCCATTTTAAATATTTTAATTTTGCAATTTCTTTACTTAATTTTTATTTATTACATACTCTATGTATACAATTATTATAGACTAAACAGAAATGCTTGATCATTTGGCAGGAAGTATATTACAAGTCATACTCTAATGGTCAAAAAATAATTGAATTTTAAAATCAAATTTTGACGGAAATCGTAAATTCTGGCCTTTTAAAACATGTATAACTTCGCTCCGAATCGTTTTTCGTTAGCAATGGTTTATCATTGGTTACAGGTTTAAATAACTTTATATAGACCACCTTCTCAACTGCTCACTTACAACAGTGGCCACACCCATCCCCATTGTCAGTTCTTTTTTTTTACATTGAACTAAAAACTTAGGGTGGTACTGACGCTAGTCATTTAACCTCCCATCCTTCATCGTTTATCAATATAATCACAAAAATCTTTGTATCTGTGGGAGAATGTCTCTCCCACAGATACCCTAAATATTCTATTGCTATGGTTCCGGTGATGAAACAAACGAGGTCACATGGGCGGCGAGCTTACGTGGCACACGTGCCAAAGGTGCTGGCTCGTTGGTCGAATTCAATGGCAAGAAAAAAAACAAAATTTATAAAAATGTGTATAAATAAATTTATTATACATTGATTAGAGGGGAGGGGGGGCTACGTTCTTTCGTTTTCTGAATGCTATGAAATTTTAACGATACCGAAAATCGTTAGTGAACGTCGTAAAATATTTCTGGATGCAAAAAAAAATAAACCATTATGAGAAAATGCTAACGTTTTATACAGAGGTTTTTTTTCTTTTTTTTTTACAATTTTGATTAAATAAATACGTTTAGGAATATGGTGTAACTATGGCGGAATCATGGTGAAATGTATAGTCAAATTTAATGTGAATAGGTACAGAGAGACGAAAGAGATGAAATACTAGATACGGCCTTTTGGAAATTGCCAATAATTTGTTCTCGATAGACCTGGTCTATATAAAAGCGAGTTTTAACATTTTGACCCTTTGACGTACGTATGGGTTTTAATTTTTGTATTCGTGTTTAAGTCCTCAGTTTTCTTATATAGGTACCTATCGATTTTCCCACGCGTTTACTACTGCCACTGCAACAGCTATCCTCGCAGTATTATTGTATAAAACTATCTCTATCGATATTGTTTCTATTGTTCGTGCTAAAACGAACAACAACAAAAAAAAAACTATCTCTTTTTTATTGGTCTCTTCTACCACAATTCCGGCCGACGACATCACTGGAATCCATCTATCCATCTAAAAGTTGCAATTGTGTAATCTATCCACGTTGTTTCGTTTCGTATTGTACAACCGTCAACCAATATAGTACTGTTTATTCTATGAATTTCTTCCTACTGCTCAAAAGTCAAAAGTTGTATAAAAACATCTCCGATTTCAAAAAAAAATCTGATATGGGGATGGGTGCAGCCATCGTTGTAGGTGGAAAGTTGGGAAGGTAGGATACATAAGGTTATTTCATTTATATCTGTAAGCAACGATAAACCATTGCTGACGAAAGACGATTCCGAGCGCAGTTCGGTAATACATAATTTAAAGTGCCATCATTTTTTTTATGATTTTCGTTTAAATTTGATTTCAAAACGCTTATTTAAAAAAAAAAATCGTCCAACGATTTTGGAAATATTTTCACGTCTAGGTAAGTCCAATATAAGTATTATTACCGATTTTCAAGTTTACTTCTATTTATAACCAAATTACAGAAAAAAACTCCCAAAAATTAAAATTTCTTAAAAGCTCAAAAGTTTTGGCGATGATACCGTAAGAAAGTAAGTCAAAAAGGCAACAAAAAAGATATCCTGTGATTTTTGAATTAAACCATGTTTTCTGGCAAAAAACGTTGTCCGTGTTTTTATAAAATAATGAAATCGTGAAATTGTACGTTTTCCTTCGTTTTTTCCCACTTAAGTGGTTTTATTGAAAAAATGGCGTCGAAAATGTAAAACGTGAGTTATATTTTGACTGTGATATACCTGATTATACATTTTTAATTGGAAACCCGTTGTATTATACATTTATCATAATATTCCAGGCGACGCATTGATTCATTTATTTATTTTATTTTTATATATACATTTTTATTTACATATTTATTTACTATATTGATTAACTTTGTTTATGTATGCTTACAAATTATATTATAATTAGGCTACTGTCCGTCTAAATAAATAAATAAATAAATATTATAATGTACAAGGTGATTTTTTAAACATTTGCATGAGTATTGTCAAATCATGTATAGACTCAAATTCTGTTTTTTTGAATTTTTAAGTGCAGTGAACGGCTATATTTTTGCATACTTAGATTTTATAAAATATTAAAGGAGTATCCTATGGTATAACAACTTTAGTTGAAACCTTAGCCTTACCTTAACGGTCAAAACGAAAAAAAAATAAATTTAATGTAGTACCTATATTTTTTTTTTCAGTCGGGGGTTTGGCTAACTATATTATTTTTAAATAGTAATAGTATTTATTTGAAATATGTACAAAAATCCAAAAGCACGCTTGTTCACGATCTTCTACGCATTTATTGTTTATGAAATAAACTTTACATTAGCTATAGCATATAGTTTACGATATACTTATAATATCGAATGATATTATTTTTATTATCTTTGACTATAATTATTTACTTAAAACTAATGTTCGTGATTTTTATGTAAAATGCATTTGACGTTTTTTACCTTGTCGTATTTTACTCTCGTCAGTTTTTTCCGTGTCGTTTTTCTCCTAGATTCGAAGCCCACACAGCCTGATATCAATTATGAGTTATATTATAATTTACACAACATAAATTGCCCCCAAACGATGATATTTCATTGATAACACATAATACGGTTTACAAAACAAGAGTAGGTACCAGCTTAATGTTTAAATACTTTTCAATAATATAACTTATTACAACTGTTGATAATAAATGATAATAATGTAAGCGCATAATATCAATAGGTAGGTACCTACTTTTTTTAACGAGGTCACGAACTCGGTACACATTCCTTATTCATAGGTATTATAATTATTATTTATTTATTTCTCAGAAAAAAAAAAAAATACTTAACTTGAGAATATTTAACTCGTGGTATAGATTTCAAGTGTCAAAACATTTTTGGCAATGTTCCAATCTAATAGTCATGTTATAGAACTGAAACTACAAGTTTTGATGGTTGGAAGTTCAATAATATGGAGAAAGCGTGGTAATTTATTATGTTTATGGGATAAAGGCAAATTCACAGATATTATATAAAACATTTTTTTATATCTGTGGGCAGATACTACTTTTGGACTTTTGATAATAACTCATACTTGATACCAATTGCCAACTGTTGATATTATCTATTATCACAGAATAATTTATCATTATCAAATTTTTCAACTTGTTAGTGTTGTTAGCAAAATAAATAGGTATAATTTTCAAATTTATTTTGTTTTAGTTAAAATATAAATTTAAATAAGTACTTACAAATTATAATTAAGTGCAAAGTTGTTTTATCCATCATAACTATAAAATAAAATCCGTAAAAAATTAGTTAATAATATGGTGAGTAAAAATCCATCTACCTATGTGAATATTAAAGTTATTAAATTGATTATTATTTTCAATAACTATAATATTGTTATTGTGTGATTTTTTTGTTAGTCCGGAAACAATGATGAAGTATTCCACCGTACTGGTTCATTTCGCCGTGTCATACCTCCTGGAAATGATACGACCGGTATAAGTGGTATTCCAGTAAAATCAAACAACAGAAATAACTCTTATATAAATGCAAATTATATTCCTTTTTTTCTTGAGTATACGCTAATGTCTGAATTGTGAGTAGGTACTTATACATTATTATGAACGAATCAATTTGATTTAAATAATACACTTATTATGTATGTTCTTAAATTTATTAAAACAAAGAAAAATAAATACATTTTATCATTATTTGGCATTGTATTTTAGAACATAATTTTTACCAAATAAATAGGTATACCTAATAAAATATAGCTTATAATGCATATATACCTACTACATATATCTTTTCAATTTTTATAAAATCTGGTTTTTAAGTTAAATTAATTTTGTTTCAGTAATATTTTGAGTAAAAAATTATTACCTGGAGTCTATGTTATACCAGCTGCTAAAACTCCATTCAGTAAGTACATACTAAAACTCTACGTCTTGTGTTCTTGTGTCATCATATTGTGTTTTGTTTTAGTATGGTTTGGAGTAATTTTTCCGAGATATGGACTTTATAAAAATGGAGCCTTCCGCTTTCTTTTACATATTGATAGCAATTGGCCAGATTGTGAATGTCCCAAAGTGATCATAGAAACACCTATTTTTCACCCACTGGTTGATCCAGTTTCTGGAGAAATGAGTATTCAACATCATTTTCCAGAATGGAAAAAAGGAGTTAGTCGTATTTGGCATGTAATTGATCATGTATTGAAGTCCTTTTATGACATATCCAGTACTAAAACTCCAGCAAATCCAGAAGCTGCTAATCTGTAGATATATATTTTATATTAATAAAATAGTTATTACAATTTTAGTTGCCTAATCATTTTTATTATAGATTTAAAACAGATAAAGACAATTATATTAAGAAATGTGAAGATTGTGTTAAACAGAGTCAAATTGAAATATACAATCAACCAAATAATCCTGAAAATGATGATCCAAATTATTTGCATTTTGATCATTATAATGAAGAAACTCATGGATCAATTAGACGTACATGGCTTCAACAAAAAGTATTTTTTAATATAAATATTAAACATGTAATACTACTTAGAATCATAAATAGTATTTTTGAATAATGGGTAACTTTCATTTTTTTTTTTTTTTTTTTTAAAGATTTAATTTAATTTGTAAATAAAGTAATTGTGTAATTTATATTTCAAAATAGTTATTGTTATATTCATCTACATTAATTTATTTACTATGGTATCAATTATTACAAAAACAGATAGCATAGGATAACCATAGAATAGAAAAATGCAATTTTAAAATACTCATTTTTCATTTCATAATGTTCTTAAGACTTAATTTCCAACTATGTATCAATACATATAATGTATTTATTATTTATTTTTAAAAATTTTTTAAATAACTATGGGTAAATTAAATCAAAAATGAATAGAGTTTTTTTTTTTTTTTAAATATGGTCACCTATGCATAATTTAATTTTCAAATGTATGTTTTATGTAGTGAGAATTAAATTTAAAACTTAACTAGTTTAATAGTAGTAATTTGCTGTTTATCTATCACACACTTAACATAATAGCAATTAGTTTTATGGTATTTCTAAAGTACAAATCTTCCAATAATGCAATAAGTGTTAAATAAATAAATTTGATTTAGTCATTTAGAGATCAGAGATATGAAATACCTAAAACTTAATTGATTTATTTTGTTAATGATGGTTAAAGAAAGCATTTTACTACTTTTAACACTTCTTATTAAAGTTATTTTTTTCAAAATTTATAAATAACAAAATTATTAAAAAGATATTTAATATTATTGTCTTCAAAATTATGATAGTTAATAACATTTAGTTGGTATACCAATTATATTGTCTTTTACAGGAATGTGACAATAGAATTCAACCTTTATCATGGGTACAGCCTGGATCATTAGAACCATTTTCAAGGCCACATACTTGACATTTATTTAACAAATCAAATAATAATATTAATAAGATATTAAAATTTGATAGATATAATTATTTTTTTAGCAAATCAATTTTATCATTTTGAATTATTTAGACTATTAATTATTTAATAACTTATTTGTTTTAATTAGGTATTTTTAAAACTTAAACCTACAACAGTGATACTTTAACCTAATACAGTGGCGCACAGAATATTTTTGAAAACACACGCAGTTCATAAAAATATCCACCCATCCACCCTTTTGTCTCTTTTGAAGCTTCCTTGTTAAGTTTTTTTTGACACCAATACACTAGTAATCTTTACCCATCTCACTTAAAATTATATTCAGCTGCATTTCTCGATAACTTATCTGTGCTCAAGTGACGTTATAACTTAAAAAAAAAAATTGTAAATTATCAATGTCTTCCATATATTATATTAAATTTTTGTGTAGAAAACCATTTCCCAACCTATGGGTCACTTGCAACATTTATATAAAAGTTATGTTAATTAATGTTAAGGTTTTTAAATATTTCATTATATATTGTTATTTGAATTTTAATGTATGCATGTCATTTTATATTGTTACACAAGTCGAAATACCAATTGAGATTATAATTATTAATAAAATACACAAAGCAAATATTTTATTTTTCTTCCAAAAGAATTGATTTTCCACCTATTAATATTAAAAAAACGCTAGTATTAAGGAAAAAAATTGAATAAAAACAAACGACATACTTCGCATAATGGGTGCCACTATTGTAGGTGAAAAGTTGGGAGGGTAGAGAGGAAATTTAATGTATATCTGTATGCAAAGATAACTCATTGCTAACGAAAAACAATTCTGAGTGAAATTCGGTTGTATATATTTTGAAAGACCATAAAATTTACGATTTGAAAATAATAAATTTTCCTGATTTTTCCTATTTATTATGAAAACCTCCCTACAGTACCATCCCAGTCAGATTTATTTCAGGAAAAACTCTACACATGAAAATCTAAGCAAAATTTCTGGTAAAAAAGTTGTTGAAAAAAAAAAATAAACATTGAAAAACCAATACATTCCTCGCTCCGTTCAATATCTAAAATTAATAACCCCAATCATCGCTATGACTTACTTTTTTTCTATTATATTATGAATATCGTTACATTAAATATTATTTAACATGGCTTTGGGCTATAGACATTATAACAAGATGTAATACGTACACAATAACTAGCCTTTGGAAGTTTGGGCATACATTTATATGTCAATACATCTGATATAATTGTTGACCACTAGATAGCGTGATTACATATTACACGTTTATATTATCTAAAAATTTAATAATAACATTAAAATAAATATAATTTTTACCTACACTTTCGAATTGATAAAATAAATATTTATTAATATTATAAATAAAAAAATAGACTAATATAATATTGCGATATTATATTTGATGATGTGAATAAATGATCACTGCGTCTAATTACGTTTCTATTTCTCTTGTGCAATATTACTTATGCATTTCTTTGCGAAACATCATTTTACAAAAGAAATTTTTCTTGGTCAAACGATACGTTTTTTATGTCTTTGTCGATTACCGCGATCAAATCACCAGGTAGACCAATCTTCTTTATTTTATTGGAATTTTGCCTAGAGGTGGGCTTATCTAGCAAAATAACCTAGGTACGCCGTTGATCTGACATCAATTGTCCACTGAATAGGATGAACCAGTGGCGGCGTTAAGGGGGTATATTTGAATCAAGCAATTTACAAAAAAAGGGTGGGTGCCTGAGTGTTCAGAAATATAACATAATTATTATGTTTTTACAAAAAAAAAAGTCATTAAAACAATTTTAGAGTGTGAAAATTTGATAAATTTGACAAATTTTATTAACATTTAACAAAATTCAATACATTTATGGTAGGGTGAAGTATTTTTTGATAGGCGTGGATGGGTGGGTATTAGGTAGATAAAAAATTAAATCACGCTGATTCAAGGTAAAAATACTTCGCGCTGCCATTGGGATGAGCAATTTGTTTTGGCTAAATGACGAGTTCATAAATGGTATCCCGACAAAATGAACAAAAATATATTAAACAAATTAATTAATAAAACTAATATAATATAATTATATTATACATACAAAATAAAATAATTATTTTTCAGTGAAAATTAGTTTTCAAAAAAAATAGGTAGGTACTACGCTTACCTACGTATTATACGTCTATTTCAGTGGTTCTTAACCTTTTTCGTTTTAGCGCCCCTTCACCGAGATAATTGATTGCTAACGCCCCCTTACGCAAAACTAAAGTTTGTTATTGCCCTATTAATGATTACATTTGTTTTTACTTATTTTTTTTTTTTGCGTATCGGTTTTTATACGAGTATTATAATATGCTATATTATAGGAATCATTCGCTGATGACTTGTTTTTTATAAGAATTTTGGCCAACCATAAATCCAGTCACGTGCGATAATACGTGTCACTGGACGCTGGGGCTTTTTTATTTTTCCATCATTCCGTATTTAAAAGCTCACCGCCCACCCAACGACCCCTTAAAACCTCCCGCCCCCTCGAAGGACCGAAATGTACGAGCAGTACCGCCCACCAGAATCACTGGTCTATTTTTACTAGAAAATCAAATTGCAAAGATTAACACTATGAATAAAAATCAAGAATTATTATATACAATTGAAATGGAATAAATACCTAATAGGTACTTTCCTATCTGATTATTAGATACCCGTATGTGCTGTTGGAGACACAACCGCAGGACACACCAAAATTTGTGTGTACTTATAAATAAATTGAGAAAAAACGAAAATGAAAATCGAAAACCGAGGATTACTTTATTATAAATTCACACGGCTTATATTTTCTACCAAAAATATTGATCCAACAGAAAAACAACAAGAGATCTTTTTTGTTGGGTTATTAATCTAGTTAGTGACCGAGGAAGTCATTTTTCGATGTTCACAATAATTGTGCAAAACCGAAAAATACGTAGAAATTATGGGCAAATTTATCAAAATAATAATCCTGTTATTCTGTTATTATTTTTAATTTTGTATTTTCAATATAATTTGATTAAAAATATTTTTAGAGACCTGAAATGTTGACAGAAAACTTGATTGTTCTAGATACAGCAAATTTTCCGAAGTATTTGAACGATTTTTGAGCTAATTTTAATGTTCTGCGAGTTTTATAATTTTTATTTGGTAGGTACTATGTAGATAATATTGTTAGGGCTAAAAAAAAATGCTTGAAAATTGTACAGGATATTTATTGCAAGTCGTACTTAGTGAGCAAAAAAAAATTGAATTGTAATGTAGTATTTTAATTTTATTTATAAGTTTTAAAATCAAATTACGAAATACGTAAATATTACGGCCTTTCAAAATATATATTTATTGTATAACCGAACTTCGCTCCGAATCGTTTTTCGTTAGCAATGATTTATCGTTGGTTACATGTATAAATTAAATAACTGTATGTGTCCCATCTTCCCAACTACCTACCTACCCGTCCCCAATATTTTTTTAATTTACACTTAAAAAATGAAATAGGTATAGTTATTATTTTAAACGCATTTTATTATACGAGTAAGTAAGTAAATAAGTAACGAGTAAGTATTTAAATCTAAAACACTTAAAAAAAAATAATGTTTCCAGATTCACTTTATTTTTTTTTTATCAAGAAGTAGGTAAAATTTATAACGAACCTTGTACCAAATTTTGGATCATTTTTTAAAAGCCGAAAAATTTTACCTATCCACATATAACTAAAAATACTCGACATTTTCAGATAGCTATAAATAACTTAAACAATGCCAGAATATTAATGAAATTGAATCACGCATAAAAAGTACTAATATAAGTCTTCGGAGAAAATTTCTGCAGATCACTAGAAATACTTTTTACTGAATTACAAAAAAAAAAAAAAAATAAAAGGATAATGGGAGCGGGTGCAGCCACTGTTATAAATAATTTAATGTATACCTGTAAGCAACGATAAACCATTGATTACGAAAAAACGATTCTGAGATGAGTTCAGTTGATAGTGTCAACAATATATATAATATAATAATATAATTACCTAAATACTGTTATCTATTTAAAATAATAGATGTCTATAACCTATCTATACATGATTATATTATCAAGATGTTTATATATTAATATTCCATATATCAATATAAAGGATTTTTTTACAAAATTACGCCTCAATAAATTTTAAAAACATTTGTCAAGTTTTGTTGAGTAGGTTGTATAATAATTGTATAATAATTATGATTGAAACGGACATATTTAAACGCATTAAACTTCATTTTAAATTAATTTAATACAATTTCTTTGCCACGAAGTTGATACAGTTTCAGTGAATTAAAACCTATATACTGACATACTGTATAATCATATACCTTATAGATTCCCAGCTCGTGTATTCGTGTTTTGTATAGCTAATATTATCAATTATTATGTTTACACGTTTATTGTGGTTAACAAACATTTGTGTAAAATACAGATATTTATGTAAGTATACCTATCTATACTTATTATATTTTAATATTTTTAAACAACGTAAACTAAAATTATTTATTTTTCTCTTTTTTTTTTTAGTTTATTTTAGTTAACGATTAACTGTTATTAGCTACATAAAATATAACTAATAATAGATATATGCTACAGTTTTATAAATATTGTTTTATTGTGCATTGATAAAAATATGAATCTGGATATTTTATAACTGTATTAAGCGACGGCCTCATTTACCCGATTCCTGATCATTTTTAGCCCTGAATTGGCTGCTTTTGTTGGCAAAATAACAACTAGTGTCCACTATTTTTGTTAAATTAAAATGTCAATCTCCCAAACAGTATCGAGCAGTCTCTATAGGCTAAAAAGGAGACAATCGTAAAATCGAACCATTTGGCACGAAAATACCTATTTTCAAAAATACACTATTATCAAATTAAATTCAGGTTAAAAAAAAGGTCATATAATTTTAACGCAAATTAATATTATTCCCATTTCATAAATAAACCTATTCACTGATCTCTGTGTAGGTAGGTACCTATTTATTTTTTAGATTTGTATGGAATATATTATTGTTCCAAACAGTATAGGTAACTACGTAATTTCAACAGGTATGGGAATAAAATTTCTGGGATTATTATTATTCCTATACATTTTAACTTAAAACCATTTATCGCGGTTCTTGAAACAATAACTTATATAGTTACCTTCTACATTATGTATCTACCTATTACATTATGTAGCTATACAAAGGTCTTTTAAAAAAATAATTTCAACTGTTCGTTATAAATGTATAATGTATAGAAACTTTAAAAATGAAATGAGTACCTAATTTTTATCTTCTCACACTAACAACATACTTTTTTTCAACTGACCAATTATTTATGTAATACCTACATTAAAATTTGGCACTAATATCGTAGTTTACTTTTATAATGTTGCTAGAACAACAATTTCGATACCCATTACTTTTGACATAATTTGTCGGTTCTACAAAATAAAATAAAAATGTTTGCTTCGGTAAACAAGTGCATAATATAGCTGACCTAACTTACCTAAGTACCCAAATTACTTGATATCATTAAATTTTCGTATAAAATCAC